GAGGAGTTTGGGATGGAACTTCCTAATCCAGGCAAGCTTACCAGCAGATCCGGAAAGCGGACCTTTGAGGGCAAGCTTAAGACAGCTTCACCTGGTATCATAGAGTTGGACTAGACATGACAGCGACCCGTAATGGGAAGCTAGCCACCGGATAATCAGACCTACCGCACGACTCTGAGAAAATGCTTGCTCTCGGGAGTGAAGATCTTCTTAAACACACACACACACACCCACACACACACACACATACACACACGCGCGCGTACACATCATACACTCCTCCATTCTCTTATCCAGCGCTCACTCACTTGTCTACTCACACACTCCTCCATTCTCTTACTGGGATCTTTACATGTGGGGTTATCCGGTCCTTTAATTATTATTATTATCACTACTACTACCACTGCAATGCAACTGCAACTACAACTACTACAACTACGACGACGAGGACGACGAGAAGCTTCCTGGAAGCTGGTTTCATGCTGATACCTCTAACGTCGAGTAGCATCCGTTGCAGAGTGCGCAGAAATATCATCTGTCACATCCGCGTTATAGGTGTGGCGAATGGTTCCACCTCCGCAGCTGGGGACCCATGTGATGTAGGTGCACCTGTCGTGGCCTGTCCTGAGACAAGCTGCCCAGTAATTGCGCCCTCAGTGACTCCGCCTTGAAATTGACCTCAGTCCTCAGATGCAGGTCCGAGCGAGAGAGAGTGAGCTGGAAGCTCTGAGGCAGAAGCAGGACCCAGAGCCCGGAGTCCAGCAGTCTCGCAAAAGTCTATGCACGCAAGAAGGGTAATTGTTCAGTATTCAATATTCGCTTCGATGGTAGATTTTCGAGGCCAGTTGAAGTTTCGCGAGTCTGCAGTGTAATATCGCAGACGAGCCACGAGCTGCGTGCATGATTGAAGCGGTTCTGGTTGGATTCCGGTGAGTGTTAGCTTCCGTCGGCATGAGCTCTAGCCTTTCAATATACACAGAAGGGTGACATGACGATCTGAATTGACGAGATCCCGTCACTCTGTCGACTCCACCAATTCATCCCTCGAGCCTTCTGTCACAATGCTGCCTTCAGCGTCAGCTTTCCGTCGGTAGATCCAGGAGCTGGCAATGTCTCTGCTGGAGCAGCGTGGTCAGGTTCCATATTAGTTTCCACGAACTTTGCAGTATGATCGTTGTTCACCAAACACAGAGAAGCTGCTGTTCAGATGACTCCGCAGCCCTCGGTGGCTTCGGTAGTTTTGCCAACAGCATCGCGCGGCTGTTGCCTCAGTGATTGATGGAATGTGCTTTGGGGCATCGTTGTGGCTTGCAGGCTCCGTTGACCAAGCATCGGTCGAGGATGCAGTCGCCAGTGCGGCTAAGGTGCGCTGCAAACAGCAAGTGGCTCGCCAAGAGTTGCTAAGAGCTAGTGCTTCGTGGCGGATTCCCTCCCTCGCCCACAGCGAGAATGGCCATTAAAGAATCAAATCAAGGTAGGGGCAGGTAAACAGTTGCAGGCAGCGTCCTTGTCCAACGGCTTCCAGGTAGCTAAGGAGTCAGGTTGGAACAGGCCGTCGGACAGCGTGCAGACACAGCTACTCAAGTTGGAAGCGAAGACGGCCCCAAAACCCTCCGGCTTGGCGTGGCCTGAGCTCCCTGAGGAGCGTTCTCTGAGGAGCAGATGCGGAAGAGAATGCGGGAGTCATACTGAGTCATACTATGACATCTCATAGGTTCAGTTTCTCGTTGACCACACCACTCGAATATGTTCTGTTGATTCTTCGTTGCCCGTCCCCCTCCGGCCCCCCACACACCTTTCCGTCCCACGGTGGTGGAGAGGACTGGGCGGCGCGAGAGAGTTACGAGATCAGTCGCATCCAGACGTCTTAGCAGCACTCCTACTCCTCCTAAAGGCGGCGAGGCTCAACGGGAGAACAGGCACGTGCCGAGCCGATAAGTCCTGATTGGCTGCGTTCCAACACTGCTGGCTTGCCGTTGCCCGCACCCGCTGCTACGAGTCCTCTTCACAAATGCACCGACGAGACCGGCGGTTGTATGAATGTTGAGGTTCCGACGATGCAGTCTCATGAACTTGAAGACTTAGGACTCTATTAGAGCAGTTGCATTGAGTCTACGAAGCATGCTTTGTAGCCGGCTCCCACAATAAAAAGCCAACATTCCAGACCCACATCGTTCGCGACATACCTCGCTACGTAGCTTGACTGACCAGAACGAGTGTCATTTCAGTGCATGGCATGTACTTTAAAGTTTGAGGCCCGGGGGTGTCCTTCCTGGCGCGCGGGCTGAGCGAAGGTCTTGTGATGAACCCATGTCTTTTCTGTGCGGTGTGGGAGATCACGTACAGGAGAGATCGTCCGAAATGCGTGCGGTTTCCATGCGGCCTTCTGGACATTCACGCGTTACGCTGCTAGCACTTTTCTCCTCCTCGGATGAAGAGAACTATTCGCACGCACGTCGCAGCAAGTGCCCCGATCGTGCTGGAAACTGTAGGGAGGACGGGCCTCTTTGCAAACTTTCTTGACTTGGCAGGCTGCACGTGGTTACACCGGCAAGGTTTCCTGCTCCTACGACGAGGTTCTCAGCTCATGCAGCCTTGCATTAGCAGGTTAGCAGCCCTGAGCAGCTTCCATCAGCTTCCTAGGTCGAGCGGTGTATCAGCGAACTTCAGGATCTGGTCAAGGTGCAGTCTTGAGGTGTCTTGAGCCTTGAGCCGTCTTCAGTTGAGCCGCTGGACTTGTGCCAGTCATGTCGTGGGCCGCAGAGCCCGCAGACAGAACAGGCACAACTGCGCAACTCCAGATCTGGTTGAGATGCCATGCAGCTTTATGCAGGCGGCTCAGGGGCCCAAGGACACGTCTCGTGCTTAGATGCGGGAGTCAAGCGGAGCCGCAGCTGAGCACCGATCTCGCTCGTCTCGGCTCAGCGAAGCCATGGCTAAGCTCTTTTCTTCTGCTTCCCAAAACCGAATCTGCGATTCCATGCTCCAGAGCCGGCAGCCTAGAGCCTGGCACGTGCAACACAGCGTTGTATTGCTGCGAGCACCGACGCGCCGACTTGATCTCATGAAATTCAGTGCTGTGTGCTGGAACCTCTCTGGCCGCGTCATCTCCTTTTTCACTTCCATGTCCGGCGCAACGAAGCGGCCGAGACCACAGGTTGGGATTCCTGGAGATATTCCGGCGGATTTTTTGAGGTTCTTTCCCATGGGCAGGTTTCAATGTGCGCAGCTTCCAGATGACTGCAGCGGGCACAGACACGCCTGGCCGCAATGATTCGTTGCTCCGAGTGACTGGGTGGTCCGAGGATGCCGTCGCGGAGCAACAGCACGGACTGGAGTGTCGCAGCCTGAGAAGGGCAGGGAAGGGAACCTCCGAGTGAGCATTCATTGGAAGGCCGCGCCGAAGGCAGAGCAACGACAGTGGACTCCGAGGGCTCGCCGGAGCAGAAGCCTCAGTTGTGCAATCCAGCATTGCATTTCCTTCCGAAGAGTGTTGCTGCAGGTGATAGTCTGCCTTCAGACCAGATGGGGCTGAGGTGCAAGCTTGGTTATTTAGATGTGTAGCACATGTCACGAACATGTGAAAAGGACGCCCGAGTTGTCTCGCCGCACGCGGCTTTCAGAGCACTTGTCAAAGCTTGTTTCTGCAGTGGATACCCAGCAGCTCTGTGGCTCAGCTCGGCACACAGGAGAGCCTCGTGTCCGGATGAATTGAAGGCTGCTTTTTGGGCCTTTGAAAGTCGAACCGTGGCGCCATGAACCTAGATGGGTTCGATTTCTGTACAGGTGTGGAGCCGTCTGCTGCCTCAGATGGAAGTACAGACGATATCAAAAACAAGAAAGAAGATGGAAAAGCGGTGCAGAATCTTCCCGGCGGCCTCAAGCTTTGTTGTGTTCTGGCGATGGCAATCCTCCTCTTGGCTTTGCTTCCGATGGCTGAGCTGGATCCCAGATTCCCAGATGCTTCCAAGGGCTTAGCAGTCCTCATGGTCACGGCGTTGTTCTGGATCTCAGAAGTGATGCCACTTTCGATCAGCAGCCTGCTTCCGATGGGTCTTTACCCTTTGTTTGGGGTTGTCAAGGCATCTGCCTTGGCTCGGAAGTTCTTTTCTGGCACATCTTTCCTGTTCATTGCGGGCTTCTTGCTGGGCCTCGCTATTGAGCGATGGAACTTGCACACCCGCTTCGTTCGCATCGTGCTGTCACAGATTGGAAATCGTATACAGTTCTATCTTGCTGCGTTTATGCTCACTACATGGCTTCTCAGCATGTGGATCTCCAACACAGCCACAATGCTGTGCATCATGCCCGTAATGAAGGCTTTCCTTTCATCGCTTGAAGGAGGACATCCATCGTTCCATAGCACTATGCTTCTAGCTGTAGGCTACTCTGCAACTGTGGGCGGGTTGTCAACTCCTGTGGGCACGCCCACCAATGGTATCTTCATGGCCATGTTCCAAGAGTTCTGGCCAGATGAGGAGGAGTTTTCTTTTGCAAGATTTTGCTTGGTAGCCCTGCCCTTGTCAGTCTTGCTTCTGCTATGTGTATATGTTCTTACCTGCATTGTCTATGCGTGCAGTGGCGCACGTATTGTCGTTAACCGCGAAGCTTTCCTTGGCACGCAGCAGCTGGGCAAAATCACCTTCGAGGAGATGGTGGTTAGCTTCAACATGATGTGCCTGGTGATCCTGTGGTTCACTGCGTCTAGAATCGACAGGTTTCCTGGGTGGAAAAAATGGGTGTCGACAGATCTCGACAGCGGGTCCATCGGCCTTTTGCTGACACTTCCGTTCTTTCTGATACCTTGTGGTCGTTGGTTGCCTCCTGCCTTGAGACGTGCTCTTGGTGAAGATCGCTGCCAATCGGTTTGCAAGGGCCCCAGCCCCAACTACATTTTGGACTGGGAGAGCGTAAAGAGGGATTTCAGTTGGGAGATCCTTTTCGTCTTCGGTGGAGGAGCACTCGTGGCTCATGGTACCGTGGAAAGTGGCCTGGCACAGGTCATTGCCGAGGCTCTTGAGAACCTGGGCCTCAACATCTTCATATTCAATCTCGTTGTGGTGACAGTGATCTGCTTTGTGACAGAAGTGGTTTCCAACATGTCTACGTTGAACATTTTCGGTCCAATTATGGCCACTGCTGCCCAGCATATGGGGAGCAGTCCTGTTCAGCTTCTTTTGGGTGTGTCCTTCGCCTCATCATTTGCTTTCATGTTACCCATGGCAGGAGGCCCAAATATGGTTGTGTATTCCACCGGTCGTGTATCTGTCAAGCAGATGGCAACATTTGGATTCTGCCTGAACCTTGTTGCCATTGTCGTGGGAAGCTGCTATATCACGTTTGCGATGCCGGTGCTGCTTGGAGATTGGTATAAAGACCTCCCCATGCCAGCCGTGTAGAGATTTCGTGGAGCCCCGACGGCAGGCTTGATCCGGAAACAGATCCGGATCACTCCGCTGTTGTAAAGCGTGATGTGGCCGAGGCCACGGAACCTACATGTAAAATCATGTAAAGCTGCGGCGTGTTCACAAGAAGCCTGCCGTCTAGTCTAGTGCAGCATCGAGTCGAAGCATCAATGCAATGCATCCAAAAAGCTCGGCTTCAAGCTGACTTGGGGATGCAGCCTGCACGCCAGCAAGGCACACAAGTTGTCAATGGATCACGCATCTCTTGCTTCGCAAAATGGTGCGACTACGCATCGGTTTCTCAATTTAGTCTGCATGCAGTCCCTGAAGTGGTGACATGTTCGGACTGTGCGCATTCCAAGTGCACGCCTGTTTGTGTGCAAGGTTGCCGGAGTCGCCGTCATCACGGATGGATCTTGCTTCGCCATCGCAGCTTCTGCGGAAGTCGCAAGGTACTTAGAAGATGGGCATCGCAGTTGGTAGGTAGACCTGCGACGTGCCGAGGAACTCGCGCACCATCTCTGCCGTTCAGGTGGTAGTCCGCTTTCGGTCGGCGCCCCTGTAGCGCTTTTCCGCAAGCATGCACTGCAGTCGACGAAGCGGTGAAATCTGACATAATCTGACAATGTGAGTGTAGCAGTAATGAGTAATGTGGACATCGCGGCAGCCACGACATTGATCTTCAACAGCGCTCAACTTGTAGCTTGTACGTTGACCAAAGGCCCCCGGTCATGGATGACGAGCAACAGGACTGATTGGGTTGCTGCACAGCACCGGAAGCCTGCTGTCCAGTATTGGAAGGACTCCATCTCCTTCTCCATCCACCCAAATGGAAGAAGTGCCAGTCACCAAGCCGGCAGATGCAAGCCTAGTGTGGGATGGGATGAGCGCATTCCATCTTCAGGTCTCATCGGCAGACAGTGCTTACGTCTTTGACTTCAACAAGGCCTTTGGAGAGGCGCACCACATGCAGCTGCAAGCATGCTGGATCATGCGGGCATGTCCACCGACTGCGATGCAACACGCCACATGTGGAAGTCACCTTGTCATCCCCTCCTCTGACAGGCTGCAACGCAGGACGACATTTTTGAAGCTGTCTGCTGCTCACTGCAGACTTCAGAAGCCATGTGTTTAGCTTGCGACAGCTTGCGAGTTTCATATGCGCAGTTACTTGGCGGGTGGTTGAGTTGGTCTTGCTTCTAGGTCGGCAAGCCGATTGTCTCGGACGTTCTCAGCGGATACAATGGGACAATCCTAGCCTATGGACAGACGGCCAGCCTGGCATGTACATGTAGCATGATATAGTTCCTGCCAGGTGTCTTGAAATGGCAGCAACAGATGCTTTGAGAGCACATGTCATTCCTCCTGTTTGCCGCCAGTCTTCTGGCAAGACGCACAGTATGTACGGCCTGGGCCTCGTGGTAACCAGATTGGCCACAACGTCGCTACGTGCCGCATTTCATGGCAGCCAGATGCATTCTGCGAGGTCCCGGGAATGTTGCAATTGACAGTGTGCCGCATGGGTCTCTGTCAGACGGCCAGTCAGACTCGTCAAGAAATTGGCTTGTGGCCCGGCCGAGGCCAGACTTACAAGGTATCGTGCCAAAAGCCTCGCGCTTCGTGCCCGGCCCCAGCTGTAAGCCATTGCGGCATGTCAGATCTCAAGTTCCTGGCCCCCCCCACATCTGCAAGTCAAGATTAGCCTCTCCAAGTCCCACCTGGTCTCCACGGTTATACGGTACACGAGTAGACATCTTCCTTGCGTGACTGCAGACCTCTAACACGTGGACTTGCCGCTGACATGTTATGGCCGGCGGAAGTCCATATTAGTGTCACGGAAGCCACCACTAGACTGGGACATTCGCACAAGGGCTATGCGTACGCTGTCGATCTTCTGACATCGATTCAGAGATGCAGCCAGCGGCCAGCTTACCAGTCCGCACAAAACACAAGGCTTGCAGGCACAGCTCGTGTTGCGGAAAACAAAGACATACAAAGGCCGCTTCAATGAAGTGGATACGGGTCCACTGAGAGCCGTGGACCGGTGGGAAGAAAGACTACCAATCCCTAAATACCGTTACAAGTCCGGACATTGCTGAAACTCTTCGGCTGCATCGAAGGAATAACGAGTTGAATAGAAGAGAACGCATCTGCCGGTAGTGGGCACTGGGTCGGGGAAGGTGTTTGATCACATCGAAGCGAGTGTCGACTATGACACGGAGATCACATTGCGCTGCAGCTTCATGGAGGTACTCCCCCTCTGAGTGCCCAGCGCCTGCTTTTCATGATGGCTTGGACCAAATGCTTGCACGTCTGTCCCGCGCAGCTTTGCCAAACATCCAAGGGACAAGGAGGCAGGACGTATGATAGGCAGAGACCTTCTTTCAGCCGAACATCACGTGTTGAGAGGGGCTAGGGATGTGCCGTTTCTCGGACTTCTAAAGCTAGCTTCCGGCTGCCATGTCTCCATGGCTCCGCGACCGCCTCAGGACGGCAGCACTCGGAAGCAGCCAACTGCCAACTCTGGGTGACATGGGGTTCTTAGTAAGAACTTAGGGTGGTGAGCAACTGCTCTTATGGCATGTGGCCTACAGTATTGAGTTCGCTTGATGGAGCTTACTCGTACCTGTAAGTTTGCCCCCTGATCAGCACGTCCAGTTGAAGCGCACCTTCTCCGTGCACGTCACTCCACGGCCACTGTCAGTTCAGGGCAGAGCCTGAAACTGACCAATCGACGGCCGACAGCTCATGACCGAAAGTGCCCGTATGTGCCCATTGGACTCTGACTCAGCTGTTCGAACGAGCTCAGGGTCGCGAAACACCGCAGTTCAAAGTTAAGTGACCATTCCTAACAGCTCGCAGTGTCGCCTTTGCATGACTGTGTATGTTGAGACCTCGCACTACCCTGCCTTGGCTTTCTTTCGGCTGCGCCTCCCTTTGCAACATCAGCTGTGGATTTTTTGTTGATCTGCGTGGTCGCAGGACATCTTCGAGGTGCCGGGAGGCCAGGAAGATATTGAATGTTCATTTCAACGCTGGTGATAGTGCTCCCGAAGGTCGCGAGCTGCCGAACAAGTCACACTTCTTTGTTCAGGCGCTTGCTGCGGGGCCCAGGCCGTCCCGGCAGAGAGACGCGTCGAGTCGAGCATCGGACGGCTGCCGATGCCAAAGAGGCGTCAGCCCTACTGCCCGAGCGTCTACGGAGAGGCCCATGGCCTTGGACGGGGACTCGCGCGAGTTCGTGCGTTGTTTGCTCCTTTGGGAGGATGTGGGAGATGTGAGATCGTCTTCGCCCACGGGAGCCACTCTGCTCCCGAGGCTCCATGAAGTCGGATGTGGGGCGACGAGGGGCAGATGTGCAGAGATGTGCAGCTGCAGGAGGCCCTCGACTTCGGATTCCACCACGGCCCAGCAGCTGCAATGGAGCCTGCAAAGTGCAGGTTGACCTGAAGAATGCTGAACTGGCAGGACAAGGTGGCACAGATGAGATCCCGCATTTTGTCCCTCAAGGCCTGGCATAGAGAAGCACCCTTTTCGGCCCGAGCTGTGGGTAAACCTCCTGCTTGTCTGCAGGAGCTCCGAACGCAGACCGATGGCGATTCGAATGCGCCAGAGGAGCCGAAGTGTTTCCAGATTCAAGGTTGCAGGAAGTGACAGTAAGATGCTGTCTCCTCCTTTTCAGGTTGTCGTGTTTCCTGGCGTGAATTTAAATCTTTGGCACGAACAATAGACGTGCTGCAGACGACCCCTGTTCCTGACCAGCCGGCTGGGCCGTCTGCACCCCAATCCAGCCTGGGGAAATCTGCTTCTCTGCTGTAGTAGTCAGCTTAGTCAGCTCCTTACACAGCGATTCAGGCCGGCAGCCTCTGCAACTCAGCCGCAGGACGCTGTCGGATTCACCAAGAGAAGTTTGGAGTTTAGACAGCCTTCTCCTCCTTGCTGTTTGCTCGTTTGAGAGGAGAGGCTGGCTTCCATCATGAGCTTCCTGGACGAAGTTGAGGCGCTTGTTGGAAGTGCAGGGAAGCAGACTTCGCGTGTCTTCGCACTGTGCAGGAGTCCTCGAAAGCCGATATCTCCTCGTTCTGGCCTCTGTAACCTCTATGTGAGGGCCCGCCGGTTCTCATCGGACTGTCGAAGACACCAAGGATTATCTTGTCAACTCGTTCATCCCGAAGCGCAGGCAACAACTTAGTCGAGGTCACTCTGATATCACCCTGTCACCGCTGTCGGAAGGCGAGAACGAAGTCTCAAGGCGCGCCGTAATCGCGGTTGCCACTGTTGCCGGCGGGCTTGCTTACCTTGCTGGATCTGCTTCTTTCACAGGTCTCTGATTCCATCGGGCCTGACTCAGGACACAGCTATTGTGACTTTGGTGTGGAAGTCGGTGCCAATGTGCAGCCCATGCTTCAGGATGCAGCAGCAGTGCAATCCAGAGCCTCGATGCTTGAGGCGACCTTCCCTTTGCTTGCCTTTGTGCCCTCGGACATGGCCAGGTGGAAGTTCAAGACAAGAAGCACATCATCGACTCTCTCAAGAGGGCACTCCACGAGTCTCAGGATCTCCTGGCATTTTTTTGCTCACGCGGAATCGCGCAGACATGCTGGGAATGTGAGGAACGTGAGAAGGAGAAGGTGCAGGCCACGGTCAGGGACTTAGGCTGCCCACGAAGTCATCCTATCCTGGCTTTGTTGCCTTTGCAGAGCCCAGTGCGAAGCACAGAGATCTGAATGATCCTTCGAGGTCAAGGAATGGGAGGAGAAGTTGCAGCAGCAGAAGGCACAGTACGAGGTGCCCTCTCTTACTTGGCTGGCTGCTTCCATTTTGCCCTCTCCATTCCTCCAGGCCGGCAGTGAGCGGCACCTGAAGCTGGACCTCGTCTTAGTGCGTTTCTGTGCGTGTGTGTGTGTGTGTGTGCGTGTGTCTGTGATCAGTTGGTGCGGCAGAACGCACCATGCGCACCCAGGTCGATCGACTGCTCAATGACAAGACAGAGCTCACGAGAAGATGCGAACTCTTTTCAGACGAGCTCAAAGCCGTGGAGCGGAAGTATCAAATGAAGATCGAGGAGATGGAGGATCATGCTGCAAAGGAGCTGGCCAAGAACAAGCAAAACTGGATTGCAACGGAACGCTTGAAGCGGGAGGCATGGGAAAAGGATAAGGTAAAGGAAATCAAGGACATGACCGTGAAAGGCCTACAGCCTGAAGTGGAGCGCATCTTGGCCGAAAGAAAGCAGGAGAAGGTTCGCCTGGAGGAGCAGAAGACAGAGGCCCTGGAGGAGCAGAGGAGGGAGCTTCTTAGCTTGGCACAGCAGCAACTCCAGGAACTTCGCGAGCAGAAGCATCGCGAGACGGAAGCAGCGCTCGATCGGGAGCGGGAAGCTCACCGGCAGAAGGTGCGTGACGAGTTCGAGCGGTTCAATCGTGAGTTGCAGGAGGAGAGGACAAAATGTGCTGCTGATTTGCTGGCAGAGCGGCGGTTGCGTGAAGAGCTCATCCGACAGGCTGCAGAGGGCTCGGAGGTGAAATTACGAGAAGCGCTTGCTGCAGAACGTGCGCGGCTTCAGTCATCTCTGAACGAAGCAGAGGAGCGTCTCGCGGAAGCCAACCGCCAGCACCAGGACCAGCTTTCTCAGCTGGAAGCACGATTGCGAGCTCAAGCAGAAGCCAACTACAATGCGCAGAAAGAAACGGCACGCCTGGAAACGGAAGAACGCGAGGCGTCCCTGCGTAAAGAGCTGGCCGCTGAGCGTGATCGCCAGTTGGAAGTCGTCATGGATCGCCTCAGCCGGGAACACGTGGAGCGGCAGCTGGCCATGGAAACCGAAGCCAACAAGAAGTTGCAGGAAGCACGTGCGGCAGCAGGTCGGGGTCCTTGGGTTTCTACAGTATGGGCTGTCCTTCTCGAAATTTCATTCTTTTCGGAGTCTGCAGGAGAGGAGACCGCGCGTGTAGCCAAGCAGCTGGAAGAAGCAAGGGCGGAGGCTGGAGTGAAACGAAAGTTGGCCCTGGAAGCTTGTGAATCGAGAATCGAGGCGAAGCTGGTTCAGCAGCAGAAGAAGCAGCTGGAGGAAATGCTCTGCAACATGAAGGCAGGCTCTGAAGCGGTCGGTCTCTCTTTGCATATTCTCAGTCTGTGCAGAAAGGATTGTCAGACGGCCTCCGCCGAGCGCCTTGCAGAATGCCAGCAGAAATGCAAAAGGCTCAGAGGGCTGTCGCCGAAGGAGCGAATTGTCTGATCTGTGCTTGGCACGTCAGACATGGACCTGGAAAGCGACCGCAATGAGCTTCGGAAGGCTGCGGATGAGGCATCTCTGTACCAAACCTGTGTACGAGTGACATACCATCGCTGCTCCATTGCCGCTTGACAGGTTCTTCGTAAGCATCAGAACGAGCTTCAACAGCTCGAAGACACTCGCGAAAAGGACCTGTGAATACTTTCAGCATGTACCGACAATGCAGATCGGGCTTTTGTTCAGGAGCCCAACAATTCAACAATGCTGTTTCGATCAAGACATGAGAACGCAGGAGCTGCAAGACCTTCGTCAAAGCTTGGGTGAAGCCATGGCCCAGATTAAGGAGGACCGCGTTAGATGCAGCCGAGCTCAGCACTTGCAAGTACATACCAGATCGATCGTTTGAGTGTTTTTTTTGTATTTGCGTTGTAATTTTGGCAATGATCCAGTGAACCCTAGTTAAGTTTGGGTTTGGGTTACGTTTCGTTGTGCTGCAAGTTTTACTTGTGCATGGCAAGCTGATGTTCCGTTCTTTCTTGGCGGGCATGTGCTGGAAGGAGCAGGCGAAGCTGGAGGAAGTGAGCAAGGAGTCTCAGCGCCGCGAAGAACAGATCATTGCCGATTTGGAGGTCTGCAGGGGTTGTAAGTGTGTGTATTAGCCTTGTATAGTTGGGGGCCGCATGCCGACAGGCCAAAGTCAAGAGAACTTTGCAGGCCAAGGACTGTGACCACTTCAGTTGCACCAAGACTCGTTTTCTGTACCTCTTTTGACAGATCGACTTCCGATAATAGGGCGCTCGCCAGGACGAGACCATTGGCGAGCTTCGCAAAAGGTGTACGGCACTGGACAACAAGGCGGATTGCAAATGCACATGCAGCTAGCAGTCCTCGGACCTCGCATTCTTTTTGCTCGGGCTCCAAGCCAGGTTTCCGAATTCGGGTATCTGCTGGAGAGGTGCAGCTGCTTTGGAAGAGCCGGCCGTGAGCATCACTTGCAAGCCCTCAGGCAGCGCGAAGAGCTCCTCAGCGGTCTTCTGGGGGAGCCATGTCCGCATGAAGGGCCAATCCATCTTACTAGTACCAAGTGAGTTGCAAAGCGCCGCTGCAAGAGCAAAAGAGGGAGTGCCTTGCCTTGGGAGGACAGTCAGCGCTGACTCGCCCTCATGCCTGTACAGTGCAATTCAGCAGGAGACCCGGCCGTGTTTCCGCTTGTCCTCCAGAGCAGACTTGTTTGTGTAATTGCTGAGGACTGGTGCAACGCCGACATCCTTACAAAGAATGTTCGGTGCTAATTACTCGAAGTGCACGCTGCCATGTCATGGCATCACTCGTCAGCGTAGTCAAAAGCCTCCTAAGATGCGAACTGAAGAGTGGTCAGAGCATGCTCAACGTAATACCACTTTGAATCACTACGGCATGAGACGGCTGGTTATTAGTTACAGGCGCACACTTGGTTTGCCGATGTCACGGAGCTGTCTTAAATCCATCTTCGCTGTCTTGATTGAGCAGAGCGGAGAAGGGAGAGGCTGTGCTGGCAAGCATCAAAAAGCTCATGTGCGAATTCGCGTTTGGAGTCTGCCCCTACTCGGTGCCGAAGCCTTCGTTACTCACCTTCTGAGGCCAGCGCGAATTTGCCAAGCAAGCCTAAGCAGTAGATTTCAAGTGCCCCAAGATTGTGGTTGCCGAGCAATGGTCAGGTCCTTATGCGTCTCAATAAGCAAGTGGCTGCAATAATAGACCGGGGTCAAGATGTTTCAGACTCGCGAGGCATCGCGACTTTCATGCCTTGTCGTTGCGATTACTGCACTGGCTGCAGCACCCGGCTGAGTGGGCTTAGAGCGGAACCAAAGTCATTCTGGCACACGCCTGGCATTGTCTGGGCTCAGCTATGCAACGCAGAGGTTTTCAGCCTCTACTCCCTGCTGTGCAGCACTCGGAGCTCACGATTAGCGTCTTGAGGGAACGGTTTTCAGCACAGCCAGGCCTGAATCGGAGACCTTTGTAGCTCCGTGCCGGACCCAGTAACACAACATGGCGGCAGGCTTGCTTCTGTGCCCCGGACGATGCGTGAGTAAGGCCGCGCAATAAGTGCGGGTTTGTGTGTCTGTGTGTGTACGTAGGTATGTATCTATGTGTATGTGCGTGCGCATGCGTGCTTGTGCACCCCTTTTGGACCGACCAGGACTTCCCTTGCAACTGCAAGTTCCTGATGGGGTAGAAATCGATAGAATCCGATAGGATGTGTCAAAAAGTCGCACCGGGCTGCTCCACCTACTGTACCGTCAGGGAGCAACGACGAGCTGATGTTGTGGTGCTGAAAGCGTACCTGTTGCCTGTCTGTTGTGGCAGCTTGGTCCAACTTGTCGGCTCGGCGAAGTATGCGATCCCTGCGATAGAACTGTCACTAGGGCATGATTATCTACCATGCAGCAGATTCGACTGCCTGCGAGGGGGTGAGCGTGAACATTCGGGTGGGGGCACGAGAGGATGCCTGTGCTAGTGCATGCTTGGGTGCACGCCCTTGTGCGATTGAGCGCACCTTCAATATTTATTCTGTATTCTTGCACCGTGTCGGCTTGGCTTCTCTTGCGGTGCGTGGCTCGTTCCTCGGAAGTGTTGCTGAGTAAACGAGCACGTAGATTTTGTTGAGAGATAAGCTCGATGTAGTTCCGCTGCCTTGCTGCGGGGCCTCCTGCTCCTTTCAGGTCCTCTTCGCTCCGTGCCGGCGTGACGCTTACTGTGAAGTGCTATCGTTGTACGAGACCACGAACCCTGGATGAAAACGGTGCGACAAGTCGGGCCGAAGCAGGCCAGAAGTCCGAGACGGCTCGGAGCTCGAAGTCCTGGTGTGTAGTGAGCGGCTGAAAGCGACAAGAGCGAGAAGCCAGAAACTGCCAGCCCAGGCCCTTCAAGCTCAGAGGGACCGTCGCCCGACGGACCCAGAATCTTTGATGGTTCTCGTGTTCTTGGTTTCCTCCCCGTCCACCAGTTCTCCCCGCTGGCCCCACTTCCAAGAGGACTTGGATGAGCAGTATGGCAAGCCGCCACCGACCGAGACGCCGCAGTTTGCTACCTCCAACGTGGCCGACTCCTCAATGTCTTCATCAGTTGTCGCGATTGTCACAGCAACTCTGCAAAGCCTGCAATCCTGTTGACAGATCTTCAACGTGGCTTCAGTGTTCGCGCTTCTGCTTTTGGCTTGCCTTCCCTGCTTGCAAGCAGCTGCCACTCTAACTTGGGTACCAGTACGCCGCTGCCAGGGCTTCTTGGTGGTGGACGTCGGATCCGCCCGTTTGGAGGTCGCCTCCTATGGTGAGAGCTGAGTGGTCAAGTTGCGATAACGATTTTCGCGGCGCAGGCAGGGTCTGCATTCTGTCGGTCGGCATCAGTGTGAAGCAAATGGGGTTCTCAGAAGCATTCTTGTGGTGAAGGCTGGGCTGCGAGTCTTTTCACCTGACAGCTGGGCTTCCAGAGCATGTGCCGTGGGATATGAGAAGATTGATGAGATGATGCTTGGCTCGATTGCGAAAAAGAGGAAGACTTAATTTGCCCACTGCTGGATTATGGCTGCCCGCAGCGCGCTTTTGGAACTGCCATGCGCAGGTCTACAAGGAGAAGATGCAAGATCTACTTCGCCCGAACAGTGAGATGCTCCGTGTCAAGGCAAAAAGTGATATCGGGCCTTGAGTTCAAAATCAATTTTGCAGCATGGGTCCCTTGGTTACCTGACAGGAGCTGCCACAGCGCGGCCTTTTCGTGGATGGCCTATCTCGCGAATATGTGACGTGTGCTTCCGACGTGATGGCCGTCATTCGTGCAGGCCTTGCGATTGCAATGGGCCCAGCGAGCCGAGCTTCTGATCCTGTTTGCAATCTCTGGAGGTCTGCGGACGCGAGCTGTTGGCCGCACGCGCTGCAACAACTACTCCTCGCGCTCTCATGTTGTTTTTGTACTCCATGCCTGGCTCCCGGCATGTCGGTATATGTCGGTATGGTCGGTTGTCAGTTGTCTTGTCGGCGGGACCAAGGTGGAGCAGCAGTCCCTGCACGGCGAGGAGCGGTTGGGCAAGCCCCACACTGAGTAGATACTCTTCGAGTTCATCGTCGAGTTCTGGTGGCGTCTGCTGTGCTCAGGTTGACACTTGTCGACCTCGCAGGAAGTGAGAAGGTGTCCAAGAATGAATGCGTCGGCGAGACTTTCGAGGAAGTAGCACCCTCGACGGAGCTGGAAGTCATAGTCTGGGCGCCAGGTTCGCAGAGTTCGAAATGTTGAAGCCGAAGCAATTCAGGCCAAGAAGATCAACTGGTCTCTGAGTGCACTGGGCTGGGTTCCCAGCTACCAGTAGGAAGAGCCCGGAAACGTACGGACAGGCCTGCTGGGGGTCAATGAACAGAGCTCGAGAGTAGAGAGAAGATCAGTAGACTACCGAGGCAAAGTGATCGATGCGCTCGCAGAGCAACGCTCTCACGTTCCTTACCGGGACTCCAAGCTGACGCGTGTCTTGCAGGAGGCACGGTGGCATGTTCGATTCGGCATGATTCGGAATCATGTGTAACCCTGGTTGTAGACAGTGCTTTCGGCTGCAGCAACGCCAGCATGTCGGAACAGGTGCCAGATTACATTCTGAGTCCCGTTACATCGCAGTCTTTCAAGCAAGTTGCCATAGCCGAGAATCTCTCGACATTCCCCAAAATAACAACCGCCCTTGGCTCATCTCCAGCGGTGCCCTGTGCATTCCTGATGGGCCTCACCCAAGACCGCGGCTTCAATCGCTCACGTGAGGAGGCTGGAGCCCTGAAGAGTAAGCTTGCTGGAGGCACAGAGCATGATTTTCGCTCCAGGAAGCGGAGATGACCAAGCAGCCTGCGAGCTCTTCGAGTTATTGGACTTGCATCCTGGCTGTACAACGCATTTGAGTTGATGATCCAGCGCTCCCAGCCGATTGTGCACTGTGTCTGTCTGCCTGTCTGTGTGTGAGTGTGTGTGCATGTGCTTGCAGCGTGGTGGACAGTCGGGAGCGACAAGGGTTCGCCGTCTGTCCCCAAACGGTAGATGCAAGATCATTTGGCAGACGTCGGATCGGATGTCTCTCTGAGCACCCCGCTGTGAAGTGAAGCCAGAGGGTCATACCCTTCAGTCCCCGTCTGTGGGGCTGCAAAGGCCTGCAGATCCCTATAATTGAACGTATTCCGTTCAGGAGGGGGGATCTTACTCAGGTAGGCATTTCTGATCAAGACTCAGTTTCTTCCTTGAGATCGCCTCTCTTGTAATCCGGGCAGCGATGGTTGTAATGCTTGTACGGGCAGAAGCACTTGCAGCACCACAAGTGAATAACGTATGAGTGAGATGCTTTTGCATGAGGCCAATGCCGAGTGACCCACAACTACTTTGCTGCTTGGACGACAAGTTTCAAGTCAAAACTCGAGCAGCGGAGCAGGTGCTATTCGCACGTAGCAGCGGGTTTCGTGTCGTGGTTAGCACAAAGGTCAAAAGCGTCGGGAAGCATTTCATGTACAGGCAGGAGCTGTGCCCAAGGCGCCGCACCTTGAAAGGGTCATGGTTTCTGATGCTGGCAGGGGAGACGATGTCGAGTTCTACCGGCAACATGGCGACGAGCCAGGTCCTTGGCTGCGCTAGTGAGGTACTCGTATGGCATAATAATGACCGTGTGATTCATCTGGCGCTTCTGTGCTCTCAGGCTGTCTGCAGCGGGCTGCGACGTGGCCGACGTGTTGGCCGATCTGCGACGGCAGCGCGAGGCCACAAAGAGCAAAGAAGAGCGAAGACTGTTCTTGTACCTTGCTCGCTGCTCGCCCCTCGCTGCAGGAGCGTCTCAGCGTGGGCACCTGAGAGCCATGCATCTGCCCTTTCTTTCAGCTCTCAGAAGCCTCGAACCGCTGTGAGGCCCCAGATCGCACTATGCAGCGCGTAGACAAAATCGCTCAAAGCTACACTCGCCTCCACCCCGAGGCCCAAATGCCATGGTGTGTGCATCTCTCCATGGAAACTTCCATAGCCCACAGAACACATCTTGCTTGCCCCAGGTCTACATCCTAAATGCTCCTGCTTTCCTGGATCCTCGCTTTCTAAAGGTGGCTGTGATTGCTGCATATTGCTGCTGAGTTTGCGTCGGCGTTGAATAGTGCTGGACCTGACAGGTGGTGCAGGAGTTGCGCGTCTCCGGGCCGGCAGTCCTCCAGCAACAGTAAGACGTGCAGTTCCTCATTAGCCGCTTCAGCAGCCCTATAACGGTGCTTCACTTGCAACCTATCTCCGGAACAAAGGCAGCCAGCATTGCTGGCTTAAAATCTGAAGGTCTTCTGGAGGAGCCGTCCGCAGCATCCATCATCTGCTCTGAGCCGCGAAAATGTCAATGAAGCTTCCTGCCCGAGGAGCTGCGCCCGGGCATCTGGAGTTTCCCAGTCTTCACCACGGCTTTCTGCGATGCTTTTGAATCCGAGCTGGGCCACTTTCGAGCTTCAGGAAAGACCGGGAGGAGGCGGTAGGGAGTAGGGATCCTTTCCCAGCTTCGATGGACGGTCAGGTTTGCCTCGCTCTGCGCCCAACACGATGAACCGTCGGCACCACAGCCAAGCCTTTGCCATGAAGCATATATGAGAGCGACTCGCACGCGCTAGTCTGGTTTGTGTCAAGATGCGTCAAGGCCACGGAGTCATCATGTCAGAGCTGGGCTTTGAAGAGCTGCTAGACCCACTCGTTTTCGAGTATGTGAATGTCCTTGCCAGCCAAACCCTTGGCTTCCGTGGCCTGGCTGCTGTTCGCCGTTCGCTGCACGCCAACCCAAGGTCGCCTTCTGCCTGCCTTCACAGAGTTTCTGGACTCCTACCGTGGCTTTACTGTGCCGCCTGGTATGCAGAAGTTCTAAATGGCAATGTCAACTTGCACCTGGGGCAGCAGCAGAAAGACATTGAAGTGTGGACAGCGTTCAGACTACATGCGACTTAGACTTAGGTTGTACGAGGCGACGCAGGATGGAGACAAAGGCCTAGCCATGCATTATGATAACGCCGAGGCCTGGCACCAGAATCCACGCCAGCTTTGCGTAGGTCTAGCTCTGAGCGCATAGCTTCACATGGAGTATGGTTCAGGTCACCCTCAATGTGAACATCGGTGGCACCTGGCAAGGAGGCAGCCCAGCTTTCCATGGAGATGTGAGCTGATGTGTTAAAGTTGAAAGTGTTTGAAAGTGACAGGACATGTAGCCTACTATGGCCTGGCAACCTCCAAGGAGGAGAGTCCTCCTTTCGAAGTGTCCTTGCGAAAGGGCTATGGTATATTCCACGCTGGCATTGAACTACACAAGGCACGTGGCTTCGCACGAAAAGTACCAGGAAGTGAGGCACAACGTTCTGTGAGCAGGCACTCCCCATTACGTCCGGAACACGGCACAACCTCATCCTGTGGTGCCGGTCTAGTGGGATCAGGCGTGTTGACTTGTGTCCTGATATGCACCTCATCACTTGTCTTGCATGCACAGGAATGACATGTGCCCAATGTGCTTCCAGCAGCCGCAAGTGGCAGGGCCCTTGAAGCCATGTCAGTTTGGAAATGACGCAACAAAGCATGCGCCACTGGCTGAGATTGCAACGAACAGACACCACCACGAGGGCTTCACAGTGCCGCCCTGCGAAGAGGCAGATCTCACTGCAATCCTTCATGGCAAAGTAGCAGAGTCTCCCTCGTCCGTGCGAGGCAGAGTGGGGCCGAACTGCTGAGGTGGACCTGTACGACTAAACTGGCGGGCAGTCTTAACTCTGAAAGTGCCAAAGTGGTAATGCTCTGAGAGGAAAGTTGCTGAAGCTGTGTTCTCATCCCACATCATCCCCTACCATCCCTACCATGGTGCTGCAGTGCTTGGCTGCTTGTTTCGATTGATCGAGCCGGTGGGCGAAGACACTGAGTCAGCAGCAGCTCTCTTCTGCATGCACTTGTTCCAAAGTTAATATCCATTGTACAGAGCTGCCTTGCCCACGCCGCCTAGACGCTGTACAGCACGGACGGTGAGCCTGGTCAGCTGCACATCAGCTGACGGAAGATCAACCTCAGTGTTTGCCAACATTTGCAGCTGCATTGGTGACTGCATGGCCGCCTTCCAGTAGCATCTGGTCGCTACATGTCACGCCCCGCCACTGTCACGTGTTGTACGGAAGGCGTTGGGTGGAAACTGTCGCACGACGCTGCTGGTGGCTGCTTCACCCTTTTCGCAACATGCCGCAAATGCCCCAGCTGCAATTTTTTTGCCGTGGGTCTGCAACTGGGATGCGATCGGTTGAGTTACTTGCTTCATTGGTTCATGCAGCTCTGACGGCAGTACACATAATCACGTGGAAGCAAATCGAGGATGAGACACTTTCATCGCTCCGGTTTGCCACGCGAGCAAAGAGTGCCTAAAGCCAAGTTGTTCCGCAGAGATACTTGCAGCTGCTTGCACTTCAAGAGCTGTCGAGGTGCGAAACATTGCGAAGGTGTCTTGGCAAGCCTTGGGCGAGCCTTGATAGGGGATGAGTGGCAGAGTGTGGACTTCCGAGGTGAACTACACCTACTCGCCGGAACAGCTTCTCGTCCTGGTTGGAAAACTGCACAAGCAACTGCTGGGTTCCTTGGCTGCAGTGCGACTGGCAGCCTTACCGGCGCCGTTCTCCGTACTTCCTTTTCACAAGATGCTCCCTTTTTCGACCCTCTCCGCATACTGCTTACTTCGCGCGCGGATGGTGGGACTTGGCAAGGTGGGGCACGAAGGTTCAGTGCAATTCTATTTGTGCGGGAGGCCGCACCCACAAATACACGCACGCTCGCGCAGATGCTCAGAGTGTACTTTGAGGTAGCGATGCTTTCGGCACGTTTCCTCGTTGAGAGTTGCAAGGCATATCTATTCTATCATGATTGCGGGTCCTAGCTACGAAGGAAGCATCGATCGACACTCCGACCCTCCCAGAAAATGCATTCCAAAAAGGGTCTAACCCCAAGAATCCAGCCGTGTCCCAGGTGCGAATCAACACATCATTGAGCTCGGCGGCTTGCCACAGGAGCTGAAAGGATTGTGTCATGTGGGAGCCAGGTTGTAGGAGATGACACTTCAGAGACGGTGGTAGCTCGTACTTGCAGGTAGCTGCAAAACTTAAAACAGAGTGAGCCAGAGTGACAGGCCGGAGCAGATGCGTGTTAACCCGAGGTCAATGACCATGTACAGTGTGTCATGACATGTCATGAGGTTAATGAATTGCCCGTCGCGGTTCATCTGTCAGCATCAGAAGGAGGCTCCAACGCACGATGCCGACAAGGCCTGTGCTTTGCAGGTGTAGCGTGCGTGCTAAGCTTTGGGAGAAGCCTACGCATGCTACCTGCGACTTCGAAGTGTCGCCTGCGCAGTGTGCCACACTTGCCGCAACCAGCAGCACAAGATCGCTGAGGAGGCCTGAAAACGCTTGAGCTCGAGACTTTTCCAAGAGCCGTTGTGTTCCCGGCCTTTCGGCATTGGAGGCCTTCCTCCGGCAAGAGCTTCTTCATACCCGAAGAGGCCTTTGGCTTTGCCCTGCAGGTGCAAAGATGTGCGGCACATAAATTACTGCCTTTTCAGGCCTCGTCTGTCTATGGCTCTGACAGCCTGAGGCTTCTCTTGCCGTAGCCTCTTCGAGTCTCTGTGCAGAGAAGTAGTTTCTGGTGCTGACCGCAGGCCGGTTAGCATCGAACTGTCGGAGCCAGATCTGACTCAGGCCCACGGTCTCGAACTAGTCGCTACACCCCGGTTCTGCTGCCGCACTGGTGCACGACATGGCGAAGTGTCCGATCAAAGCCACCGGTCGGGAAGTTCAGTTCACCCAACCTGAGATCCATGAGTGGCTCTCCTAGTCTCAGAGATGGCTCCCAAAACAGGCCGTCCCGGGAGTTCAAAAAGAGGACGATGAAGAGGAGGACGTGGAGGACCATGCCAACCATGTGCTTCACGAGATGCCATGTCAAGCAGAGATGCGCAATAAGAGCCCCGAATCAGGCCATGAGTTGGCATCTCTACGATGAGGCACATGCAGTCGGTCCAACTTTTAGATAACCGACTTCTTTGAATCTTTGAAGGTCTTCAAGCCCTTTGCGCTCTCAGCCCAGAAGGCTATAGGTGCAATGGAGGCTCGTCTTTCCTTTGATGTTTCGATCCTGCTGATGCCACTTCTCGAGTCTAACAGGATGCACTTCTCGCCCAAGAGCAGGCTTTGGCAGAGGCCTGCTTCCACTCTCAGCCCACTGCCTTGCAATGTCGGTGCAGCTGGTGTTGGGTCAGGTTCGACTGAGACATGCTCAGCGCGAAGATGCCGGCCACAACAGGTGCCCCGTGATGACAACCGCGCCTGCTCGCAACTGCTCGCGCCTGCTCGCAGCCTGCAGGCCGACTCCAAGTTACAGCTCAAGCCATCCAGGCCCAGGCCCGCTGAACGCTCGCATACGCTCGCGCATGCCTACAAGGGCCAGGCATTGGGGTGAAGCCTTGCACGAGGCTTGGAGGAAGAGAGCCGGGAAGCAAATCTCCTTTCGGAGCGCTTTCGTGCCTGGCTCCCAATTGCATTGCACAGCGATGTGTCCGCGATGTGTCAGCCATTCTTTTTCGCGGTTCCAGGCTCTGAGACACGCGGTGGAGTCGCGCAGCCTCCGATGGAGGCGAGTTTCGTTCCCAAACATGTACCAAACATCGTGTATATACAAAGATGATTCGGACAGATCTCTTTCATTGGCAAGGCTGCAGGTGGAAAAGCATCGTGCCGAGCAGCTGCAGCAGCCTCAGGCACGAGAGCCTTCCGTCAAGAAGGTTGTTGGATGTGATGCCAAGGGTAATCGAGCTGCAGATGCGAGACAAATTCCAGAAGGACACTGTTTTGAGCGTATGCCCGATGACAGCCAGAGCCGTTAGCCATCAGTGGCGTTATGAATTGTGAGTCTTGGGCGATGCAATCGTTTGACGTCATTTCGCTCTTGGCTGCTTTGGCTTCACTCCACAGTAGCAGCCGATTCGACGCATGTGGATCATGTAGATGCGAAAACTAGCAATGGTCTTTGAAGGGCATCACGAAGGCTACTGAGCACAGCAGCTACCAGCAGAATCAACAAGCTGATGGCAGAGCCTGGTACCAGGCAGGCCCATTGCAGGCAGTACTGGATGGCATATGGAGTTACTATGAGTTACTGGACTTGAGATCATACTGTCTCTATCCTTGCATGCGCGTGAACTCTCTCTTCCCTCCAGTCTAAGAAGCACGTCATACTTCGTGGAAGCTGTGGGTGTGAGCTCTGTCTTTGTTCGGAACTTCGTAACTTTGCAGAAACCGGCTCCTGCAAGCAGCCCTCCTTGCGGTTTGAAGATGTTCGGGGTTGGGTTGTGTTGCCAGTTCCGATTCTGCACTTGATCTCAGTGTGTGTCGGCTAGATTGCTCCAATGCCGAGTGCTGGATCCGCTTCGCTTCAACGCTGAGTTGATTCGTGTCTTCTTGGATCTTGTGCGCAGATTCCTGTCTGCCGTGGATCCGAAACGCTTGACCCGTCCTACCAATAGTACACAGATTGTCGGCTATTTGGCCTTCGCGATCTCTGCAAGGTCTGTCACGGATCCCTTTCCAACCTGCCGCTCAGCAGGTCAAGTGCAAGAATTGTGCCAGCAGCAGCACGAAAAAGGAGTCTCAGAACCATTTAAACAGAAGAGTCCTTTTACTCACGGATTGGGTCGTTCTGAAAAAGATACTGGTTGCAACTCTCTGCTCCCATCATCTCACAACAGAAATCTCCTCCTCCCCTCCTCCTCCTCCTCCTGGGCACAGGTGTAGTCGGAAAATCCAAGGTGCCATCAGGCCAACAAAGTCTCGGGTCGGGCAAACGCCAGGGATTCAGTGCGGGCTGCGGGAAAAAGACGCAAAAACGTTGAACTTTTCTTTGGGATCAGAAGGGTCCATCCACTGCCTGGAGTGGTTTCAGGCCGCTTCCATGTCGGGTTGTCCTTGTCGAGCCCCGCGATGCCCGAAATGTGGGCATGGCAGCGAGCCTGGACTCTCAAGTTCAAATTTGATGAATATTTCCTCCTGAGTGCGTCCCCAGCCTCCACATGAGGTGGCTCGCGCTTGCGCCAACTTCAGCGTTCGTGAGCTCGTCGTTCGTGCCTCAGGGTGCTCCTCTACCCGAAACGTCTCATGAAATTGGGCACCCAGGTTGTACATGCGGCTAAGTTGGAGGCTGCTGTAAGCCGGGCAAGCCGTTCGGCAGAGAAGGCAGGGCTGTTTCTAAACCCGTGCACCTCCTGCACGCTTGACAGAAATCTCTTGCTAAATGACACCTTCAGGCTCGCCAACTTGGTATCGATGCCGACCAGATCACCGAGGCGCTGTAATGCTTGAAAGACGGGACGGCTTTTGACAGAACCCCCCAACAGCTGCGCCTTCAAGGCTCCCAGCAGCAGCAGCGTGCACTGTGCTCGGGCCCCAAGCGCAGAAAGAACCCATCCGATGCTGAGAGACCGGAATGCTTTGAAGTGTTGTGTTGCACTCAGGCACTGGACCTTTCAGCATGGAAGGGCTGTGAACGCTTGGCGACTACGGAGGCTCGACGAAGATCATCTGACATCGGCACGAGAGACCTCAGCAGCGCAATTGTTCTCTGTCGGTGTTCTACAATGCCGACAGGGTGAAGAGGTCCTGCAGTCGGCAAAGTTGTACGGAAACCTGAAAGCTGCACTCTCTGGCGCAGGCAAGTTTTCAAGATCCCAGAATTTCGGAGGATATCTGACGGAGTCTGGCTGAATGCAACATCGCGATGGCAGGCCTCTCCATCGCATTTTCCGGACGCCAAGGTCGGAACTTCCGTCATGCCCTCGAGTCGAACATCAGAACACACCGCGATGAAAGCAACACCCATGACACTTTCCCCAAAGGTGAACCAACATTGACTCTCAAAAAGCTTGCCCAAAAGCTGGCTTCGACTTCGACTGCAGAAGCTGTGGTCCCGGTGCGAGTGTAGTGCAGCTTTTCACGCGTTTCTTGACGTGTTGATGTGCTTTTACCTTCAGCATCATGTAAGTCGCCCGTAGAGAGACGAGCTTGCATTGATATCATCCAAGGTCGGACAAGTCGCAGCGAGCGACAATTCTGGCGAAGGACTGCTGCAAAGAGGGGAACGAGGGGGCGGTGGTGATGGTGGTGACGTGTGTGTGTGTATATATATATATTATATTACATATAAAATATATATATATATATATATGTGTGTGTGTGTGTGGGTGCGTGTATATGTGTATTTGCACGACAGGGCTTTCGAGACAAGTTGCCCTCGTCTTCGGCTCGGAGGACCGACCTCGGCCCGTGCTTGTGCTGAGCTGTGCGAAGCGCCGCAGTGCAAGGGAATTGCAAGCAGGATGTTGGCCTTTCGACGGAGTCTGTGCTGCTGTGCACAGATGCCAGGTCCAAAGTCGAGCCTCACTGTTTTCTTCCTTCAGTGACGAACATCACTTCAAGAAGACTTGCAGAGTTTGGGGGGAATCTGTTGGCTTGTTGCTGGAGGTCTGTCGACTGCAGACTGGCAGCTGTCCATCCTTAAACTTGTCACATGCAGTAGCACGCGCCCGAGTTGTTCATTCGGCAGTGAATCCGTGCAAAGCGTAACTTAAACATTGCATCTTATGCAAACCTCCGTGACACTGCTCTGCTGACAGGCCGTGGTGCTAGCGCGCATCTTCGAGGAGGCATGGGGAGCTTGCGCTGGGTTACAGGCGAACGCAGCCTTGTAGCTTCAAGCCATCAGCCTCTGTACCCGATTGATGTGGCATGGGAATGTGGGCATTATCAAACTTCTCGGCTCTCGTTGCACCATATTCGTAGAATTTCGCATGCCGAAGTTGTCAACTATGCAGAGCGGATGTGGTTGAAGCATTCTATAGCAGTATCAAGATTGAGTTGTTTTCGTTCGTTCAAGGGTTTCGAGCATGCATACTATGTAAACACATGTAAGCAGTTCTGCTAGGGTCTGTATCATCGTAGCAATCAGATGCAGTTGAAGTATCACAGTTTCGAGAGAGGAAGGATGCTACATCGACATATTTAATATACACAAATTTAGCTCTTCAACATTTGTACATATGCTAGTTAGTGTATATGCAGATTGGTGTGCCTCTCGCCCTGGCTCATCGTGTCTGACTCAAGTCTGAGATAGCTCAGGCTAATTTGTGCCCAAAGCATGTCAACCATTCCCCATTCGCACTCGCTACCTTGTCCAAGGGTTACATACTGCAGCAAGGCAGATTGAGCCAACACACCTCTGCTAAAATCTCTATTGTCTCACTCACTCTCTCTTTCTCTCTTTCTATCACACGCTTCGGGGTGCGCACGAGTCCCCTTCTCCGGAAAACCGACAAACTTTGGCGGGCGGACCGGAGATTGATTGTGAGTGCGGTGACTGTTCAAATCATGCAAACTCTCAACAGTCCATATGTCAACTTCTGGACAACATCACGAAGGGGCCGTGGCTCCATGAAGCGTTGCTACCATTATGACTTGGCCCCTTGTGTGCACAGGTTCAAGAAGAGCCGCCGTCTTGCTCAAGTGCGCAGGCAGTTGATTTGAAGCCAGCAAGTAGAGCATTTCAACATGTGTCAAGAACAAGAAGTGCCGTGGCAGGCCACCAAAGCTGCAGCGGACGGAGCTGTGCCCAAAGATGAGATCCCAGCGCCGGTGTGGACATCGGACTGGTCAGAACTGTGTCGTGCTCGCTTGGAGGCCAGGCTGGGCAGGGTTTCGGGCCCTCCACCGATGGATGCTGGTTCCGGACTGTCAGGCGCAGGGCTATCCAGCGAAGGCGCACCAGCATCGCTTTCGGTTTGCGGGTTCTCTGGGCAGCAAAAGCCGGCTGTGCGTGCGCAGGCAGAGCTTTGGCATGGCCGTGGACGAAGGCATGGTGGCGCGAGCTGAAGAGCGGTCCACTGTGGAGTTGGCAGCATGCAAGGAAGTGCCTGTACACTTACCGGCTCTTCCGTGTGGTTGCAGAGTGTGTTCGGGCCCTGGAATGCACTGAAGACAGTCGTGTTGCCTCATGCGCAGCTTGCACTACCCAGGCACGGAGCTTGCAGCGCACAAATGCAACAGATTCCGAGGCCACACCTTGTCTTCCAAAGAGACTCCTTGCACGCTGCGAACTGAGCAGGTCAAAGCCTGGACCAATCTCGTGCAGAGTCTCTCGCAGGCCTCCGGCAAGAACCCTTCAATACTGAAGTTCACGATCCATTTTCTGGAGTCGTGCTGGTGACTGCTAGTGATAGTGGTACGTGGGACCCTGGAAACTGTGGACTTCAGCTCAGTGAACGAGTACTCTCTGGCCAGGTTTGCACCGGAGCAGCAGCTGACCAAAGTGAATGTCAGTCTGATGGAGAAGATATGGATTCAACGTGCGTTTCAGAAAAGCAGCGAGATGCGGCGCACCGTCATTTGAGAAATGCCAAATGTCGCACGTATTGACTGCAGGAGTTGGAGCAAAGCCTTGCAGAGGCCCGAACACGCCTAGCTGAAGCCGAGGAGCGAGTTGTCGAGTTGCTGTCGGTGATGTGAAAAGAGCAAGCACGGCGGACAGGGCGGCCCCAAACTACATACAGGACCCCTCTAGTGTGACCTCCTGTTTTTGCTCTGGGCACCGCCAGTCTCTTCTGAACCCAAGAAGCAGCTCGGCAGTGAGCAGTGTCCCGATCCGTGTTTGATCGGTAGCCAGTACTTGTGCCAACAAGATAGACGGGCACCGAGAAGTGCGCCGGGAAATGCGAGGATGGGTGGGGTATAAGTGGAGTAAACGCCGAGCATGCTGAACACGCAATTAGAGCCCTTGGCCTGCATTAGGAGCTCAGTGCTGCCAGGGCCAAGGCATGGAACCAAGGAGTCCCAGATAGTCCCAGTTTTGTGCTTCAGACATGGGCATGCAGGCCTCAACAGCCAGCTCTGGCACCGGCAACACGCCTGCACCGCGAAGTCCTCCAGGTTTCAGCTTTCGTATTGTGATAGATATTGTGATTCTTGGCCACTACGCCTCAGCGCGGGAAGGCTCCTCCGGAAGTAACTCTGCTGCAAGCCCCCCAGTTTTTCCACCATACCGGACTAAGCATGTCTTGCATCAAGACAAGGGATTCCGGAATTCCGAGGCATCGCGCAGAGAAAAGCCTCGCATAGTGAGGCAAGGTGTAGGTGAGATGTCCAGCATCCTTCGAGGCGCATGGCCTTTTATTTTGACTTGTCTGTGGCTAGGCCAGTTCCAAGGACCAGGAATACGCGAGGATCACCAACGAGGTCCCATGTTGGAGGCGCAGGACATCGACTAGAGTCGCTGTTGCAGTCACAAGGTCGAAGACTATGAGCTTGGACGTGCCCAAAGAGGTGCATATTTGCTTACGTGATGCTGTTGAACCTCTGCCGGGTCCACACTGACGACGGCTGAGCTGCAACTTTTTTTTGAAAGGTACTGTCACCGCTCGTGTCGCCCAATGCTTCGTCTTGAGCCAAGAAAGCAGCGAAGCCACAAGCTCAACGCCAGACACAGACATTCTTCCAAGGCGAATACCGACACCTTCTGCGAGGGCGGAGGATGTCTTGTGGGTTGCAGGTCTGGCACCATGTGGGCGCACATGTCCAAGTTGAGAACGAGAAAAGTTTTGTCCAGGCACCGGTGACACTGGGGGCGAAGCTTCGGGGAGTTCCACTCTGGAAAGCAGCTGTCGCCTTACACTCCAGCTCGAATGGCTCGACATATCACTGCCGGGTCACGACCCTTTCACTGCTGGCCGCAAGAATGTTGCTTAGGTTGTGAAACGGGTGCGCTTGTTGGGGCCTCTTCTCTCGCGTGCGATTGTTTGATGATCAGTATTGGTTGCAAGTAGGTTAACTATCGACATCTTAAATAGACTGTTTGACCCGAGTAAAGGCGAAAAAAGTAATGCCGCGCGCTTACGCTAGCGAACAGCCTTCAGGCGAGCACGAGTGTCGATGCCAAGGCGCAAGGGGCAAGGTGCTCAGCATGCAACGATCCACACGCCTTTATGTTTCTGATATCTTTCTGTTACTTTCAGAGTCACTGAGTGTTTTTTCACAACTCCGTACGTGCCACAGATCGAAGTTCTAGGCGTCGATGGACATGGACGCCCGGGCATCGATGCAAGGGGAGGCCCTGGTTTGTGGCTCTGTGGATCTAGAACGGCAAAATAGGGGTACAGGAGATAAAAAAAAGCATGGCACTGCCGTGTGCAGCTGCTCCAGGCCGTGCAGACCGACCTGAAGCAGCAGGATGGGAAACCCTGAGCTTCGCAATGGATGAAAGATGGAAGCGTGGAGTGCGAGGCTTTGTTAGAGCGACGTTCTTCGAAGCTTCGCGATCTCATGGGGGAGTGCGGGACTTGGAATGAAGGCCGGACAAAGGAGTGTCTGGGCGCAGCAAATCGGAGCCAAGGCTGCAGTCGAAGGACTTGCAGATCTCAGCGCTTCGCCATCAGGCATCTGTGCCTGAACCTACCGAAGAGCTACCTTCTACTCGTAGCGTTGTAGCAGCACATAAGACGCTGGCATACTGATCGTGACGGGAGAGCGCTGACCTCACGCAGATACGAATCAAAGATGCCTTGCTGGGATGTCTTCAGGATGAGGACTCCAGAAAAGCACACCGCAACTCAGGGTATAGGGCTGCGGCGAAGGAGCGCTTCCGCTTTGAGACTCTCGACTCCGAGCTCGAGGCACTTCTTGAGAAGGCAGCCGGACCAGAGCTGGTCGTTTTCTTGTTTTCCCCGCCCCCGTCCCCTCCCTTCGCAGAGGCGCTGTCTCCTTTGACGGCGATCTTGACACGTGAGCAGACCGCTCGAACTGTGGCGACGTCCGGACCCTGGCGCATCTGTGCCGACGTTGCACCGCTGCACCAGTGGAGCGCCTCTAAGACCTCGGCCAGCGGGACCGAGTCGCCAGTGAGAAGATCCTATATTCCTATATGCTCCGCCTCACGCCTCACGGGCAGTCAGAGTCAATGGTGTTATTGATGTACTTAGACTATTTGAGCAGGACCCCTATTGTAAGCAGCTCTCTTGCTGCATGTTTCTTGTACGCAGTGTGATAACGCAAGGTGGACCTTTTGCTGGGGCTTTATTGGTGGTGGTTTGCAGTATCAGCTCCAGCTGCTGATGGGATGGGAGCAACCCGTGCAGAACTGGAGCTGATGCTAGTAGTGGGACCAACGATGGCAATGGCAAGGTACCCCTAATTTTCGGAAACTCCCATATACTATATAACCCTAAACCCTAAACTTAGAAGTAACGATGTGCAAGTACCAGTATCTGTCTGTTCATGCACCTGTGCATGTGCCGGCATACCTTGCTTATGTGCAGCCAGCATGGTCTGTCAGAAAAGCAGATTCCCCAGACTAGACCTGCGAGAGCACAGGCATTGAGCAAACTGGAGTAGGCCGTAGTTGCTGCCGAAAGCTGGCAGTGATTATTGTACAAACTACATAACCAACGGTCGCCGTTTCTTCGGTGGCCTGCGGGCGGTATGCCCCTGTACTTTTAATGTTCTTGCCGTTGGCATCTGCTGGCAAAACGTCAGCGGTGGTCCGACAGCCAAGGAATGTACCCCCTCCGCATCTTCGTAGCGAAGAGACGCTTTTGCCATAAGTACTTCCTGATTCTGGTAGAACCTGCTAACGGCAGAAGCCTCCGAAAAGCCTAGCCAGCATTGCAACGAGGTCTCGATCAAGCAGGTCTTGCGAACAAACAGGCCGCGCTAGTACCAAGGCCAGGTCCCAAAAGTGGAAGTCGGCCGACGCGAAGACCAAATGGACCATGTTCGACCAAGGTGTCTCAAGCAGGCCCTGGCAACCGGACGAGTCGCACGTCGTCACGGCCGCGACAGCTTCAGGCAGGGGCGCAGCGGAAACGGAGCACAAGCCTGCGATTTCGTGAGCGATCTTGGAGAGGCCCCTTCTTCAACACCTCGGACGGAGCTTCAGGAGGCCCCATGACCCTGCTGCTACTCGAAACTCATGGCGCGGAGGTTCCAAAGTAAGGGGGAGCATGCCGCCGTGATCTTCAAAATTGTGAAGTGTACTGTGAAGAGGATTGCGGACGCTTCAACAGCTTTTTTTTAAAGTTTGGCCTGCTTCTCGATTACAGCCTAAAAGACACGATTTGCCGCACGCTGAGGCGTCTCGTGAAGATGCTACTGCCCGAGCTGAGGACCTGGCCGTCGGATCCCCGGAACATAGGTTACTCTTTGTCAAGTCCAGCTTGATGCGTACTCGTATCTGGCTAAGGCGAAGTCTCGAAACGAAGCACTTCAAGCAGAGGCACTGCCATGAGCGATGAAGGGTGCATGCAGCAATGCAGCACGGAAGCCGTTTCACAATTCAATAATCGCTCTGCGTCAAGCCGAACTTGTGAAGGTCGCAGGTTTGAGAGAGGAGCTTCGTGAAGCCGACAAGCACATCAAGGCACCTGACCACTCCCTGTGACAAGCTGGCCTACCGCATCCTGCGGCCCGAGCCGGCTCAGGTGGCTTCTCTCCAGGCCACTGCTGTGAATGCAGAGCTTCGAGACAGGCGGCAGAGGCAGACCCGTGCATGAGGTTCTGTGATGTTTCTGGATGCACTTTCAGCCACATCCCGCCAGCCGCTAGACGTTTCTTCACCTCAGTGGCTGAGAGAGACCGAGAGGGAGGCCGCTTTGGCAAGTAGTTGTATTCCAGTGATTGTGCTTGAGAGGATGCATGACCTGCGTGGTCTTCGCACTTCCAGCGTAGCCAATAAGCTGGGTCAGAACATGAGACAGAGATTGCCTTGAAATTTGGCAGTGTCTTGTGCAGAATTTTGATATGTGATGATATGTGTCATGCGAGAGGACGCGCCTGCACTGCTCCAACGGAATCAGACTTTACAAGTATGACTCATGAGCCCCTTGCATTGGACCGTCAGGGACCTTAAAAGTTGTCAACATTAGTAAGCTGCGGGATGGCAGCATGGGGATCTTGTGATAGTGTTGTCTTTTCCGCTAGCTTGGACGGATCGCTGTCACGGAAGGCATCAACAGTGGATCCGCCGCATGCAGGCCATCTACAGCTGGAATTCTCTGCTGGCTGGTGAGCATGTTGCTGTCTTTGTCTTCTCGCATCTATGTCACCCCGTTGCCTCGTGGCACTTCTGAGGAGGAAGCCACGAAGCTTCGCCGTGAGAGTCAGCGTTTGGACACGACCTGAGCTGCTGAAGACCATGTTACGTCTAGCGTGCAGAAGCAGAGTAAATTAGGAAGACGAAAAGATTGAAATATGGCTACACTAGTTTGTATCTGAGCATAGCAACTATTGGAAAATTCACCCCACACCACCACGAAAATGAGCGGCGTCATTCCCAGCTGACGCGCGCACACGGTCCTCTCGAACAATCTAAAACTTGCTACTTTGCATGTTGAGCATGGTCCACTCATTGTGGCTCCGATGGCTCCGATGTGCGACTTTTTGCAGACCTGTTTCCCATTCAGATGGGAACCGTGCCTCTTTGCTCGCAAGGATGCATGGGCATGCCTTGTAGAGCGAGCCACGAAGCGAGAAGAGACTGTCAGGTTGGAGGCCTTAAGCGAGTTGCAGCAGCGGCTGAAGACCGTGAAATCCCAATGGCAAGATGTGGAGCCGTCTGCATGTTGAAGCCATTAGAAGCAACATCCACATCCATCTCTTGCGAGTGTAAGGCTGCGTCCTCCCTTTCGCCCGTAAAAGAAGACGATGTTGCTATGAGCATTGCAGAGCCATGCCTGATTACCGAGGACAGGAGCTTCCATCAAGCAGGTGTCGAGGACGATTTCGTGCAGTAGCGGCGTTTCTGTGAGTCGTGAATGCACGGTTCTCCTGCCCACGGTTCATCCGTCCCTTTATGCATTTGTTCATTCGTTCATTCATTCACGCCTTCTCTCTCTCTCTCTCTGTCTCTCTTGCCCTCCAGCTCTCTCTGTCTCTCGAGCTCAATGCGGCTTTCGGTGTTCTCGGCCCAAAGTCAAAACACGGAGAGCTGAGTGTAGCTCAAAGGGGCCCTGCGCTCTCCAAAGCTCTCCAACACCGGGGGCTTCTGCAGCCTCGGTGTTGTTTCGTGCATGAGCTGCTGCCTGAGAGCGGGTTCGACTCGACTGGAAGACTGAATGGGATGCTCTTTGCTCACGCCGGGCACCGCTTAGGAGCTTCCTGATGTATGGGGCGCTGGTGCGATCCAGGCTAACAGAAGATGGACTCCTTGTTTCAGATGTGGAGGCAAGTTTGTGATACTTTGCCCACTGCAGTGTTTCCATTTCTACTGTGTTTATGGGTCTTGTTGCATGTCCTGGCGGCCACCAGGACCACACTTCCTTCATGTCACTGGGAGCTGGTGTCGGTGCCGCTGCGGGCGGCATGGGCGCCTTCATGCTGTGCGCGTTTGGCGCTGGGTTTCAGACATGGCACAGCAGACTGCAGCTGCTGTTGTGTGGCTTAAGCGACATGCAAATTTTCTCGAGGTCCAAATGTCCCGGAGGCATAGGTCCGGAACCCGGGCAGGGCTGGTGCTGCAGTGCTGCGCAGTCAACGAGATCCCAACACCAAGGAGGCTCTTTGGGAGGCATGCTGGGTGCCATGAACCCAATGAATCTCATGCCATTCGGCTCCGAGAAGGAGGAGAAGGAAGCTGATGAGGTGAAGGCGCCGACGATGCACGTGAACAGGGGAGGAACGAGCCTTGACATGTTCCATCTCAGGAGCCTGAATCAAAGATGCAGAAACAGTTGAACTACATCGAGAAGGAGTCTTGTCACCGACCAGCATTCTTTCCTTGCGCGGCACGATTGCCTGCCGGCAATGATAATGCGTCAGACACAGGAGCTGTGCAACATGAACTGCAAAATGGCCGGTCTCATGGGCGCTGCTGCCGGAGGGGCTGCTGGTCATGTCGTCGAGAAGAAGTTGAAAGAGAAGTCGGAGGTGCAGCGTCCGAGAATTTCCTAGCATCCCTCCTGGCAGCGAAGCAGCTGCAGGCAGAAGCTGCTGCGGACCAAGAAGCAGAAGCCGAAGAAGCTCCGGCTCCGGCCGCTCCCGCTCCAGCTCCGTACAAAGGTGGTGGAAAAGGCGGGCTACGGGTCGCAGTGCAAGGGCAACGCAGGATATGAATGGAGTGAGCATGATGCACACATTGGTGAGGTGGCTACGGTGGCTTTCTCGGGCTGTCAGAATTGCATGGCAGCAGATCGTAGCATTGTTCATCACTGTTCAGTGTCCCGGGGGAAGCGAGGCTATCCCCCGCCGCCGCCTCCAGGCCGCTCTGCTCTTTCTCGAGTCTAGCGCTGAGAATCGGAGACCCTGTATGTGTCGTGGAGGATACTACCGACACCCGCCGCCTCCGTACCGACGTCCTCCACCCTACTACCACGGCCTTTGCCTTGGATCCTGCGACTCGGCAACTCCACACTGCCGCGATTCCTCTTGCAGAGCCCAGGCGGCGGAGGTGGCCCACCCCCGCGGCAGTCGTTCATGTGATTGGGCCCGGGCTTTGGACGAGCAGAGCTTTTGCCGTTCGGCGGCTAGCGACTGAGCATCCCTAGGAGCCCGGGAGAAGGATGCCGACGAGCTGAGTGAGCAGCAGAATGAGCTTGGTGCGACTGCCAACCAGCCATCTTGTTGCAAAAGGTCTCTGCAATCAGGCTCCAGAGCTGAGGGCAAACCACTTCTGAGACAAGCCAGAGCACAAATGCAGGAAAGGCGAATTGCCCGGAGCCAGGATGAGATACACTGCTTGACATTGGCAGATCATTCCAACAAGTCTTGTTGTTGCTTGAGGCCGAACTTGCAAGGACCCAGCCGGCGTGGGAACCAAGTTCTCCGCGCTTTGGAGCACCCAAGCTGCGCCAAGCCCTCCCTTTGTCAGGAGACGGCCGAGGAAAAGCTTCGACTTCTGGAGGTCGTCAGGGAGACTTCTCTTTCATGTTCTTTCTCTCCGGCATTCCATGGCACACAGGCCAACTGCGAAAGACTCCAATTGGAGAACGAGCGACTGGAGCGAGAGCTTTCAGCAGGACTTGTATTTGTGTGCTGCCAGAGCGGCGAGGCGGGCAAGGCCTCAGACATTTGCACTCCTCTATGAGGACAGACAGAGCTAAGCTATGTTCGGGATGCCAGAGACCCAGATACTCGGGTTCCGGCATAAAAAAAACATCTGGCCCAAAGACTGTTAGCAGAACCGGCAGAACATTTCGCGCAATGGCACGACGGAAGTTTCAGGTGTCCACCGTTGAGAAAGGTTTGGGCACGGGTGCGGCGGCACTTGTCGGGTCCCCCAATTGGGTCCCTCAACCCCCTTTCCCTGCTTCTCAGCGCCTTCGGGATCGAGGTTGCTGCAGTGTATACTCTCAGGTACAACGAAGCCCGGGTCTTTGGATTGTAGATCTGGCTGTATCTGGCTAGGCCAGGAGCCAGCAAGGTATCGGCATACAAGAAAGTCTCAAAAGGCTTTGAGTTAGGACACTTCTGAAGACTTTCAGAGGCCTTAATGCATCAGTTCCGGCAGGGGCGATTCAAAAGCATTGGGCTGATGCTGGCTTCGAAATGACAAACCATGTGATGGACTCATGTCCGGGCGCTGCGCGTGTTCTGCCGGATTCAGCTTGGCGTCTACATGTGCTCCTACAAGACTGCGAGCCTGGGTAATCTCTTCTCTGCTCGTCTGCTTGCCATGCCAGCAGAGCAGAAATTTCCTGTGAAATCATTCGGTAGAGTGCAGGACTGCACGGGGTGGTTGAAGGATAGACAGAGTCTCAGAGTTTCTGTCTGAGTGTGTTTGTTCTCCTGCCAAGGTGGTTGCAAATGCAGGGGGTCCCGGCCCTCATCGCGTCCCGTCGCTTCAGAGGCCGTTTGCCAGTCTATCCTGCTTCTTTGGAAGTCTTCTGCCTCTTTACCCCAACCTACCCCTGGTGGCCCAAGAAGCACCCAGCACTCTGCTAAGCAGCAGTGCTAGGGTGCCGCAGCCACAAGAGTTGAACATGTTAAGCACTTGCATAACATGAAAGAAGTGAACAAAATCCGACGAGGCCCACGATGCTTGGGGCACTGCAATCGCTTTGTGAGCTTTGTGCAAACGCCTCCCATTGTTTCTTCGTGCTAGCCTTTGCCCTAGAGCAGACAGCATGGCAGCTCCAACTGCCTTGGTGGCGGCGCCAGCTCCGCCGAAGGGCACCGTGCCTTGCCACCAGCGGGAGTGTCGTGGGCTGAGCCATAGTGCGACAAAGTGCGACCCAGGTGAAGCCCATATCTCCTGATGTCCAAGAGCCGCCAAGGCCGGAGTCTTTCTTAGCCAAGGCGAGACGAAAGGTCAGCACCGTGCTTTCATGCCAGGCGAAAGCATGGAGAGCTCAGGCCTGTACGTGTGGCGTATTGCCCGAGCTTGTTGCCTTTGCCTTTCTGACTAAAGCGATTTCCCAGATAATTCATGTTACACACGAAGGATGCTAGGCTCACTGATGTTGAAAAAAGCTGGTAACACAAGGTTTGATGGCAGTGTCAACAGACGCCGGACATGTTGACCTCTCCTGCTGAAGAACTGAGCGTCAAGACTCGTACGGAGTCGTCTCCCACTGACAGTGATCTTTTGTAGATTCCTGTCGAGAATGACAGTATAGTCAGTAGTCTGTTCTGTGACAACATACGGTTTCCTGTTGACTTGAGTACAGAAAGATGTTGAGAGATCGCAGCAGATCCATAAGCGCTTTGGCACACTACAGCGTTGGAAGATCAGCAGAAAGCTGAGAGAAGATGTCCTGAACCTTTGCCGTCAGCTTCTTGTAACTCTTGGGCAGCACATTGGGCCGGAGACGGACACATGGACATGGAATAGTATGATATAGTGTCGGCGCTGGACGTGCGGCGACTTCACAGTTCCCGCGAGGTTGCCAATGAACGCCATCATAAACAGAGTGTCCAGCTCAAAAGCCAAAAGGGCCCAGCCGACTCCGGGTTGGGCTCAGACTGAGGCCCGGCCTCCTCCAGATGCCTCACGCAAGCGCAAGATGGAGATGGACCAAGGCTTCGTAGAGGCACCACCGCGTCGTACCCGCGTTGTATGGGGACTGTGCAACATCCTTTGATTTTGAGGTGGACTTCCAGCCAGGAGAGTTTCCCATGGGGCTTGTCGTGAGATGCTCGGCATACGCACGAGCCGCTGCGGTGCATTGGTTTCACTCGCTGTCGTTGTGCAACGGATGTTTTCTGAGGTCGACTGGTCCATGGCTCTCCCAGTTCTTTCTGGAGTTGTGCCAGGATCGGCATGTCTCCTTGGCTGAGCAGCAATTGTGCACGTGATCCGGTTTGACACGCCGCATACCTGCCTGTCTCAGACCTTCCCTCAAGCTTCCCGAACGACCGGTGCTGGAATCAGTAGTGCTACTGGCAGTTGTTGTGGAGGCAGTTGTGCCTCGATTTTTGATGAATTGCGGCCTGGGCTGGTGCTTCTGGCGGTGAACAACATACCACTGATTCTCGGCAGGCTACTGAGTTTCAAGCATGGCATGTCACGTGGCCAGCCTAATCAGGAATGCTAGGCCGGTCACTTGCAGGGAGGCTTGCGAGATACGATGGGTTGTGCAAAACATATCCACGTGCTTTCCAGATTTGTAGGTCGTATACTGGCTTGCACTGCGTGACATTTCGCTAGCTCAACATCCTGCAGATTGCCGAACTCATTGTTTAGCCGGCCAATCTGCGGAACTTTCTTGGCTGACTTGAGCTGAGCCGGAAAGCACTCTCAACTCACTGAATGTGCTCCTCCTTCCCCTCAGTGACAGAGGTGTCGTTTCTTTCGTCATATCATCTCTTCTACATTCTACACTCGTCTGCAAGAAATGGTATTTTCAATGTTGGCAATACTTCGTTGCAGCTTGAAGACAGCAGCAAGAAGGTCTCTTGATGTTGGCCCTGCGACAGACAAGGCTAGTAGTGACTAAGGTGCTGGAAGACACGAGGCCGGAAATGCTTGATGTTCGAGAAGTGCGACAGCGGGACACCATTGCACGAGTACTTACTTTCCGGTGAGAGGTCGAGAGCAACATGTCTGTCAGACCTCTGCTATTGCCTCGGCTGCTCCTCTCAGTCGGCCATTTGATTCCGATTCCAGCACGTGAGGTCTCTGCTGTTCGAAGCCCGTGGCCTATTTGTTCTCATCTGCAGACGTCTTGTGCCTAACGGGCATCCGTTGGACCAAGGCTCCAACGACCGATCTGGTGGAACCCCTGCCCTTGCGTCGTCAGCACATGAATCGAAGCGCACCAGCTGGCTGAAGCAGCTGCCGACCTCTTGTGCGCCTTCCATCCTGCAGCCGTGGAGGGTTTGTCTTCGCCCCCCCCATCAATAAAACCGACCAGTGCAAAAACCGTCGGGGAGAAGACTTTGAGGTTGGAGATCTGTTTGGTGGGCTGTTTCGTGCTCTCAGAACCTGTTGAGAACCAGGGGGCTCGTGCAGCAAAGAGCCGAGACGGCCAAGGGCCTGTAGAGTAGAAGCACGCTTCGAGAAATCCAGTCTGCAGCTCGATCGAGCACTGCTTCCGCCATGGGGGCTGCGAGCGCTTCGCAGCATCACGCGGCTTGGCTCTGAGACTGGCCTGGCCCCTCCCATAGCAGTGGAGGAATCGTGCAGTACCGGCATCGCCCAGGCTGGTCCTAGAGACCCGGTGGACCATCGGATGAAGAGGACTTTGTGCTCTGTAGGGATCCGTAGGGCAACGCTGCTTTATTTTTTGATGTTTGACTGGTTCGGCAGCCCTGCCGTCGCTGCAGGCTCCTTCCAGGGAGCAAGTGGCTGGCCGCCGCCGCCGGATCCTCGAAGGGTCAAACTATTGAATTGAAAATTGTCATCACGTGCGTGAAGTTGTTTACATGTATTTCTGAAGGCGGCTGCTGCTCTTGCCTGCCAAGGCAGCCTGTGAGCTAGCTGGGTCGCGACAGGATTTCATGTCACTGGAGTCGGGAGGCCCATGTTGGCTTTCAAGCTCCAGCTCCTCAGCCAGCGTCAAGGCACTGCGATGATACTTCCGGTGCAGCGTGCATTTTGCGTAATCACGCACCATAAGCTGCAACCGCCCCGTCATGGCTAGGCGAGTTCTTTGGAAACCCTGTCGCACTGGCCGAGAACGAGGCGCTCCGGTGGCTTCGTTGGTTTGCAGTTTAGCAGACGCTGGGCGGCCTGGCCCTGGCATTGAAGGAGCAGGGTTCGTCGCCGTGGCGTGGTCAAGGTTGATGTGGCGACTCGCTTGGATCATAAAGCCGTTGTGGCAAGAGTTGCCGCTGCGCTTGGGCGTCTCGGTCTGTGTTCATGCCTGCGGCCACCTGAGTGCGAACCCAGGAGCTTCCTCACATGCAGCTTCCGAAGGCAAGCGCCAGAAGAATGCAGGAGACCCCATGAGACCGTAACCTTCGATGTAGCTGAGCCAGGACTCGACGTTCGAGGACAGCCTCAAGCTTGAGGGGGCCGACAGGCTGGGAACGGTAGCTTCATGGCCAGCGAAGGCAGATAGAGCAGCGGCAGCAGTGGCAGCAAAGCAGCACGGTCTCGACCTGCTGTCGACCGATCTAGTGCGATTTCAGGTCGCCAGGTCCGATCCCTCCGGAGCTGCAGAGGAGACGGCAATATGGTGCTCAAGCCGTCATTTCTTTGCCCTTGCAAACCCGATCAATCGACGGTGCCTCCGCAGGATACATCGATCCGCTGTGGGGAAGATTCTTCAAGGATTGAGGCTAGTGGGTTGCAAAGCTGTCGTCGCAAAATCGGGAGCAGAGAGTGAACGTAAGCTGCCTCAAGCTCTGAGTGACCATAAGTTGCTTTCAAGTGTGAGTCGTCAGCTGGCAACCGGACACAGGACTCGAAAAGGGTGTGCACCGACTGGTGCGGAAGGTCTTGAGTTTTGCCCTATAGAGAGGGGGCGAGCCTCAGTCAGCGCTAACAGCGACAGACAGAAAAGGTAGCAAGCCCGGTGGTCCTGGGGTGGTGAAGGACTGTGTTTGGCAACAAAAGCAAAGACTCAAACTGCCACTCGGAGGTGGGCAAACGAGACACGCGGGGACCAGGAAACACGGGAAAGTAGGGGAACTCCCAAAGCCGGGACAAGACAAAGGTCTCAGAGATTCTTCAGGTGCAGCCGCGACCTCCGCGCAATACGCTTTGAGAACAAGCATCCCCCAACATACTAGCTACTCATGCTGCCTGTCGCCGAATCCATTCAACACTTTGACCAGTCCCATTCTTGTGCCAGTTGTCTGTCGGTGACAGAAAGCGAGGGCAGTCAAGCTTTAACTCGGATCTGCCTTGTCCTCCTTGGATGCCTAGCGGATGAAGCTTCTGATCTTTTAATCGAATTTCAAAATCGAATTACAAAATTTGACGGCCCACTGGATGTTTTCAGTACTACGAAGTGTGCTGGCAGGCACCGAGTCGGTTGCATCGACAACTGGGAGAATTCAATGGGCGTGTTCAGGTAGAGCCATACCTAGAACCTGGGAATACCTCCTGTTCCTGCGAGAGGATGATTTTGGACCGCACGAAAGCCAAAAAGTGTCCGTATCAATGTTTTGAACTTTCGCGAACAAAGGCCCACCATAAATGCTTCGCACCATGCTTCTTCTCAATCATTGGGTCCCTGATTGATGATTGAGTTTAGGGTTTAGGGGTTTAGGAAATGGTTTCAGCATGTCTGAATATAATCTGCAGACTCCGTGAGCCGGCGTGCCCAGAGGCCCAGAGGTGAACTCGAGGCTCCTTCCTGTAGCTCCGAACCATTCCTTAGCGAAGGCGGTGCGAAGTGCAAAGTTTCAGGAATCAGGCTTCTCATCACGTCGTCTCGAAGAACAATCAAAGCGGATAGGACGAAATGGACCGAGCTCATGCGTTGCATGTGTTGCTCCGAGCCGCAGGCTGAGCCTTCGCCGGCTCACGGCGATTTTGCCTACAGGGCGCTTCCCCCTTGGCTTAAACGATTGGTCCAGGGATACGCTCACTCCATGTCCTGCGCCCGGTTGCCAGGCTAGGAGACGGTGCAGTCGGAGCACGGGTGGTCAAGGACAGTCGATTCTGAACGGTTTTCCATGTACGCGAACCGCTGTAAACGAGGGGTTAGCTGGGACTGTTGGATCTCTTGGGTGCAGAGGAGCACTGGTCCAAGCGTGCCCCTCATTCAGCACTGTCAGCCTATGCCAGCTGTTGCTTGTTGCGAAAGCAACTGATGTAATGAATGAAAGCATCTCTGCTATCTGGTGGATGTGATATCGATCGAGAATCGAGGGTGACTATGCGGCCTTTTCGCGTGCTTGTGCTGGCGCCATCGGCGTGAACCTGAGCAAAGCTTGGAGCATAGAACTGTGCAGCTTCACCCCTGAGTGTGTGCTCGGTTGCCCAGGACATGGTGCAAGAAACCGAAGCGAGGTACAAGGCTATAGCAGGCCATCTCAGCAGACACTACGTGTCGGATTCCTTTCGTTTACGCTCCTGCGATCAGCATGGTGTTGAGGAGAAGGTCTCTTCGTGATGCGTATGGAGCCCGGCGCAGACGGAACCGACAAGCTCGTGCAGGTGACGCCCTCGAGTTTGTTCTTGCGGTGATAGTGCCTGTCGTTCGACATCCTGTAGCTTGACGTCTCTTCCTTTGCTCCATTGTGCTTCTTTCGACCATGTTGTCAAGTGCAAGACCATGTCTCACTCGCGTATGTTGAATATTTGTTCGACTACATGGGGGGGGTGTCCGGAAATCAATGCTAAAGAGACCCTGCGAGTTCTAGTGCGGGAGAGTCAAAAAATACGTGGGTAGGGTACGAGAGTAGAGGCCGAGCGGCTGTCAAAATAGCCCGCGAGAGTAAGTTTCTGAGCAGATGGTGTATGTCTTCTGCTGACGTGGCTGTCATCCTGCTTTTTGTTAACATTGGCTTGGTAGCCAGCTGCGTACTTCCCCCTCCATACAATTTTTTTTTCCAACGGTCGTCTTGGTGAGTGACCATGACAGGCCATGTCCCAGTGTTCCGGATTGGTGATGGTAGGCCCGCCTGGACCTGCTAGCTGGCAAGCATATAAAAGCATGGCTCAGCATGCTAGACAAAGATCTGTGAGGCGGTTACTCCGATGTCATGCACTTTGTCAGGGCGCATCGCCGAAGCCGCGCACAGCACCACGGCAAGAATTCAGGTTGCACTCATTCCGACACTGGGAGAAATACTCAAATGGACTCCATTCTGCACTTTAGTGCAGCAGCCAAGGCTACTGAACTTGCTCGTCTGCGAGATGGCACATGCTGCGCTGGGTGCCGACAAGGATGCCGAGAAAGCCACTCGTCGGCACCTGCTGTGTCCGGGTGGTTGTTGTTGCTGCTGCTACTTGCTACCGCGCCCTAAAACAAGTCGGAAAGTGGTTCAGTCAGTGCATGTTCAAGACGGAGCCGAGGTCGTCATGAACTGGGAGAAGGCATTTCGAGCCAGGACCCGAGAAGAACCTCTCAAGCGAAAGAGTCGAAGAGTATCTTTCTTCCGATTGCTCCGGTCCGAGGTGAAGGTGCTGCAGTCTGTCTTTCTTTCGGCCCAGTCTCTAGAGCCCGAGCCAATCAGGGGACTGGAGGAGCACCAGCCACCGTCACTTGCACAGCACCTTTGGGAAACCCGGCAGGAAGCAACGATGGACGTGCGTGACACACAGTTGTGAGAGCATGCTGCGCAAAGCAGAAGTCATGGCTTTCCATGGCTCAGGCCCGGAGTGCCGACGTACAAGGTCTGGAGGTGTGATGGCTCCAAACTGTAGTTAACGGAAGTTGCCACTCCAGGTGGTGGCCCGCCCTGGCGGACCCAGTGGACCAGAAGTCTACTGCGTATCGACAGAACAGGCCCGCCACCGCAACATCGTGGACTTCATTAACTCCATGTCATGACACTGTAACTCACGAACTCGAGAGATTTGTGTCAAAGGCAAAGAGGCTGGGACTTACCGTTCCCCTGAAGCTGGTGGCGCCTGGCACCGAGAGCTCGCAGTGTTCCCGTGGTCGCAGTGTATGCAGTCTCTGGACGAGCGGGCCGGCACACATGAGCCTGACTGCGCCGGTGTCACACAAATACCTTCTACAACAATCTCGACAATGGGAGATGTTATGCAGCATTATACTTGTGATGAGTCAGGGAGCAGGCGCAGATTCCAGCTTGTGGGCAGATCGCTTTTCTGGGTTTTGCATAGGCGGCACACCACTTTCTGTAGCCTAGGCCTTGGAGTTTGCAAGAGTCGCGTGCAAGGCTGCCAGCGTCGGGAGATGGCTTGGTGCAGGGCTTGGCGGAGCTCAGTGCATGGGGCATCCGCGAAGTCGAGGCGACGAAACTGCAACACAGATAGGCGAGCAAGGAAGCTTGCGTAAGGCCATGTAACACCGGGAGCTTGGGTACTTTTCAATGAATTTTTTGGTCCTTAGAGCATTGAACAAGTCTGTGTTGAGTTGGTTGCAAGGCAGCAACTAATTTTCTATGCGAGGCAATTCCAGCAGCCGCTGGTGGCGGATCGGCCGAAGCCGCCTCACAGCTGCAGTTGAGCGAAAGTTTCTCTGCGCGTGCCATCGCCGTCTCGGGCCTATCTAGGGGCTCATTCCCGATTGTAACTCAGGTGGAGTACCTGAATACCGAGGCCCGCTAGCCTTCACTGCAACGGGTTGCAGCAACTGCGATTCACACATCTCGTTGCAGGTGCGAAAGCTGGTTGGCGATGCTATCCAGGCCACTTTGATGGATACCGTTGCAATACTCGTGGCCGACAGCGAGTATTGCAGGTGCAAGCGCGGAATGGAGAGGACCCCGGGTCCCACGCACGCTGTTGCTACTGCATACTTTGACTAGACGGAGGTTGATTCAAGCAGGGACGTTGGTGCATTCATCTCGCTTTGTGCAGGACACACCTGATGCCCTTCTGGTTGCTGGGAATGAGCTTGACGCATCCTACTTGCTGCAGGCTCGTTGGTCTGCGGAGCTTAGTCTAATCAAGCTGCAGCTCAGACAAGCAAGGCGGTTAGCTTGTCGATGCGTGGCCTCGCGAGATGCCTTGAGCATGTTGTGGTAAATCTGTTGCTGCTACTATTGTTGTCTTGTTGTTGTCGTCGTCGCTGTCATCGTTCTGCCTCTGTAGGCTTTTAAAAGTCTGGCTAGTTCAACCTGGTTCCGTCTTCCTGAGCTTCGGCGACACTTCACATACCTCGTGCAACTTCTGCCGACATTCCCTTTCGCCGCTGCTCGCTCTCACCCCTAGTTCGTTTGTTTTTTTGCCCACAAGTCTGGGAGGTTGAAGTTTAGGATCCGGGCCATAGGTTTGTGGGTTGAGGTCTTGGGGTTGCGGACTTGAGCTTGGGGTTTTCGGGTTTAACTTCAGGGCTTCATGCTTTGTTGCGCGTTCTATATACAAAAGATGTACATACCGCAAGAGTCTTCCTACTTTGGGTTACTGCGGAGGTTGCAAAATTCGTGTATGCAGTTTGTACAAGCTACTACATCTGTTATTATGTGGACTTTTGCTACAACTACAACGACGGCGTTTCAACAGCATCCTGCTCACTGGCAATATTCTCGTGCTTCCTTGCATGTCGCAAGCCACCACGAAACGATGCTTCACAAAAACACGAGCCGCAGGTAAGTCGGTCTTCACTTCTTCAGGGCGGGAAGTTGCGACTGCCCGTTTGCATGTTTCCCTACCGCCCACGATGCAGACGGTCTGTAGCATCCATCCCCTCATGTCACAATTGATTGTCGGACTGGTGTCTCATCGGCAAAGCCTGACATGTACTGAAACTGAAGAGATTCTGTACGGCATCGCAGCAAGGAAGTGGCTGCCTCTCTTTGTGCGTCGTCCAGCTGTCCAGGCTCTGGGGCGCTTGTCCTTCAAAGCCCGCAAGAAGTCGGCAGGGCCCGGCAGCACGGCTTGCTGACATGCTTTAATGCCAGTACACTACGCGCATCTGCGCGCTGCGTGTGCTGAGGTACATTTTGGTCCTCGGCGGATCTGGATCTGCACTGTCCCAAGCCTGCCAAGTTCCGCATCTTTTCGTTGTGACTCGGTTGTCGGAGAGACGTACTGTCAGTGCATGTTGAGCCACCCTCGATAGCACGATGCATCTTGGCTCACTGCAGGTAGGTAGGAGAAGCAAACGGAGCAAGCATCGAGCCTCCGTGACACTCGTCAATCAAATGCTTCTGGATAGATGGCCTCGGCATCAACGGCTGGGCGGGCTTCGACGGTTGCACCACATACTCTGCGAAGCAGGCTCTGCGCATGGGAATCGTATGGGGCTTGGGACGAGCTGGGAGTCTTCGGGTGCCCATCTGATCTCGTTTCCTTTCCTGCAGGCGGACAGCGAGGCTTTTAGGGAAACCGCCGCCCACCGACTCCGAGCAGACTGCGGCCTTCGCTCCGTCCGCTGATGAGGCGAGTCGAATTCGTCAAAGAGTTGTGCCAGATGTTTCAGATGTTCTCTCCTGTTCTCACGTTGGTCGAAGGCTTGACTCGTGCTGAGTGCTGCCGTTGCGAACCCTTCGCTGCCAAGAGGTTCCTAGGTGTGGAAAGCAGCACTTCTCTTTTCGGTGCTTCCGCTCCCCAGTGCGCACTCGAGGTATGGAAAGAGGAGGAAGATGGAACCATGCTGCAGTGTCAGTTCAGATCTCAGCACGATCCATGACTGCTTGACTATTCATGGTCCGGGTGCACACTGGACCGTTCACAGGCCGAACCCAGGGAAATCTGTGAACGAATTGCTACTGTACTGTACGCCGCCGTGTCTTGGCTCGAGCTGGATGTCCACGGAATAGGCAGGCATCCCGCGAACTGCAGTGACTTGGCTGTTCAGTCGGGTTGAGGAATCGTAGGGGGTGTGGCAGTAGCATCTTCTGGCTTCTTCATTTCTGGTGTTCATCAGTGGTGGCTGTCCGAGGGCATGCTCACCTTCGATGGACTTGTCCAAGACATCATCCAGAGGCGAGGCAGGCTCGGCACGAAGGCCGCCGGGCTCTGGGCTGGGCTCTTGAAGTCGCCTTTTTTCTGGAGATTGGCTGTCTACATCCTCTTGTTGTCTCCGCCAGGAGGGCAGTGACTCCGCACGGGACTACCAGGAGGCCGGGCAAGGTCCAGAGAGAACGTGGGGCGTTTGAGCTCCGAAATCTCCCTTGACAGGCCTGGGCAGCCTATGCGGCCTATGTTAGGTCATGCCTGGAGCAGAGGCCTGGATCTGCCCTCTAGCTTTGCTTGTTGAGCTTTCCTGTGCTCTGCTTCCCATGTCAACATGGCCCTCAGGCGAGGACTCCAGCTTAGCAGCTTTTGCAAGCTCGGCTGGTCTCTTCAAAAGAAGCTAGGCACGGCCGGCACGACGATGGGCTCAGGGTTGCACCGCGGTCTTGCCCACCGTTTTGACACTGTTGCAGGCAAAACGACATATAGGCCGCATGTCCAGTTCTCCGACTCGCTGCTGTGCTGCAGTGGTCATAACTACACGACTGCTTCCGGGAGCGACGTAGCCTTTGGCTGACCCCACCGCACGTTCCCGAGGTTCATCCGCGCCTACCTGTCTGAATCGCGCAAGACCCCAGCGCATGAGCTTTGCGCCTTCGAGGACTTCAACTTCAGCAAGGCTTGGATCGCATTGAAGTTGGAGAAGATTCGTGACGCTTGCCGGTAGAGGCTGCTTTGAAGTTTTCCAACCTCACGAAGGACCAGGCAGCGGGTCGCTCTGTCGGTACTCGATACTGCACCTTTCTTGCAGAGGTCTTTACCATGCTCCGGGCATTGGTGCAGCGCATCGGTGAGAGCGCTGCAGATGGTAGGCCGGCTTCTGCTCCAGAGTCAGACCCCCGATGAAGTCCGAAACCTCCAGCAGGGAGCTCGACTTGGCTTTTGGCGATGTGGGGAGGCGGCTGGATGTTGCAACTGTCCGAAGCTCCAGAGCAGCAGGGGACTGTAGCCGCCATAGGCTCTAATGTGAACAGGTTCGTGTGCAAAGATCGGGATCTTCGTTTCCTTTTCGCCCAGGAGTTCTACAGACAGGACTTCTGATGTTGCAGTTGTTCAAATCTTGCGCCTGACAAACGCGGCAGGAGGGACTGACTCCGCCTTCGCGCGAAGGCGCTTCCAGAGCCACCCCGAGTTTCCAGAAGGAGCCTTCCCCAGAGGTCGGGAGGACACGCTGTTGGTGGGTGGGGGATTATGTGCTGTGCGATTTTCCGGCAGATGTCCCCTGTGTGAAGGCTGCGAGCCTGGGCGTGATGCCTGGAGGCACCGTTCTTTCAAGTTGCCTGCAGACGGGGAGCATCTGGATATCGCATGTTACCGCAGAGCCGCGGATTGTTGTCGCTGAAGTAGTGCGAAAGGAAGAACGGCTGCAGATGAGCAGCCGACAATGGTTCTGCTCCTCGATGCAAGAAACAGTACCGTGACAATACATGGCAATGGTTGGGTGCCAGTCGAGGATCTAAACGATGTAAAACGAAGATCTGAAGACCTCGTGGGATCTCGAAATGACTTGTAATCTTGCAGCGTATACGCAGCCCTGTCTTCAAGGACGGATGTCCAGGGTTTCGACGGCGGTACCCAGAGAGCGATGCCCAGCGTTGGCCTGGGCCTCAGCCTCCTGGGCCCAAAGGCTGGACGTGGTTATTTCGACCACCGCGAGGCGCAGAGCCTCTGCAAAAGTCGGAGAGTGCTCCGGGCTTGACGGGAACGCAATTCAAGCGCCTGGGCCGAGCATGGCAGAAGGTCCGCGCCAGTCGTTGAGACCAGCTTGAAAACGAGACGAGGAAGGAAATCGCCTTCAAAGAGGCAATGGACAGGCACATTGCGGCTATGGAGGCCATGAGTTTCAGAGAGCCGCACCCTGGCTCGTTGCATCTCGTGGCCAGAAGCGTCACGAAGCTGCCTTCAGGCGCACGCTGTCGAGGCAGTGGCCGAGAAGGACCTTGATCTTGGGACAAGCGGGACTTAGGCGTGCTTTGAAGTGATGCAAAGAAGGCGGGGATGGAGTCGTGGGAGAAGGCAAAGCCGTGAGGGTAGGCTTGAGGAGGCAGTGAAAAGGTTGCATGTGGCCCACACAACTAGCTGAGTTTGGAGTTCACAGCTAGGAGGGAGCTTCTATAAGTCGACCCTGACTCAGCTCCGGAATGTATACCGAGAATCTGACACATGTTCCTCATGCGCAGGAGGCGTGGGACAGCCATGTCAGTGCCGCTTGGCGTTGTTGCAGTACCCTGTCGAACGCTGAAGCGTGCCCGGTCGCACTGTCACAGTTCACAGCCCCACGGATTTCACTTCCGAGGACTGCTTGCTGCAAGAGCGGGACGAGATCCAGGCACGGAAAGAAAGGTCGGAGCCCAAGCAAAGATGTTGGCACATCTCATCTCTGCACTATCACCCGAGCTCAGTTTTTCCGACAAGGAACCATATGAACCTGCAGTTCCTGAAGCACCAAATGGCGCTGGGAGAACACAAAAGAAAAGAGCAGAGGCCCAATGAAAGCGGCAAAAACACGGCATTGCCGTAGTCTTAGCATCTTTGCCTTGCGCGCAGGAAAGACGACATTGAAGCGGCGTCTGCGCATGACTTTCCCGCTTTCTCGGAAGTGCATCCGAACGAGATGAAGGACTTCATCAAAGGGCAGCAGGCGAACACCCCTTTCCACGTTTCCTGTTGCTAATGTACCGAGATGACAGGCGAAGGTCCGGCAAGCTCTAGACGAGCAGGTCAGAACAAACAACACTCTCCGTACCTTGACAGCAATTTGGACCTGCACGTCCGACTTCCGTTGTCGTGGGCCCGTGCCATCTGCGGAATCCTGAGGCAACCTGGCCAAGCAAAAAGACCTTGCACTGGAACTAAATCAGCTCCAGGCGGCGAAGAGATTTGTCAATGGCCATGCTAAATAGTGCCATCTAGTGCCTTTGCCCATCGGATGCCATCGCTGCATGACTGTCGGACGGGTGCCGTGGCAAAAGCCATACCAGGCCAATCGCGAGGAGCTGGCCATGCTGCGGGATGCAGAGCGCCGCTTGATCGAACTTGGAGTCTCAGAGCCCGCTTGCTGCTGCCACACTTCCATACTGCCATCATCTTCCATAGCCATAGCTCCGAGGCGCCAAGAAGGCGTACGACAAAGAAGCCTTGGCAACAGCATGGAATGCCGATATTCGCATGAAGAACATCTGGAAGGCCATCGAAGCCTGGCCGCAGGGTCGCCTTGCACAGGCAGAGTCGAGCACATCTTAATCACGGGAGATGCTGTGGGGCGACTGAGGACAACCACAGCAAAGTTGCCCCGAAGACACCGGCTCAGGCAGGGGGCTATTTTGGCTAGCCCGCATGGCTGTACATAGCCATAGCCCGCTGAAAGCCCCAGGTGTCGCTCAACGAAGCGTTGCCGGCGTCCCGGGCCGGCTCGACGGTGTCTGCTGGCCGTCTTATGACAGGTACCTCGGCTAAGACACTTGCGCGAGGTCGTTCCTTGTGGGCCACTGTCTATAAGCCTCAGTGCCCAACAGGCTCCATACAGTATCCTGCACGAGTGCACTACTCATACTCGCAGTGTCATGAAGTTGATGATGCTGAAGCATGGGGGATCGCTCGCAACCCAGTGCCTCGAGGTTCGCAGCGGCGAACCCCGCTTGGATGCTCCACATCCATGAGCCAGCTGGAGGCCAGGACCAAGTGGGTTATATATTATATATTATATATTATATATTATATATTATATATTATATATTATATATTATATATTATATATTATATTATTTTATATTATATTATATTATATTATATTATATTATATTATATAGTATATTATATTATATTATATATTATATTATATTATATTATATATTATATTATTGTGTCCTTGGTTTGGTCCCGGGGCCCTCGGCCCTCGGCCAGGCCAGAGCTTCCAACGCCAAGGGCTTGTACTGACCGTAGCGCCCTGTGCAGAGTGTCACAGAGTTTCACGGTTTCACCTCCAAAAGAATATAAAGTTTCACCTCATCCCTCTGCTAGCAGGCCCAGAAGTGCCAATCGGCTCAATGAAAATTCCCATCCGACAGCTGCTGGCTTGGGATGCTGTTGCCTCAAGCTGAAGCAATTAATCCCTCTGGGCATCGAAAAAGTTGAGTCCTTCAAGGTTCTTCAAGACTCTGATCGCTTGTACTGCATGCTGCACGTTGCCGTAGGGTAAACTTGTATACATGATAATTACGTTTGAACCGAGACGGCCCACGACCTTACCAGGCCAAGCCGCATTTGGAAACTGTATTTACAACACGCACACGGACACCATGCTCTTTCTCCAGGCAAACATGCAATTGTGTCGTTGCTTCGGAGAACAAGGCTTCGAGGATACGGTGCCGCAAGTCGGCTGTCGCTACCGATCCGAGGTCGGCGGACTGGATCTCGATCTGGCTTCCGTGGTAGTCCTGAAGTTCTCTGAAGCTTCGGAAGCACTTTGAGCAAACACATCTTTCATGGCTGTGCATGCTGTTCTCCCGAATGGTGCGGGGGCTATGGCCTAGTCTTCCCACATGGCCACCGAGGCTCGCGTCTTGGTGCTGGGATGACGTCCCTGCGAAGGTGATTGGTGCATGCAGTATGCCTGTATGTGGCGTCAGCGATGCCCATCTGCGACCGACGCCGGACTGGCTGGCTGTACAGTATCTGTGTGACCAGTGTGCCCGGGCGGGGTGAGTTGAAGCGAGATTTGACTTGTTATAAACCCGCAGAAACTCTCGGTTCATGATATCAAGTGCGAAATGCGCTGCGAAGACTGCAATGGTTACAGCGACTCGAGAGCAATCGTTGCATTGGTCTGACTTCTATGAAGCCCTACTGTAGTTGCACGTGCATATTGAAACGCGCCTTCCCTGATGCCGTGTTGGTTGTAGCCTTGGCATCAATGGCACGGGCCTCTGGCTGTCGCAGAAGTCCCAGTGCTGAGAAGCTCCGCTACAGGAGGCCGAGGCCGCTACTTCGGAAGCCGCGGGGCTGGCGAAGGCTCGGGGCCGAAGTCTGAGGTGTCTGGCTGCAACATTGTGAGTGTGATACAGTGATACAGGTGAAGAAGCGAAAGCGATGGATGCCTCTTGAATCCAACCCAAAGGTGGTTACCCCGCTGGAATTAAGTCGTGGCGTGAATTTGTTATGGTTTGCACAAAGCTGCCGCAAACAGTCCGCCCCCTTCAGGTTGGCAAGTATCTGACGAAATTGGGATTCGACAGCCAGTACGAGGTGCATGAGCTCTTATCACTTGAGCCTTGGGCCCTTCAGAAGCTCGGCTTATCTCTGCGTTTGTACAGGGCGCATGCTTCCTGTTTCGCGGCCGAGGATGATTCCTCGTCCGACCAGGGCTGTCTTTTTGCTCTTCCCTCAAGGTCAGATTTCGGTCTGCCGTGCCACAGTGCATGGTCGGTCCAACTCGTTGCAGTCGTAGGCAGATGTCGGTAGACGCATCAGGCAAGGAGCTTGCAGCTGCAGAAGAGACCGAACGCCTCGCGGTCTCTCGGCTTGACCTTGGGCCTCGGGGGGACTGGATCGCCTGAGGGACGAAAGCTGCTTCACACGCTCAGTACTGTCCCCATGCATGTCGGATGCCTCGGAGAAGGTGACAACCGCCTCGCCTCCACCTGGCGTGCTTCATATGCCATTTTGCTGCATGCTCGTGAAGGCGTCCATGTGTGCCGCTTGCCATTCAAAGGAAGCAGCTCATCGGCAATGCCTGTGGAACTATTGCCGTCGTGCATGCCATGGCGAACCTTTGCAGACATTCAGATGCCTCGGCCGCAGAAGGACTGCATGCAGCAGCCCTGCACCGACTGGACATCGTAGTCTTACCTTGCATTGCAGAGCGCAGCCTGCCGAGAAAGAGAGTTGTTTTACTCTTTTTCCGACACCTTTCCAAGCCTGCAGCACATAAGCAGCTGAAGGATCTTGGCTGGAGCGCTTCCTCGTGAATTACAAGGTCCGTCTCTTGTTCGGCCTGGCGCTGGAACTGTTTGACTCGAGCTTGTGCTGAGGAGGGGATGACTAGTGAAGATTTGGGCACGATGCTGGAGGAAGATGTTGCGATTGAAGCCGCGCATACTGAAGCAGAACGGGAAAGTGACCTCACCTGGATTGTTGAAGCTTTCAAGGTTTGAAGGCACTCAAGACTTAGCAAGTGTTTCAAAGGTGAGGCGTCCAGCGGGCATGTGTCCTGGCAGTATGGAGCGGAGTGATCTTGTTGCGCATACACGAGCACATCATACGGCCAAGCGAGCTGATCTCCCAGGCTTGGATCAAGCTAAGGCCACGAACAAGGATTTACATTTCATTGTCTTCGTGTGCATTGATGGGCTTGTTGTCGAGTTGCACGGCCGCTGGAGTTGAGCTTGTTTGCCTCGGACCGTCGATGCTCGACGTTAGCAACATTCGTGGCACTGCATATGGACCAAAACCTCACTACTGGGTAACAAAGGCTTGATGGCTGCAAAGACAAGCCCGTTGTTCGCGGAAACCTGGGAGACCACGGTGGCGATTTCCTGACCGCAACTGTGAAGGTGATTCGCAGCTTGTCCACGACAGCGCATAGGCATGTAAGGCTTTACGCAAAAGCACTCCCAGATCAGACCAATGATTTAATGATTTGCCATCATATGATTCGGTCGCTGCTCAGGGGAGAGATACATGAATGTGTCTCCGGATCCGATGCGGTTCAACATGCCCTTCGGAGTGCATTCAGTGGCCACCTTCTAGAGCCCAGATGGGAGGCCTGCATCGATGACGTATGGCCCAAATTACCAGTGCCTTTGTGCCCTTAAGGATGGCCCTGTGCAAAGTTGGAGTAGAGGCCGATCAGCTTCGATGCTTCGACTGGAGTTTGAGTCACGTCATGAAGCCGACTTCCGAGAGGAGCTTATGGCCTCCGGTGCAGCACCTCTCATCTCGGAGGAGGCTGCTGTCTGCAGCTTTTCCACAGATGGTTGCATGCGGTTCTCGTATCAGAATTAAACCGGTTGTAAGGGTATGATCCACAGACGTCGCTGTGTACTGCATGCTTGTTTGTTGCATGCTCGCTGTTTGTCCCAGTGCCAACCAGTCCAAGTACACAAAATTCCTTGGGCTCAGTTGTACTATCACCTTTCGCGACACATGCTTGCTGTGCATGTGTTTTTCAAAGCCAGATACGATGTAACACCATGATAACTGTCATGTCAGTGTTCTGATGCTTATATTCAACAGCTTTGTTTTGTCTGCTGCATCTCTCCGAATTTCCTGTGGCGAACTACATGTTTATATGCACTGCGGATATCTCCGGAAAAAACCAGCGTGTGTGTATTGCCTGCGGTATTAGTACATTAAGTACCCGCACCGAAGATGACTAACAAAGACCTTCGTGGAAGATCTCCGTCCGCATAGGCGGTGGCACAACTCATGGCTCTGGGCTTCGATGCAGATGCAGCAAAGTCTGCTTTGGAAGCAGCCGGTGGCAATGCGGAGGCCAGGAGTTGCATTCTTCCGCTCAGCACATCAGTTGTCGCAGTGTTTCTACCGCCCTTTCAGGAGGCTGCTAACTTCCTGCTGGGCTGAGCTTCTTGCAGAAGGTAGTCAGCGTGCACCGGGGAATTGCCACATCTGAGAAGAAAGACGCCACGAGCTTCGTTACGAGTTAAACAGACTGCTGAAATGCGTTGGGCTCCAGCGATGGCATCAGGCCCCTGCCGCAGCTTGGCGAGCATTGTCGCAGCAGCCCGTCTACAACAGTGGAAGAGAGAGGGAGGGATTCGATCAGGGTGAGTTGGCTCTGGGTGTAGGGTGCCTCACACCTCCCTCCAAGACGTTGACCTGATCCACTTTGAAGTCGAAAAGCCGGCCGGCCACTTCACGTGAAAGCATGTAGATGCCAGTTCCATCTTGAGTTCCGTTGTACGAAAGCTCCATGTCAGGGCTCCCAGTGGCTCCCAGAAATGCGCAGAGATTTGCAGGCACGATTCTCGGATCCAGGATGCATTGCGGCGTGCGGCTGTTGCCATGGCCCCAGCACAAGGAGAACGCAGTCGTGTCCAGTCCGCTTCGGGGATAGATGCTTCGTCTTCGTTGTGTATGAAGCTTCAGAGCACTGCTGTGCTTGCCTGTAACTTGCCTGGAAACTCCACGGGGTCCCACGCGTCAGTCTACGAAGCCGGAGAAGTGGAAATCCCGAAGACAAGGGCCTCGCGACCTGTGTGGCTCAGCATGTACGCAATCTGCGCCCAGGCACGTGGCCGCCTTGGAAGACCGCTGATGTGGAAAGACCCTCTTGTTTGGGAGTTGTCTTTCTGCCCATGGGCTTCGACTGGAGCTGCAGGACTTGCCGACTGCACTTCGAGATGTTTTGGAGATTGCTGACAAGACAGTGGCGAAGGCTATGGCTGCGCATGGCTCAGAGAGTTTCCAAGAACGGTGCGACGTGCGAGGTGAGCTTGCTGAAGGCTCTTGCCTCAGACGACATGGTTGTGCACAATGATTCTGCTAGCTCCCAGCTGTGGAGGTAGTGAATGAAGCTGTGACATCGGCCGCAGACAGCCGCGTCCCAAAAGGAGGAGCAGAGGTTCAACGCGGTGAGCGGAGCGGTGCGGCTTTCAGGCTGGGACCTGATGTTCGGGCATTTGATGGCCTACAAGGAGTCCATGAAGGACTTCGCGGAGCCTTGCCCGGGCGTGTCTCTCCCGTAGCTCACCTCGCGTAGCCATAGTCTGATGCCACATTCAGGAGCCTGTGAGCCTGCATGTGCCAGTCAATGCCACAGTCCATGGCGAGCCAGTAGGCATCGGCCGCTGTTCTGGTTTCATGTCCTAGCAAATTCGTGGGGCGAGTTGAAGGCCGATGGGTGGCTCAGCAGTTTCTGGAGTGGCGCCCACATCCCATTCTTCACCTCTGTCTATTGGCATTGCGGCACCCGCGTGTGAGTTGTCGTGGCCAAGGGTCTGGAACGCTCAGCGACCAAAGGAAGGAGCTTCTGATGCAGCGTGGCCTCGATGTGAATCAGGAGGCAATGGCCCGAGCTGCTGACATGAGCGAAGTCTTAGGGAAGCCTCGGGACGGCCAGAAGCAACAGGATGTCAGAAGTTTCGCGGAGGGGCTGGCTGCGTTCGAGAAGCACGTCGAGGAGTCAGAGATGCTGTTTCCAGTGCGTGATGGGGTGAGTGCTTCGTGCCGTCTCGGTCTCGAGGATGCATTGACGGGGTGCTCGCTGTGGGTTTCTGTGGATTACATTGGGCTTCCGAATCTTTTGCTAGCAGCTTCACGACAACAGCTCGGTCCTCGGAAACCATCGTTGTATCAAAGTTGTATCTTGACTCTGGTTAGCCTGCGACACCTTAACCGCTGAGCCTTCTTTAAGTCTTAAGTCACAATTTCCGATGTCCAAATCTCGCATCCTCCGTCGTTCAACACCATAACACTCGGGCCTCCAGTTTCCTGGTGCCGAAGCCAGGTCCCGGCTAGCCGAAATTTACGTGATAGTCGAGCTTGGAAACCCGTGTTCTTTCGCGGGGGAAGTTGGGCTGCCCACTCGAGCGAGGGACGGCTGATCCGGCTGGAAGGCATGTGAATGAGAGGCCAACCAAGAGGCGAAAGCCGATTGAACACCCAGAAAACATTGCACTGAAGCAAACCTCAACTTGAGCACTGTTGCAGCCACTCTTCACGACGGAGTTTTACTGGACTTACCTTCCCGGGATCCGCTGAGAAAAGTACGTCATGTATCGTCAGGTGCAGGGTTCTGGGAACAAGTTCGTGGCTATCCACAGAAACGGGCAAAGCCTGGAGACATTCGTCAGGATGAAAGTGTCGTGAGTGCTTGCACCGCCAGTAGCCAGTGCAGAAGGAGGTGCAGCAGGAGCAAGCGTGCCACTACGCTTTTGCCCCCTTCGTGCTCGAATAGGAAGGAGGAAGCGGCTTTGGGGTCGACTCCAGCCGCAAGGTTGCTCTCCGGCTTTTCTCCACTTTCCTGTCAAGCGGCTTCCCGTCCGCTCCATTGTGGATTTGACCGGGTATTGCAAAAAGACGTTTCGTTGTGGTTTGCTGACAAAAGTAATGAAAAGCATAATGGGCCTTGGATGGCCCTGGGCAAGGATCAAATGTTAAGAAGTTTGCTGAAAGCAACGCGCTGAGAATTCACTCTGCCTCTCATGAGATCATCACCCAGCAGCCCTACTGGTAGCATGTGAGCCCCTGGTACCTCTGGCCTGGGAGGACAACAACGGGGATCCTTACGCCGGGCTCCAAAGCACTGCAGCACTGCCTGTGAGCAACTTGCATCTTCATTAGCCTCCCGCACACTGCTGAGGTTCCCCGTGGTCACTTCACGGAAAACGGATTTGCATTAGGGGTGCCCTGCTAAGTTTTACATGTCACACCGGGAGACCTCTGCGATGAAGCGTGGGATCTGCAAGCTGTAGGTTCCACAGATGTGCAGCTTGTGTGCCGAGGCTTGGGCGACCAAGCAGTTAGCTGGCGACCTGGACAGTCATGCGCAGCACAAGATGTCCGGATTGAAATGCCCTGAACCCTGACATCTGGCCAAGGTCGACTGGCGCATGGGCCACTTGAGTGTTGAACAGCAGTACATGCGAGATCCTTGTGAAGTCATGTCAGCAATGTGGGGAATCATCACGAATCGAGACGTTTGATCAGACGTTGCAGAGGCTGTGGGAGACAAAGTTTTCGCCAGCAGCGCATCCTGAAAGTCGGGAAGCGCGAGAGGCGCCATCTTGCCATGCTCCCGGCCTCAGTCGAATCCACAATGCCCACAGCTGCAGATCACCATCGCGATCGAGACCGTGCTTCGAGAAGCACAGCTATTCCCCGACAGCCGCAAAAGGGCCGTGTTTCGAGCCTTTGCCTCAGTTGCTTTGTCCACCGCGCAAGCAGGTCTTGAAGCATGCGGGTTTGCCGAGCACCCTCCGGTGCCGGGCATGTGCATAAATTCGTGAACGTTGAATCGAGTTTGTACCTCAGACAAGCGAACTTGTTCAGCACGTTACACTTTAACTGCTTTTGCGGTCAAAGGATGGCTGCTGTTGCTGTTGGTTTCCATCTGTCATGCGAGAAAAGATGCCCATGATGTTGAACTTCCACACCCCACATAACGATCGAGACGGCGTCTGCGGTCTGCGCGGCTGCGTGAAGCCGCATGCATACGCTTTCCTGAAGTCGTAAGTATTCGTAATTCTAAGTGGCCGAGAGTATCAACGATCAACGTTTCATCAACATCCAAGGTGTGCATCCTGTGGGAATATCTAAGCGTACTGTAGTCTGACATCGCATCGATGTGATCGAGTCTGCAGGCTCTTCTAACGAAGTACCATCCTGGACATCGAGTTCGAGGAATCGAGGCGGCAGTCGGCCAAGATTTCCTGTGCTCCTTTTGAATATTGGTTTTCCTTTTACAGCCTCCGTTTGCCGACGAAGTGACGCAGTTCCTCGCAGGATATCGCATGGCCCCAAGTTCTGTCTGTGCGCCTAACATACATCCCATGATGATTGCTTCAAATAAAAGTGGTCGCGAGAGAAGAGGTAAGGAAAGGACAAGAGTTTGTCCGCATGGCTCCATGTCCGCAGCTTTACAACCCAAAGCTGCCGCAAGAGACCCGAAGCAAAAAGCACATTCATGCAGACGGTGCGGCTGCTTCAGCTTCTCGACACGTAACGGAAAGTAAGGCTATCGAGCGTGTGGACAAGAAAGCCCACATCGCGACAAGCCATTCTGGGCCATACTGACTTGAAAAGTTTGCCTAGTGGTTGCCTAGCGCGTGCACGCCACAAAGCTCATGGCGGCACCAAGGCAGGCGCTCCAAGCACTCGTGCAGCTTCCGACCGGCCTTGTCCGGCCTCTGCTCATAGAACATTTAGAGCTGCCCTTGGCCCTTCCGAGCTTAGTGAAAAGGTGTCATACTTGGTCTGCTGCATCTTGCCTACTGCATAGCATCCTTTGGAACCACATGAAGTAGCAGGCACGATGAGTTGAAGTTGGTGGATGACGACTTCGATGCGGACGTGTGCCATCATCCAGCAGGTCGAGTGCAACAACGACGTTGTTCCGTGGCGACATTGGGTTTGTCTTGAGATTGAGATCTCGTTTTGCCTGTACGTAGCATTATGAGATTTTCAGAGCAGTCTTTGCATCGTCGACGCTGGTACGACAATTGGCCGTTACTGTTGTTACCTAGGCCCTAGGCAGTGTAATTTGATCATCATGCAGCATGCAGTTGCGACTGACCGTGAGGGGTCATCTGCACACTCTTTTCATGGTCGGCAGCATGCAGCTTCTGCGATCGTCGTCGCCGACATCTTCCATATACCGACAAGCCGGAACAAAGGCACTTGGAAAATCGTCAACACGGTGGCGGTGCTGGTCCTCTGCACTCTGCTCGTGGCCACCATTGCAGCCGCGGCACTTTTGTGGTACGGGCCACAGAGAACGAGCCGCAAAGAGCTGTGCAAAGCGACAGACTCGGTTCCGAGTTTCCCAGCAGGGGAGCTCTGAGTCGCTTCCCGAGGCTGCCGCAGCTCTCGTACGACTTCGGCGGGCAGGAAGGGACATGATGGGACATGACGGGACATCTTCGACACGAGCCTGGCCAGTTTCGCAAGGCGCTGCCAGCGGTGGCCAGCTGCTTCATCAGGCCAGTACTCGGCCCTGCTTTCCAGAGCGAGCCGAAGAGTGGAAGCTGAGCGAGTGCAGGCCGACCTTCAGCCTGGCCGAGCTGGACATCCACCGAAACATTCGCGGCTTTGTCAGCATTGCATCCGCGGCTTTGGGAAGGGTTCGGGGGAGCCTTGCGCTTGCTGCTTTGCCCTTTGCTCGCAGTCTGCTCTGGAGGCTATGGCGGCGCAATGAATCCTTTTGCAGGCCGACTGACTCTTTCTTGCTCAGACTTCAAGCTCGAGAAGCGTTTCAAGCGCAGGTAGATTCACCGATCTATACCTCGACCTCTACACTCCGGGACGGCTTGACACGAGGCATGTTCGCCCGGCAGTTGTACTGCTGCATGGTGGGTGACTTGGCTTTACTGTGCTGAACCTTTCTCTTCGTATGTCGTATGTCATCTCGCATGGTGGTTGGGGGTGCGGCGGACGTGAGAAGTATTGGGTGTCGAGGTGATTTTTCCGCGGTTCCCTGAAGCATAGCTTGCATTGCATGTCACAGATTATCAATCAAGGACACTGGGTACCTCTGACTCTTGCCCTTGCAGTAGCGAAATGGAATACATGTGTAGATGTGATGGACTGGATTGGAGAAATGCTAGAACTTGAGAAGTGTAGGTTTGGAGACACATTCGTGCATTGCAACGCATGAAAGTGGTGTGCGTGCAAGTGCACATGTCGACGCCTCAGGTACTTCACTTCAGGTGGGAAAGCCTCTTCTTTGCTGCCGTCAATTTAGCTTTGACAGCCCGGCTTAACGTGAAAGGAAGGCGGGATGGTGATTCCATTCCACAACTAGCCATGCTGCTGGCGCAGCGCGGATATGTGGCCAGTGCCTGAACAAAGGGAGAAGGACTGGAAGCTGACTTCAGATGTAGTAACACGATGTGCCGATGTTAGGGGATGCATGTCTTAGGTAGCAAGCATCGACTATCGGCAAATACCGGTCCAGATCTTGGTCCTTATTCTGCGATGATCTAGCTTCAATGTTCGTTGGGGGGGCTGTCGCATGTACGAGGTCAGCCAGATTTCCATGGATTTGGTTACGAAGACTCCGGACAAAGCCATACGCATCGTTGCGCTCTCAGTGGATTTTCGCGCCATCTCCGGGTATACAGACATTTCCAGCATCCTTGAGGTTTCAATGGTGCAGGAGGATGCGCGTGCGGCTGTGCGGTTCTTGCACAAGATGGCGCAGGACTGCGGTGCCAGCCTCGCATTCGAAGCGGAGACTCAGCATTAGAGAGCATAATTTTCCGAAGGACTGGCGAATCGACGTGAATCGCATCGTTCTGGGAGGTCATTTTAGCCTTGCGTGCAAGGGCATGGTGCAACAGCCGAGCAGAACCCATAGCATGGGACTTCCGAGTTTGTCGTCGAATGCACCACAGACTGAACAGCAAGCAGCACGGTTTCAGGCGGCCACAGCCTGCTCAACCAAAGCCTATTCTGACTCAACCAAACGATCCGATTCCTCAACCAAGACACTGTTTAGTCAAGGGCTTGGTTGAAAGTCTCGGGAAGCATGGGTCAGGTCAGGTTAAAGTTAGGATTAGGAAAAGCTTTAGCAGATCACGTTAACGTCGAGATTCTTAGGGTAGGTCAGGTTAAGTTACGATTAAGATTGGGCTAGGCATTAGGGGTGTATGTAGAAGGATAGGTTGGTGTTAGGATGTGCGAGGGTGTGGGACTGTGGGATCCAGTTTAGTTTTGCTGATGGGTGGGGAGGGGCAGGGAGGGTTGCGCAAGGGAGGAGTCACGATCGCCTAGGTTAGGTTCGGCGTGAGGTTCTGGTGAGATTTAGGTTTAGGACAGGTTAACAAGTCGCAGGACAAGAGGGGAGGCAAAAGTTCGTGTGCGGTGATGTTTTCGGGTGGTTGGTGTAGTATTTGGGTCAGGTATGTCAAGTTGGAGGTCAGTTTAGGATTGGTGTCGGTGGCTTCGGTTGGCTAGGCTACAGTGCCGGTCCAGCTTACTGACCTTAGGGCTGGAATGCTGGTCAGGTTGGTTTTGTGTAGCTAGGACCGAGTAGGCCAAGTTAGGTCAGCTTGGGCTTGCAGGTAGGTTGGCTGGGGTTTGGTTAGCAGTTGGTTTGGGTTGGACGGTCCCGGCTGGCCGGCCTGGTAAGGGAACAAGGATGCTAGATTAGGCTAGGTTAGCCAAGGCCCGGTTAAGGTGTAGGTTAGGTGAGCTTAGGTCCAGGTAGGATTGGGGGTGGGTGGGGTAGGGAGTCGGACAGGAGGAGCAGGGAAGGTTTTGTTCGGGATCCTTGGTTCAACGAGAGTGGTTGACAAGTCCTTTGGTTTGATTGCCTAAGCCGACATTCTTGATGGTATGTTATGCCCCTTTGGTTGGATACAAGTGGGACTGTATATTAACCCCGCGCCTTTAGGTGTAGTCTTGGCATGTCCTTGTAGGATTTTGGATGGTTTTCTATGCTAAAACGATAAGAAGAAAATAAGACGATAACAAACGATAACACAGTTTTCATGGAAAAACGATAAGAAGAAAAATAACGATAACGACGTTCAGCGACAAGGATCTTCATACGGGGTTATTATACAACCCCAAGTGCTTTTGAACTTTTGGTAGCGTGATCGGAGCTTTTGATTGGCAAGGATGGTTGTGGTTGGGTAACCTGTCCTTCTGGTTGAGGAACAGGTTTTTTGATCCAGGTCTAGGAGTGTCTCCCTTGACTAAAGCTCTGCGCTCAACATAAGCCCAGCTTGTGTGCATGGAGGTGATTCTGCTGGTGCCATAGCAGCCCTCTACTATGCGTGCTCCTTGAGTCGAGCAGAGTGCACGCCTCTTCGAAGCGATGCACACGCCAGGTACGTCCATGGCGCTTCGGAGGGCCACAGTGGCAACGAGGGATATCCCTCCAACATCAGCGCAGTCATGGCCATCAGCGGGACCTTAAGGGGTGAAGCGTGCTTTGGCTTTAAGTTGTGTCATGTGCCAGTAAGTAGTTCCAGAAAAGATTCAGCACTCTGCTGCATCGTCGATATGGCAGGTCACCCACCCAAGATATCCTAAGCCTCCACCAACCACGACACAGTACCAGTCCGCAACCATTTCCAAGTGACTAGTTGGCTGTTGCCATCGTGCTGATTGAAATCTTGAAGAGGTTTCTGCACTCTAAAGGTACTGCAGCTATGTTGATGACGAGACTCAGCTGCGCTGCAGTGCCGGCATCGGGCATCGTTACTTTCAGTTTCTTGTTTACACCGTAGTCATGGTAGCTGAACCATCCAAGAATATGAAAGCGCAGAAATGCCTCATCACTGCTCCGCCAGCTCCCGATTTCGTGAAAGAGGCTCATCCGTGTGGTGCCCTGGTAGACTAGCTACTCGCCTAATTGTGGGGAGTTTCGCCTATGGCATGCTCGGAAGCGCCAGATTTCAGCTGGAGATGTACCCCTGCTGCTGTGGCATGGACGGCAGGATCGTCGGGCGAGAGCACATGCACACAAGTTCAATGGGTTGTTCATCTTCAAAATTCAGAAGGATATCTTCAATCTAGTGTCGTTGCAGCATGAGGTGCAGAAGCTTCATCGTGGTCTCACAGCATACCCCTGTTGATTTGCGCATGCGAGGACAGAGTCATTCCGGTCTCGAACGCGGTTGCGAATCTGGAACAGGCCCAGGCCGCTGCAGAAAACTACTACTACTACTACTACTACTACTACTACCACTACCACTACCACTACCACTACCACTACTACTACGACTACTACTACCACTGACTACTACTACTACGAATGCAACGACGATGACTACTACTACTACTACTACTACTACTACTACTACTGCTACGACGACGACTACTACCACTACTGCCGCTGCTACTACTACTACTACTACTACTACCACTACTACTACTACTACTACTACTACTACTACTACTGCTTCTACTACTGCTACTGGCTGCCACCACCACTACTGCCACTGCTACCACTCTGACTTCCTTATTGCGGATGTGACACTTCTAGTGCATCTTCTACTGGTGGTAGTAGCTGAAGAGGGCGGAAGTAGCACTGTTCTAATTCCACTCAGAAGGGAAAGTTCCCTCGAAAGTTCCCTAAACCCTAAACCCTCAAGCGTTCCCTTCAGGGTTTCCCTTTAGGGTTCCCTTAAGGGTTCCCTTAAGGGTGCCCTTGAGGGTTCCCTTTAAAGGATTCCCTTAAGGGTTCCCTTAAAAAGGCCGTGGGCGTCCTCAGCCTGCTCTTGGTGATCCCTGATGGTGGACACGTTCCGATGAGCCAAGGCCCGGCCAAGGGAAGCCCCGAAAGGCCGTATGTTACAATTAAGTACTATTACAGTATATATATATATATATATATCTATATCTATACATATATATATATATATATTACCATAGTAGATTATACATTTATAGAACCCATTATAATATACCATACTATTATAGTATATTTTGTCATCGTCGGCTTGTAATACCTATGATCATATACTATACTCTGATATAATATACAGTTTCTTACAGTATGTTATATCTTCGTATCGTATACTATTAGAGGTTTAACGGTTTAGGGTTTTTTTTGACGTGGCTCGAGTCTCAAGGGCTCGAGTCCCAAAGGTATAGTCTGTATAGGGTTTGGGGTTTCGGGTTCAGGGTCCCGAAATGGGACCGCTTGCGCTGCGCGGCGTTCGCATGCCTTCGCACGCCTTCGCGGCTGAGGTCTGGATCCTTTTGGTCCATATCTACCTCGCTGGCTGGCATTCCTGGCAGGCCATCCGTGCTTGGGGTTGGGGGTGCTTCGAACACCCTAATAAGATAGTGTAATAGCAATAGCTCCTGTTAGTAGGTTTGGACGGCTTGGCATCCGCATTGCAAGCCAGATAGAACGCTGAACTCATCCAAGCCCAGACTCATCTGCATCTCAAGGTGCATTGAAGCTCTCAGATGCAGAGTGCCGGTGACCTGAGAGAAGCACGGGGAGAATGTCTTGTTTGCTTGTGCTGTAGCCTTCGTACCAAGGCCCGACAAGAGGCCGGGGATTGATTTGAGGGGAAGCGAGAGCACGTTCCTGTTCAACAGCCCAGTTCTCTGCGCAGGGCCCATACTCACACACTGAGCACCCAGAGAGACGATCAATCGGTTAAGCAATGCATTTTTCATGCCGCACGACAATGTTTCTTTCGTGCAGAATTGGAGTGAAGATCCCTGGCCTTGCAAGAAACATTTGCAGGGCCCCACGGGGTTGATTCGGAGATGTTCCAAAGTTTTGGCACCTTGCAAAGTCAAATCCGGATGGTCGCCTAGTCGCCTCGGGCCTCGCCGAAAAAGGTGGCAGCAGTTCATCAGACGACACCAGGCTGAATTTTCGCAAAGTAGACAGGTGATCCACCCCTGCTTTCAGGTGAGTGGTTTCTGGACCCGCCTCCGCCGCCGCCGGCTTCGATTGAACCCTGGCTTGCAAGCGAGAAAATGCTGCTCGAGCTGTACGTTCTCGGAAGTGCGTCAACGACACGAAGCACTCCGATCGACATTCGTGGCGACTTACCGCAAGCAGCATTATATTCACTAAATCCAGCCTGGCTGAGGACGGAGATCCCCTTGGCTTCGACTTACTCCCAGGGGTGCTGAGGGACCCCGAGGAAGAGGAGGAGGAGTAGAGCGCAGTTTAGCTTTCCAGAATGACGACTCCAATCCGTTGCTCCGTGCTCAGAAAGGGCCACTCTGCACCGTCTTCAAGTCCCGTGGGCCCATGGCATGAGCCCACAGGGCCGAAGAGCCTCCTTTGCCTTCGCAGTTCGAAGTGAAAGTTCCCATCGCCTGGCAAAGAAGTCGAAAGGCCGCGAGGACCTCAGCTGAAGCCGCGCCGCTGGGCCCACAGAACCCAGGCCCAGGGTGGGCACCCGAGGCTGCCTTGGACATCGCGCCCGGCGAGTACGGCCTCGCCGGCATCTCACAGCGGCGCTTCGACATTTCTCCAAGCAACAAGCCTAGTGACTAGTGTTTTTGCCGAGGTGGATCACCTCTCCGCCAACGCAAAGCTTGGTGAGAAGAAAGTCACAAACTACACTTGGACGAAGCGAAAGCCGGAGCACCCGGAGCTCGGCTTTGCATCAGCCTGAACTTGCAGCAGAGTGAGGCCGAACTCGTCCAACTCGCAGCGAAGCAAGGCCTTCGACGGCAGAGGGTACGGGGAATCAACCATTCGGACATATGCCCCTCTTATAGTTTCGCAACCTTTTTGAGTCTCGGTCTTGTGTGGCCTTGCGGTGTGCAACTCCTGCCTGCCACACTGCAAATACGGAGAGATCTAACAGATTAGCCTGCAATACCCTGCAGTGAGTGTTTTGTCAGTTGCAAGTAAGCCTCCCGGATAGAACCTGTAGTTAAGGACCACCAACAAAAATATCTTTCGCGAAGGCCGGGCAGGTGACCACGGCGCCGACCGACGATCTGCTTCGCACGAAAATGGCTCAGACCCCGGAGCTCCAAGCGTGACTCAATTCCTGTTTTCATGGTGTGCATTTTGCAAGCCCTTCGCCCGTCAGTTTGTCTGTCGGTCCGTCTGCCTCCTGCAGGTAGGCAGATAAGCATGCATGCCTGTACAGGTAGTATATACGTCCGTTTGTCTGTCTGCGTGTGCACATGTGTGTATGTATGCGTAAGTATATGTATGTATGGATGCCTATGGGTGCATAAGCGTACGCACGTGTATGTGTCCGTATGCGTCCGTATGTGTATGAGTATGTATATGTGTGTGTATGCATATATGCATGCGCGCGGATGTGTATGTCTGCATTTGTGTTTGCATGTGTATGCATGTGCATGTACATGTGTGTATGTATATGTATGAATGTATGCGCGTGTGTCTGTATGCAATCCTGTGAAAATGCGTGAGCATTGTCCTCTCCTGTCCGTCTCACTCTGGCTTATATACCTATATACTATAACTGGATCTATCTATCTGTCGGTCTGTCAATTTGTCTGTCTGTTTATCCATGTATCCGTCTATCCACACACAGATATGTATGTCTGTACATATGTATAACATATATAGATATAAATATATGTATAACTAACAGACTAACACAAAGATATATATATATATATATATATGCACACGAATATACGTAGACACGCACGCGCAACTTCTGTGCAGCCACACTGTTCTTGGCCTGTGATAACTAGTTCGATTCCTTTCAGGCACCTGCTGTTCGAGTCGAATTCTTCGAGGAGCATCCCGAGCCGGGGTCTCAAGGATGGGTCTCATACTTATGAAGAGCTGTGATGTGTGTGCATGCACGCATAACTACTCGTAGATACAAGTAAGTAGGTGGGTAATTAGGTAGGCAGGCAGGCAGGCAGGCAGGCAGGCAGGCAGGCAGGTAGGTAGGTAGGTAGGTAGGTAACCACTTCTCGTGTTTGTTGTTTCTTGTTGGTTCTGACTCATGTATGATGCAATTGCCGGGAGTGTTGTCGAGATTTTCAACAGATAACCCGGCAAGCCGACAAGGCTGATCAAACAGATGCGAGTACACCTTCAGCCACGGCTTTTGCAATCGTCCTCGCCGGAACATATCCGACGATGTTCGGTGGTGGGGCCGTAAACAAGCCTAGCCCGGACTCTACCGATGAATTGCAAGCAGCGAGCCTATCATGTCCAATGCTATTTGGCTGGATGTGTTTCGCTTGTCTGGGAAGTATGCGGGAAGATGTCAGGCGCTCGCCGCTGTCTCGATTCGGTGACCTGAACATCATGAATCCGAATCCATTCTCAGGCGCGGGGATGGCAAGAAATGGCATCCAACGCATCCCTAGGTTCATTGTAGGAAATGCCGTGATTCAGCAGTCCTGGAGAGCTTGTAGGCGAGGCCAAATACCGGATGGCTCAGACCACATCATCGCCGGCGCTGCTTCAGGTGTCGACGCTGCAATGGATGCTATCGTCTTGCCCGAATCTAGCTGACCACAGAACTCCTACGAACATGTGTCAAGCTGTTTGTCAAACTTTCTGGTACGCTCAGGGCAAGCCTCACCTTCCGCAGCTTCCTCAAGCATCGCTGTCAGGCTCTCGGGCGGTTTCTCGTGGATCTCGAGTTGGTTCTGTCATCGTCTAACCCAAGCAAGTGCTTAAGGACCCTGCAGCCGGCTAGTGGCAAGAAGGACAATTCAATTAACGAGAAAGGATCAAACTTACACGTGGCACCTGCAGGAAGCTTCGCGAAGAGGCTCGGAGCGCAACGTCTGCTTTCTTGCTTTGCCCAAAAACGAGCTTTCTTCCGAAAGGCCCGGCTTGGGGATCGTGGCTTCGATCAGGTGCGCTTGTGTATTGGCAGTGAAGTTGCCCTTTCGACAGCTTGCGCTGTCCCGATGAACAGCTAGGTGCGACACGAGACAAGACCAAGCTTTTGGCGACTTCCTTTTCAGGTTCCAGCCTCAGTTTGCTGTGGAAATCTGACCGCGCCAGAGTCCAAGGCTGGCAGTTTCCTTCAAACGTCCATCCAGACAGGCGCCCTTAAATAGCCTTTGCCATGGGTGAAAGGGAGCGTCGTCGCGTGCGGTTGGCGTGGCTGCAGCTGAGCGGGGGAACTGATGCCGGATGTTTTCGGTCATGGGAACAAGTCTTTGACCTGTTTCAACAAGCAAGAAACAAATTTCACGAACGCAACATCCGTGGCTGATTTCGCGTGAGCCCGTCAGTTGGGTTCAGTTGAGCGTTGTTCTTTTTGGTGGGTTCTTTTGACAAGACTAGGAGGGCGATTAGCGAAAAACTCGGTCGCTTAAAAAGTGCACACCCTTTCGATCGCGCGCAAGGGCGCGCAAGGGCGAACGCAAGCTATGCTCAAGGCTTGTTGTTAAGGTTGATTCAAGAGTGATACTGAGCAACGTTGTAGGTAGATTAGCCTTGAAGCCCCAGTGTTTTACCCGCAGCCGAAGCTTAGACTCGAAGCCACCAAGGATCAACACGCCACAGTCTCAAAAACCTCGCGCGCGCAAGCACGCCCAAGGAACGCGCAAGGGCGAAGCGCAAGGATCCTAATTGGCACGCGTGGAACAAGGATATAGAACAACCCTCAGTCGGTAAAGCAGAAAATTACGGTGAGTACTGGAATGAGCTAAACGTGTCTGGTTCAGAGTTGACTGTATCTTCAGCTTAGACGAGTTGAGGTGACTCGCTTGAGACGGCTGCATAGGCTCCTGTATGGTCGACGACATCACACAAACTAGTTTAGATAAACCTTGGCGTCAGCCAAAAGCCCGGACGTAGTAGCGTCAGCTAAACTGCATACATGACTTGGAACGAGCAGTCTAATTCACGCTAGGTGTTTTGCACAACTGTGCCGTTGGTTGGTAAGCTTCAGAAGACAAGTCCACTTTTTCGGCTACAGACAATCACGCCATACTGAACACTTAAGTACCTACAGTAATGCTATAAGTTTGTTAGCATCGCTTGATCAACATCTATAGACAGAAGACCCTGACGTTCTGTAGTTAAGAGAGATCTGTTCATTCAGCTTCTTCAGGTTTACCTTCGTAATGAAGTGAATCTGAAAACGGATGGAACCGGTGCTTCAACTGTCATAGATTCGCGGAGCAGTACATCCAATAACCTTTACAGCAGTATTTGTCATCTAACTGTCTGCACGCCGCGATACTCAGCTTCGTGAAAGGTTGTGCTCAATGTTTTGCCTGGGCAGATTGCAGGTTCTACGAATCACTCCTCGACGAAGAGAAGCCGAAGCAAGATCCCTTAGCCTTCTTTTGCCCTTGTCAGCTTGGGCAACGGGTGGCACGTATGCCGTTTAGGTACGGAGCTGGCGCGCCCGCACACTGGCCTCTGGGGCACGAGATGGAGTGGCCACAGCGAGCGTTTGATTCGTGTGCTGCGCTTGTATCAGGTGACTTCTTGGAAGGTTATGCATAGTCCCGGCGGCCTTGGTGGCCCTTGGGCTTGTATCCCTGCCAGGTACGAGTGCCGTTTGGATGACATGGTGCTATGCAGCAAAGTGCGTGATGCTTATGAGGCCCTGCTGCACTTTTGCGAGGGGCGATGTGTCCCTCAGGCACTTGCGTGTTGCATGACCTTCGAGCCGTTCCCAAACCGCAGTGTGAGGCTCCATGAATCGAGATAGTCATGAACGTCGGTGAATCGGACTGAGGGCATGGACACCAGCAAGAGCTGGGCCAGAATACGGCCGCCTCAGCCGCCACAGAAACCTGCACAACCCCGGTATTACCGGCATTGGGGATCGACATTTCGGGGCAAGCCGGCAGTCGGGATGGGGAATTTCGAGCTTTGGCGGCATCGTTTCCTGGAAGGGCCTCGGAAGAGACAGCTGCAACCGTTGATTCCACAGTCCGGTTTTGGCGGGCCCATGACTGTGCACGGTATGATGACGCCCGAAGTCGCCGAGGATTGGGAGGATCAGGCTCAGGCTCCTGCTGCGGCTCAAGCTCCCAGGTGTGCAGAACCCGAGGCGAAGCGTGTGGATCGGCTGGACCTCACTGTGCCGCAAAGTCCTCTGCCCGTAAAGACGTCGGAGCGAAGCGCGACCGGCACCGGTGGCTCAAAGAGGGGCAAATCGCAGGATCTCGGAATCTTGCCGAAACCGAAGAGTGAGCCTCCCAGCTTCGGATATGGCATCCCGGCAGTATTGAAGCCACTGCCACCTTGTGCTGTCGTTGCCACGGGAGAGGAGGCAACTGACCTTCCGCCGGAGGAGCGGTTTCAGACAACATACCGTGAACAGTTCCAGTCCCACAGCGCCGTCAACTTTCACACCCCAGAGTACTTTCCCACACGCTTCGTACCTGCTGGAAATCGGCATGCGAGGGACGTAAAGCTGAACCGTTTAGGTGCCCATGTCGCCCGAGCCGGGTGAGTTAGCACTCGACCTGCCATGTGGCTGCCCAGTTTGTCAAATAGTGTAGCTGTCCGAGCCATTCTCGGATGCGTTGGTGCAAAATGCACCTCTCTGGGGATTCAATGTTTCGGAACCCCGGGACCCTAGACAGGGTTTCCGGATCTTCTTTAGATGCTTCTGCCAACATGGCATGCGAGCATGTGAACATTAAAGCTTTCAAAAGTGCTGCTGCGTACTGTACTCCTCTATCGAGATTCGGACTTAGGCACTGCGACCTGCAATGCTTCTTACCTGATGGTTCCGACTGTCGTCAGACAGGTCGGCTTCCGAGGGAAGAAGCGGGACAAGCCGACGGCCACAGAGCAGCTGTTGGGAGGAACAGGTGCCCTGGTCCTAGGTCCGAGGCTCGTAGGTGTTGGCTTCATACGGTCCTTTCGCCGCGGAAGGCGACTCGATGAGGATCCGACGAATCGCCAAAGTGGAGCAGGTCACAGCACCAAGCTGTCTCGTTGTGTGCTTTGCGTCCGCACTATGGTAAAAGGCTCAAGGTAGAGGCGACCAAAGACACCAAAACAAAGTGTGCAGCCCTCAACTCCCTGGAGCAGGTGAGCTGCGACAACTGCGGCATGAACTTGGCAGATGCTGACAAGCCGGATGGACCTGCTGCATCCCTGAGCATGACTGCCTGAAGGTTGACCTAAGATGATCCAAGAAGCTAAGGGGAAATGCTAAGGAAGAGCCACGCGGGTTGGAAGATATGCTCGCCGGAAGTTCCGGAGTAGACTAGTAGAGCCCTTATGGCTATAAGAGTTGTTGCCCGCAGCTTACGGCGACTGCACTGCAGGATGACAGCACAACTAGCAACAAAAGTTTTACGAAAGTGAGGTCATCAGGGATCATGGATACGATGGATACTCATCATAAGACTCCGACCATGACCGAAGCTGGAGCCCTGAGAGCAATACTTGACACTGTTCAGAACTGTGAAGGAGAAGGCCGAGGCAACAATCAGCAAGCCGTCTCAGACTAGTTCAGATGCGTTTGGGGGTCTAGACTAGGGTGATCTGCTTGCCGGGGTTCGGATTCGAGTGATTAGGTTTCACGATGGTCGGTCATACACATGCCTGGTAAGCGGCGAGGAGGTAGCTCGTTTCCGTAAAGACGGTCGTGTCGCGATGAACGAATTTCGATCAGCGACCGCATCACATGTTGATGTCGCTGTCTGCTCCATCTGAAGCGTTGAAAATCGTCCATTGTGGCCTGCAAATGAGCCCGTTTCAGAATCGCTTGAGAAGGACGCTTCTTCTACTACTGCCGCCGCTGTAAGCGAAGCGGAAGAAGGCAGCCGTTGCTCTAATTTGTTGATAAATACGCAGGCAGTGACCCTACGCCCCAAACAACCATGGGCTTGCTCATGATCGTGGCCTGGAAATCTAAGTTCTCGGAGTCATAGCTTCTCCACGCGACTACTGAAAATACCAGTGTTGTTGGTCTTCCGGCGCATTATGCTTTGGGCCATGACGGGAGGGACAATCAGTGACAATCAGTGGTTCGGTTGTTGATTGTCCGCAATTAGCTGTAGCTGGTATGCAGATGTATGCAGTTCAAGCCGCAATCGTCGCAAAGCAGCATGCACCCTGGAAGGTTCGAGCTTTGTATTCAGTGCCATGTGCTGGAAATTCTTCAAGGTGAAGGCCGGCTTACACTGAGCGCCCTCATCTTCGGCACAACTTCCCTGACATGGTGTCCTGCTTGGATTCCTCTCCAAGCCTGTCTGTGTGCATCTGAGTTTGCCCGTTCTTCGCTCCATCTCTCTCTCTCTCTCTGTTTATCTCTCTTTTTCTCTCCGTCTCTTGCTCTGACTCTCTTTTGACCTCTTCCTCTCTGTCTCTCTCACTCTGTCGCCATGTCTCTGTCTGCATTTCTCCTCATACATATCAGGTAAGTACTCTGGTGACGGCTTTCATCCTCATTATCTGAAATGCCAGCGCTCGGCCAAGTGAGTTGTAGAGGTGACGGCTAGGGGAAGGTGACCGCCGAACACAGCCGAGGCATCGTATGTTGATTCGAAGGCAAAGCCTGGAAAATGCCTATCCGAGCCAGGGGCTTATTATACTGAGCTACTAGAGATACAGTCGAAATTCAGAACATCGTAGGTGCCCACATCGAACCTTGATTCTTGAGATACCTTGACAAGACCGCCCGAAAGCAACTCCGAGGCTCTCCGCATCTGCACCGGGTTCTTTGTGATCTGTGCGGAATCGTTGTCGTCGGCAGAGGCACGGAGTGTTTGCTTTCAGGCTTTCAGCTCTCTTCGGAGGGATGAACTCGTCAGGTGCTTCAGACAACGCTCGCGACAAGGACCAAGGCCTTGGCCGGGTCTTGCAGCGACAGTTCCGACGACGGGTGCCGCCTCAAAGCTGCGCTGCAGGATCATTGAAAAAGGCTCAAGAGCTAGGGCCTTGGCCTGCAGTGCGTTCAGCCTTTCTCCCTTAAGCTTTTCAGATCCTGTCACCAGGCTGAAACAGGATCCTGGTAAGATGCTTGGCCGCAAGACCAGAGACTTAGCACATTGGCGGAACTTTACCGGGAATAAAGCCGGAACTCAACGCTTGTTCAGAAGGCTGGGCATCCATGGTGTGATATGATGTCGAGCCATCCCAGCAGCCGTGCAAGCAAGAACGGCACAATGCCGTGCATAAGTGCGTAACGCTTAAGTGCGCTTGCCCATTCTACGAAACGCGACAGCAGTTTTGAACCTGCAGAGACTCGCAGCTAAGCGCACAGGTAACATGCGATGTTGCAAAACTGGAACCTGCAACGAACACTCCGGGGTTCCAAGGGATGATTGCGGCCTCGAAGTTATGTACCACTGTGCCACTGTCCCTGATGCAGTAAACCCTGCAAGGAAAGCCTACATCATGTCCAATGAGGCATCGGAGCTTGCACGGATGCTCGTCGCTCGTAGTGTGCTCGTGATCTGAGCTTCATGCTTGCGGCCGTGCCAGTTCTACGCTTGTCCTCAGTGTCCTGAGCAAACCGGGCTTCGCTTCGAGCTCTGTGTGCCCTGTGCCACCAAGCTCACCGAGCGCCAGCTTCTCAGATGTGGGTCGCAGCAATTCGAAGCGTTGAAACAGGATGTAGGCGAAGTTGCCACGACTTGACGCTGTGCTGGAGGAGGTCGTGGCATGCTGCGGCTAGAGACGACCCTCTGAGCAATTTGCTGGTAGGCTCTGTAGAATCTGACTGGAATTCGGACAGAGCATGGGGATGGCATGCTCGCTATGCTTGAAGCTCTTCTGCAACGGTAGACTTGTGCACTCGGTGCGAGGTCTCTCTTCTAGTTGTTCTGTGTCGCCAGCTGACAATCGGACATCTTTCTTCAGCTTAGGCTGTCAGAATCTCTGAACGCTAGGCTCGCCGACTCGGCTGTTGTGGTAGCCTGGTGGCAGACCTGTAGACTTGACTTGCTCACCGAATCACCGATGGGTGACAGACGCATGGGTCTCACAGCTTCTGCTACCTGAGTATGGCTGTACAGAGGGCTTGAGAAAGTGGGCGTTACGTTGCCTCGCATTTTGCAGCCCATGGGCATAATGCCAGATGTCCACCGACCGAGTCCACTGTTCGGTCTCACTACTTCCTGAACATGTTCTCTTTGTCGGAGCTGAGGGCTAGGAGCAGTGCGATATCTGAGGGCTCTACTGCCTCTCTCGTATGCTGGATCTGTAGCCCCTTGGTGAGGAAGCATCTAACGGGTGTACGCATGCCTAGCTGCCAGCAGTAGTGACTATCATTGCCTTCCCTGCGTCGTCCATGGTATGTGGATGTTTGTCTCCGGGCAGGGAGAGCTGCGCGCGATCTGCCCCAAAGTTGGCCAGTTGCCGTGATGCCAAGCCTTGCTGAGGAAGAACTCCTTGCAGTCGAGTTGTCAGCAGTTGAGCCAAGGCAACTCCTCCTTGTCAACACCTCCGACACCTCGTGCAGACCTCGTGAGGTCCTTTCTGTCGCAGGAGCCCATCCTGACACTGCAGCTGTCATGCTGCACAGAGGACATTGGAGCACGACAGCAGCCTGCCGCAGCTGAGTCGCCGATTTCATCCATAAGGTCCATGTCTCGGGCCGTCCCGGGTCCTTCTTGTTAGGGGACCACAAGCAGGGCCTGATGAAGACTACCCATGTGCTGTTTGTTCTGGGCTGTAGCTGATTGAGGCGGAAGGTGGCCTCTCCACTGTTGACGTGCTTGCTAATGCAACACTTGCCGTCCAAAGACATGACGGCCATGTAGGCCAGAGAACTCTGCAGGAAAATGGGGATGCGACGATGACGCTTGCAGCCACGATCGGTCAGCGGGACCCTGGCTGTCCAACATAGACACGCTTAAGTTGTGGTGCGTGCCAGCTGCGCCAAAGCGAATCGCGGGAAGCAGGCGCACTTAATATACCCCAGAATCAGTTTAGCCGCATAGCCACACACACACATCCGCACATGGATGCAGCATGAGGGCTTGCAACGCCTGGTAACACGATGTAACAAGTCAAATGCGCTTTCAGGGTTGAGGACGCAGGAAGGTAAGCCAGGGGAACACGACAAACCAGTTTCCGACACGCCTAACCGCGCCTAGACGCCAACGGAAAGCCACTTCAGATCATGGCTCTAATGCTCTAAACCTAGAGCTGGCAGAGCATTTGGCCGTAGTTTTGAAGTCGGTTCCAAAGCCGCAATGTAGACTCGCAGTCTGCAGAGGACCAGTTCTGACATGAGCAGCCACAGGCACCGAAAACTACCGCCATCCAATCTTGGCCAATGGCAATGCACATTCTAGGTGCTGGTTCCATGGGTTGCCTCTGGGCGGCTGCATTGACCCGGGCAGGCACTGAAACGCGGCTGTTGCTGCGACCCAACTCTGTGAAGCTGGCAGCTTGCCAGTCAGGGAAAGTGTTACTGCGAGTGGAGGGGCACGGAAGCAACGGTAAACCGTCAGTTGCGGTCGACGCCGGATCGGTGTCGGGACCCGGAGAAGATGTTAGTCGGGTGTTGGTAGCAACAAAGGCTTACTCTGCCATGCAAGCCTTAGAGATGTTGGCTCCGCGACTGAAGACAGGTGCCGTCATCATCTTGCTGTCGAATGGAGCACTTGCCCTACATGAGCAGATCGTCCATGGGGCAGGTCGAAGCCTAGGCCGCCTAGGCCACGTGCACCTGATCCTTGGCATCACGACGCATGGGGCGTGGTCTCGGGCCCCTTTCGATGTCGTGCATGCAGGATGGGGCCAGACCAGGTTTGGTACCTTTGAAGTTCAGGAGGAGTGGTATTTTTCGACGTTGCGGAGCTTGGAGACCGCCGGACTGGGAGCTGTCAATGAGGGACCCGACATCGCACGCAGCTTGTGGCTGAAGCTGGCGGCAAACGCTGCCATCAATCCGTTGACGGCGCTACAGAACAAACCAAACGGCTTTATCTTATCCTGCATGGAAGCACAAAAGCAAGTATCCCGGATCTGTGGAGAAATTGCAGCGGTTGCGGGCGCTCTGCAGCCAAACCAAAAGGAGCAGTTCTCCAGCTTCGACTTGGAAGACTTTGTCTTCCGAACGGCACGAGAAACAGCAGAGAACCGCTCCTCCATGTTGCAGGACATGGAAGCGGGCAGACTTACCGAGATCGACTACTTAAACGGATGGGTCGCCCGCAAGGGCAAGGAACTAGGAGTGGATGCGCCTGTAAACGCCCACGTGACAGCGCTAGTCAAAGAAAAGGAATCGGCAGCGTCCGCTACAAAAGGATAAGACCTGCTTGAGCGTGTCTTCTCTGCCTGTGGAAAATCTTCTGGGTAAAGTGATGTGAAGGCAGATTCATCCAAGTCTCGTGAAACTCACCGGTGGCTCAAGGGTTTCTGGTCGACGCCCGAAATTGAGGTGTTCCTGTCGAGTCCTCAGAATGCCGGTTCGGTGCTCTGTAGTGCCGGAAGCTAAAGCCTGCCTGACTTCCTTAGGTCTGTGGTTGCCTTTCTGCCCAGATGGCCCCGAAGGCAGCCTCAGCATGAACAACTTTTGCTCGCGACGAAGTGTGATCCAAAACCCCCGAGTGTGCAGACTGGCCTTCATACTCTATATAGTATATAGTCTATAGCCTATACCAGCTCCTGGAAGGAAATCATCAGAAAGATCGGCGAGGCAAATTTGGGCTCTCCTCGCATGGCACAAATTGGAAGCACAGAGAGGATGAGTTGCTCATGTGAGGACGGCTTCGACGTTGAAGACTTCAAAGCCACGCTTCACAAGGTGTAGCGCGAATGGGGCGGTTTGGTTTTGATCGCTCGTTTCCTTAAGGCTGATAAGGTATCGTATCTTCCAGCACAAGTCAGCCAGGGGCCTTTGCAAGCATGTCAACATAGACGGGCGAATTAGCTGCTGCAAAGAACCGTTCGGAGTTCAGCAGGGGATGAAGAATTACCAAGTGCACGTACATATCTTGCTCACATCTATTAGCATCCTCAGAGTTCATGGAGTCAAGCGCGCTTTGCAACATGAACTTCGTCCCCATGTGAGAGCATGCTTGTCCACCTTTCGTCTGTTGTTTGTTCGCTTTTCCAAAGGGGTGCCCAGTTGTCTGCGAGTAGTTCGTGACCTGTGATCGAGTCGCGTGTTTGTTGAATTTGGTGACGTTGGCTGAAGCCTTCGTCCCTTGGTAAGGCTGGTCCGGTGTTCCTCTTGCTGCGATGCTCGTTTTCGCTTCATGTGTAACTGTGGAACTGGCCCGGGGGATCTGAAATCAAGACGTCGAAGCGACATGTCTGATTGTAGTTTTCTGGTTATCTTTCTTGTTATCGTCCTTGCTGGTGCTGGTGCTGTGACTGGTGGTGATGGTGACGGTGCGTCAGCGTCTGGGTGGTGGGTGGGTTGTAGATGATTAGCGCTGTTCGGTGGGCTTTGCGGAATTGAGTTTAGTGGGTTGCTGTTGCGTTCTTGCGTGTGCCTTCTTCGCGCCCGTCGGCTTTGCACTGGTGACTTTGCCTAGGTCACTGTGCATTGGATCCTGTTAAGCCTTATTGTCGATTAGCTGCTACGCTTTCGACAGGCTCTTTGTTTTTCATCATGTCTTCTACATCGTGGTGGCTCTTGGCTTGGAAGCCAATGCCACTAGCGGTTGGCTGCAAAATCAAGGCATGCCACGACGCAGCAACGGTGGTGCATACCAACTCTCGTCCCCAGTCGCATCCTGATTGAGGAACTGAATAAGCAGCCATACTTCAACAGAGCGCTGGGAGGGAACCATATGTCACTCGTGTTGTCTCTGAAGATGCCCTAGCGAGGCAGATTTGGGACAAGATTGCAAGTGCCCATTCTTGTCCGGCTCTGCTAGCGTGACCAAAAACAATCGAGCATTCCGTCCCAGTACTACTAGATAGTCTGCACTGCAGTGCCTGCTATTGCCCAGTCTCATAAGGTGGGCGGCCACGCTTTAGACTACTAAGTTGCCAGCCACCGAGTGCGAGCAACAGACAACCACTGGGTCCATGAGATGCAGATTGGCACAGGAGGTTTCACCATCCTGTACACCGTAAAGCACTCCGTAGACCTTGTGCCTTTTGCAGATTCGAGGACGGTCCATTCTGGTACTGGTGGCTAGAGTCCGTTTTTGGCAGGAGGGCTGCAAGAAGCTTCATATTGTGGATGCCTGCGACCCAATCGTAAATCTGCAGAGTCAATCCGGGCCAGCATCAACTGCCCCACATCTTCCGCTCACCTCAGGTCTATACAGCGTGGTGTGGCCCGTGCCTGTCAATAGCCGGGGCCGTAGCAAGACCGGCAGATGATGTCTTCTGAAATTCTGTACTTATTGGCATCGGCTTCGGTCCAGTTCCGACGACTGTTCCGTCTCTGGAGCATTCTGCAGGTTCCCACCTTCAAGAACCTTCAGGTGGCTGGCTTAGTATGAACCTGGCCGGTGAAACGATTTCATGTTTGTGAAGCTGGGCAGCCGTGTGTCTCTGCACTGCATCACACAGTAAGAGTATATTCTGTAGCTTCTCTTGCCTCTAAGATGAACGTGGACGCCTTCGAGGACAAGCCACTGCCTGCGCATTGGTGCGGTTTGGTCATACGGTTCGATACGCAAGACGCACAGATTAAGATTCTATGTGTGCATGCCCATTGAAGCTGCAAGTGCGGTCTTGCAGATGGACGGGAACGCATGTGCGACGACAGGATCGATGCACCATTACGCAAGCTGAGCGGAATGTATTGCCGGAGGTCGTCTGCATAGTTCTTGCAGCTTGTGTGGTGCAGAAGCAAAGCCTATCCTGCACCTCGCTGGCAGTATGAAGAGCGCTTTGCAGAGACTAGCAAGCCGCGCTTCCTGCCATGAGCCTACTGGCCAACTCTGCTTGGCATCAGGTTTGTCAGAGCTTCAGACGGTAGACGGTGGAGACTGAGGTTCTACAAAGGTGGAGAAGAGGCCTCTTGCTCGAAGTGTTCGTGACTCGCATCGGACCCAAATCACTTGCAAAGCGGCCGCAAGTAGTTGCAGGTCATGCAGATCGAAGGCTTGAAAGCGCCAGAAATTCTCAAGCCGATGCCTCCAGACGTGAGTGAAAGCCTTCCGATCAACTGCTTCTGCTTGCGATCTTCAGGTTCATTGAGGAGAACCTGCCTGCCATAGAGACCGAGGAGTGACCGGGGTGTGTGCCAAGGCCTGCTGAAAAGCAGCGGGTTCGCAAATCATTGGGTGAGTGGAGCAATTCTGGCCCGGATGCCAAACTTGGCACGAGTGGTTTCTGGCCAAGCTTGCAGTTTACGCTCTACACTTCTCAACAAAATCCAGAACTACAGCAGTGCCTGCTTTTCCTTGCCAGAACATAGCCATTAAGGCAAGACGTCTCACCTGCGCGCTACCGGCATGAGTCCGATAATGCATGCACACTGAAAACCGCATTTCCTCGTCAGGCTCTCCTGTGTATTCTGACACGACTATTCCCAGGTGGATGCATTCTCTATAGACTCTATGCCTAGGTCTGAAGGGTGGTGTTTACCAAGAGCCTTGATGTAAAAAATATATATATATATATATATACACATACACATACACACACACACACATCTGCAGTCTACAGATATGTTGCATGCATGCATAGAGTCAGCGGCTTCTATTATCGTCAGGGCCCAGCAGCTTCTTCGGCTATTGCTCGATTCGCTTCGTGCAGCTCAAGCTTGCCATGCCACTGTTCGGGGAATAAGAAGTTTTACTCGAGAAACGTGGCTTCCTATTGGACGGAACTCAGGAACGCGGCCGGATGCCCCGAAGAGAGCTGGATTCATGGTGGTCTCCAGCTGCTCTCCTCGTGGTCTCTGGGTGGTCTGTTAGCATCTGTTGGTGGTTTGGTTTCTCACTAGAAGGTCCTATTTGTGTGGAAATACGAATGAACATTTGATGCGGGTCCTTCTGAAACGACGAGATAGCCGGTAACGAGCTAGTGGCCCTTTATCGTTTCAACAGGACAGGCTTCGCAATTAGTGCGAAGCCGCCCGAAGAATCCACTATGTGTGTTTCAAACAAAATAAGTTTTACGAATGACAAGTTTTCCTAACGAGTGTGATTGCTGCATGTTTTATGATTTACATGTTTTCGCAAATACTGTGTGTATTCGCGCTTGTGCATGGCTCAACGCCAACAACCCATGCAAGAATGAAATCCTCGTGTAGTTTTGGAGTGTTGCGTCAATATGATCAACAATGTGATAGTTGACAACACGACGAACATGTTACATCCACATTCTGTTCACCTGCCCTCCCATCAGTTGCAGCGGGGGGAACCAGATGGGTGGCATCAAATGTGAGAGCAAATGCGAAATGTGCAATCTCCAATGATGCGTTGACTCGGAGATAGATGTGGTGGAGTGCAGTCGAGGGCGGGAAGAAGCTCTACAGCGGTGATGCATGTCCTGCGACCTTTGCTTGATGATGATTTTTGCAGCGCCCGGTGCGCCCCAAACCCGAGTGCTGCGCTATGCTGCGCTTGTGCATCCGCAAGATGCTGCGAGCTTGTGGGCTTCCCTGTTTGCAACCGTAGTTGCATGAAGGCAGCAGCAGGAGATGTGTAGTTTCGATCCGGGCGGCTTGACGTTTCTGGATCCGCGCATGCAGGCTTTCCACTTTCAAGCTCCATCACTTCAACAAATGCCTTCAGCATGCCGCGGGCACATGTGAGACATTGACATGTTTGGCAGTTAAGGCAGTTGTAAATCAGACATCAGAACACGTAGAGCTTGAGGAGACCTAAAGTTATCAGCAAACTAAATCAACAGAAACCCAGTGGGGTTAAATAACGCAGGCGGAATAAGCAACTGCGAGTTTGTGAGCTAGCAAAATCGCAACACGAGCAATGACCGAACATGCGCTCGACATTGCATAGCGTACCATGAGTGCCGACCATGACGGGGCGCCATCCTCCGATGCTGCTCAGGCTTTGTAGAACCTTCTCTGAGTTCGGGATCTTGCGGTAGCCTTTGCCTTTGATGTGCGTTGTCCCGAAAGGCGCCAAAAGCACCCCAGCCCGCGGGTTCTGCCGCAGCGGCGAATGCTGCCAGCGAGGGCCCCACAAAACCAGGCCCTGAGCTTGACTTGACTTCCAAAATGCGAGTCATGAGGTGGACACTTGACCAAGAAGATTCAGAAGGTTCCGTGCTGACTTCATGGCTTGAGACCATGTGCATCTTAAATTGGGAAGGCATTGACTCTTCGGATTGACTCTCAGCAGCCCTCTCCTTGGCCTGTCTCCGTCTCAATTTCAATGTCCAATTCTCGTCCAGCTTGGCTGGGCAGGTCACGAGACGCACTGAAATGCCTGTCTGGGTTCTTCAGTGAGAACACCGTCCACACTAGAAGGCGGGGACAGCAGGTAGCCTGACCCGAAAGGGCTCCGACGACCATGCGCTGGCAGCAGTCAGGAACTTGCGATCCTCGATCGAGGGCGAGAATTTGTTTCTGCACAAGGCGCGGAGCAACGAGGGATGCGCTGACGTGTGATGCTGTCAAAGCTTGCCTTCCTTTCGAAGTCTCAGCGCAGACGGGCTCAGGAGTTTGTGCATGCTTTTGGGGCTTTGGAGAGCCAGCTCGAGAGCCTCGACCGCTTGGTCGGTCGGCTGGCCCGAGCCACAGAACGCACAGCAGCGTATCTGTCAGCGTATCCGTCGCCGATCGGTGTTCGTCAGGATGGGGCCGTGCAGCGTGCAAGCGACCAGTTGAGAGCCAGCCGATGCGAGACGCAGGACTCCAGCGTCCCACGCCAGAAGCGCTCAAAACCATATATCTGTATCATAGCTTAGATCATCAGTCGGTACCGCCGGCCTTTGGTCTCCACCCCACAAAAGAAGTTGAGAGGCGAGCTTGGAGAAGGCAGCTGCCCTGCGCAAGGCGCGCCCGGAGCCCCGCCTCTGAAGTGCACCGAGCTTACGCCCGCGAATAGCGGGCCCTGTTCACGCTCGCCAGGAGTCAATGTCCATTGAACTCAAGCAGCAGGCTTCGCACCTTTGCACAGAGCTGGGCTGATGGCTTCCTTCCATGCTTATGTCAGGTCTTGGAGAAGTTCCTGACGCGGTTTCGGCTGTCAGAGGCGCACTGCTTTGGGCAATTTGGGAAGCTGGGGGCAGCCAAGTGAAGACTGAAAGTGCACCGTAGTAATACTGTGGGTCTCTGGACAGGCAGACACGCAAGTAGTGCGTTCTGGCGACAGACCACTAGATGATGACTTCTTCACGGCTTTCGAAAGGCTCGAGCAGGTGGGAGCTGCTTTACCCGTGTCAGCTTCCACTTTGTGTTCAGAACGTGGCAGAGGTACGTGCTAATGCTCGCCATATGCACTGCACTTAGCAACCCATCTGTTAAGAACTGCCAGCCGCATCTTGCAGCTTCAGGCTGAACACTAGTGGCCAGCAAACTTCTGGAGCCTGATGCCAAGATATAAATCACTTCACCAGACTTGCAAAGCTCGCAGACTTGTGCCATGATCAGATTGTGAAAGGTCGATATCTTGCATGAGACATCAGAGGTGTTGGAGGCAGCAGCCCCAGATTCTCTCTCCCGTGTCAATGCCAGATGAGTCGCTGGAGGCTTCCTACGAGCGAATGTTTGTTTGGGAGCCGAGCTCGGACAGCCAAAGTTCTAGACCCCAAAGAGTCGCCGTGCAGCCGTCAGTCGTCTCTTCTGGTGAGCTTGGAAGTGCGGCAAGGTCCAGCAGCAGTGCCGGGGCTCAAGAGATGCGGCCGTGGCAAAGAGCACGCCCGTCCTTCAGGATGCCACATTGGATCTTGTTCTGAGTTTTGTTGCGCGGTGTGGTGTGCTTCTGCTTAGGTCTGCAGAACTGGAAACCCCTGCTGGGAACGTGCTGAAGCGAGTGTTGAAGCTTGACCCTCAGCCGCCAGAGCTTGCGGCTTAAGTTCTCGATGTTTCGGGTTGGTTGTGAATCTGTCTTCTCAAGCAGTGGGTCGAACTATGGTGGACGGCAAGCCGAGCCACGGGAGAGTGCAAAGCGAGCACAAGAATTTCCAACAGGGAAACCCCTTGAAACTCACATCCACAACTATTTCCAGGAGAGGTTGTCCGTGACAGCGAGGTACCTCAACAAATCGGATGAGCCAGTAGCCGCATGAACACTAAACCCTAAAACCCTAAAGCCCTAAACCACTTGTTGCAGCAAGGCTGCTGAAAGAGCGGCCGGTGTATTTCAACCACTGCTTGCGCGACATCGTGCGGGTCAGGACGGTGAAGTTCCTGGTAGTGTGTGCCAGCACGTAACGCAGCCCAAAGTCGTCGGGGCGCAAGTTGACAAGTCGACTGAGCCACCTGCAGGAAGCAGGCGCTCCAGCAAAGATTTCTGGAGGAAGCTCTGCCGTTCCGTCGCAGCTCCGCCAGGGAGTAATTTGCCTTGCTCCGGACAGGCGCTGACTCAGGGAGACTCCTCCTTCGGAGCGCGGCCCATTGAACTTCAGGAGCCGAGCTCAGTGACTGAAGACAGAGCTTCTGGGCTGTTCTGTGCAGACTTAGGCCGGTGATCCGGTGCGATATGTGAGCGACATGCTGGCGTGGATTCGAGAGCATGTTGGGCGACCCAGTCCTCCACGGTGGCTCCCTCTAATCTGGGTGTCGGTCACAGGTCGCCGTGGAGTGCGAGGCAGTGACTGCCCTCATGGGCTCAGAGACGCAGCCTGAGGTGCCCGCCACTAGTGCCTTCTGGTGAGCATGGTTTGGCTGCATCGGTTAGTTGGTTTGGGGACGATTACCTTCTGTTATTCCAGGGGTGTTCAATGCTGTAGAGACTGCTTAGGCTTGAGTCTGGAGGTGTACAGTGGGCGGCATGCACAGAGCCTTTTTATGTCGATCATGTCGTCTCCTCAGGCTCGCTCCTTAATGTTGTTCTCTATCCCTCTTAGTCCCAGTCAGTGTCTGTGACTTTCTGCTACGTTTTTGATGTTTTGAATGCACTTATATAATCAGGGGGTTTAGATGTAGGCTCGGCTCGCGAGAGGCTCTGCGTGCTTTGGTCGGTTCAGGTGCGGAAAAGCAGCGGACAGGAGAAGAGTGCCGATTCCGTCGAGGGCTCGTCACTCGGCAAAACGTGGTCTCTTGCTCTTTTGTCAGCTGATGGCAATCAGCGAGCAATTTTGATTCGTTTGTGCATTCAGAACCGTTGGTCGGTTTTCGACTGGTCTTCTTGACCGGCTTAGGACCCTTATCGGGTTTGCGGAGGTCCTCGACATTGCATTGGAAGGCATCGCCGCGACCCTCGTTGCCAGAACGAAGCAAGCTTTGCAGGCCAACGTGGCGATAGTAACTATGTACAAAGTGGCCCAAGTCTTCTCCTTTTACGCGAAGACAATTGCAGACACGCTGCGACGGAGTGAGTCCGCATTGGTGTCCACATGCATGGACCTACATGCCAGAACGTACCAAAACTTCCTGGATCTTTGGGAAGCTCAGGCCCAGAAGCTTCGGCAAGGTGTCTCTGGGGTCTACGTCGCAGCCCTCTCTGCTCCGTCCTTTGTCCTGGAAGCTGTCAATACCTTGCAAGAGGTATTGTCCATCTACGAGATGGCTCCTGTTCCAACCGGCGAGCGCGAAGCAGACTTCCTGCCAGTCTTGTCTGCCGCCTTCGATCCTCTGTTAAATCATTGCCAGCAGGTTGCGCAGATGATGGAGACCGCAGATGGGATCGTCTTTCTCATTAATTGCGTGTGTGCGATGCAGATGCCCTTGCAGAAGCATGAGTTTACCAAGCAGCGGCAAGAGATGTATGCCAGCTTTCTCGAAGACCAGCTCAATCGCTTGGTGGAAGGTCAGACCAAAGCTGTTCTGTCGAAAGTTGGCCTTGCTGAGCGGTTGAAAGCATTGCGTGAGAAGCTACCCGAGACACCGCTCAGTTCGGTTCCTGAGCTGCATCCGGTTTCCCTTGCTGCGACTTTGCGATCCTTCTACAACTCCTTGTTCACTCTCGGTGGAGCCTTGTCGCTGCGTCTATTGGAGCGCATCGATGACGTGGCCTTGAGAGAAAGGGCCCGCAAAGGCGTGTCCGGACTCATCGCCTCTGAGTATGAGGAGCTGTATGTGGGCATTGAAGCCCTCGGCGTTGCCACGCATACACCTGCCCAGGTGCTCTCGACCTGCATTGGGATAAGGAAAGGTGACTCTAGTTGCGGGGGATGGGTATTGCAGACTGGCATCCATCCCTCTTGCGACTAGCTAGCTGATGTGGTGCTTTCATGGTTGAGTTGCCCTCCTGCCAGGTCCGAACATTGCTGGAAGGAGTCTGAGGTCTGGGCCAATCTGATAATGAGAAGACAGCTGCACCCTCGAGGAGGAAGCAGTGTGATGTTCACTTCGATCGCTATGGATTCAGAGGGAGGAATGATCACCTGGAGCCGCTGTTCTGCTTCTCACATGTACTGCTTGCTTGCTGTCCTCTGATAGAGCTTCCTCTCTACTGCTGCCTCAGGTTTCACAGCTTAGATTTATAGGGTATGTGAGTCACATGCAAGAAACTATTAGAGTTTTGCATGCAACTGCCTGTTGTGACCCCCATGCCATATAGCTCTTGACATGATAAGCCCCTTTGTGGATGAGCATGCCGGGCGCACTACAACGCTGAGACACATCGAAACATCTTCTGACAGAAAACTCTTTAAGGATCATACAGAGGTTCGTTGCACGATTTCGCGCTACACCGCGTTGCGACGAACAGCACACGCCCAGGCAGCACAGTTATCCATGCTGTGTCTTTAGAGGCATTCAGTCTGCCTTTTCTTGGCCACCAAGGGATCCGGATGGAGACCCGGCCGGCAGCCTACTGTAGCCTACCAGTCTTTTCGGAAGGCTTAATTCGAGTTGCGGATCCTGCACGTGAAATATGTGGCACGCCCTGACTTCTGAGGTCTGTAGTGCTTGAGGAGCATGTCGACTCGGACAGCTCTGCAAACTCCACTGTAGTGCATTTGTCTCGCCAAGGCGACTTTGCTTTTGAGTTAGAAGTGGTTTGGCGCCAGGAATACGAGCCAACGGAGCAGGAGATTCTGGACTATTCCGAATGGCAGCCGCCTTATGCCGCATTCCATTCCCAGCACTGGTTTCGGCTTCGGGGAGCCTTAAAGAGGCTTGGAATGGACCTGGAGAATGACAAGGACTTGATGTGGATTGCCAGGGCCGGCTTGAAGGCGAGACAAGACCCGGCCTCCTGTACTACTGTGCTTTTGGGATGTCTCTTTTCCCAGGTTCCCCTACCTCCGCCGTGGAAGCCCTGCACCACTGGAGAAGTCCTGCTCTCAGCGACGGTGCTCGTGGCGGTTTTCCCCGCTTGCATCTTCGAAACCGGCGGGGCTCCAGGAGAACGAGGTCTTCTACTTTAACTTCGACACTGGCGAAAGTGTCTCCTCCTCACCACATGTTTGCCATTCTACAATATGCTTTTCTTCGTCGTCATCTTGTAAACGCAGGAACGCATGCATAATGCGAAGCGCTTTCACTTGGCAGCAGGTTTGGGACCATCCGTGTGACGAGTACCATCGCATGCTCTACAAGAAGGAGCGCGCGAAGAAGTCGGTAACTCAGAGTTCGATCCTGGAAGCTTGTTGTGCCAAACTCGGCTGGCGAATGAGACCAGGTGTGCTTGTCATTGTTTTGGCAGCATGCTCAAGTGCATCAAGTGTACGCACGACTCATGCGACCAGCAAAACAATGTGAGCAGTTTTCAGCTTTGGAGCCACCGCACACCAAGAGTAAAGACAGGCTGTGAGACCATAGCCAACTACATCCGACCACCACCCGTTGCCAAAGATGCTACGGCCGTGATTTGCAAGCCCATCATGATGACGAACAATCCAGGTGGGGTAGATGCAACTAAGGATTCGGTTGCCACATCAGCCTGTCTAACATTGTAAATCCGGAGACACCATCCTAAGGACACCTGGGCCAGCATGGGTGCGGCCACCAAGGGAATTCGGGGTTAGTCCATTGGTTGGCCAGGTCCAGCTCCGTTGTTTCGGGGCTGAAGGACCACAGCTTTCCTTATCAACTTCGCCAGATCTCCGAGGTTTGCCACCGGAGAGACCTACGACCCCCGGGCACCTTGCTTCCAAACGGTCTGCTTCCCTGATAGCATGGTATGGGCTTCTCAGAAGCTGAGGTGCCCGTTGTTACTGGCCATGTGGTGTCTGGGCCTGGTGGCGCCATGCCCAGCGAGCTCGCCCACACTCCCTGGTCTCCGCCGTGCGGGCCTGGACCTTCTCATGCTCCCGGCAGCTTTGTGCTGTTGGTGGAAAGCGCGAAGGACCTGTACGATCTGGACTCTCGGCCTCAGTTTCCCCTCCGAGTATCATCGTTTCATATGCTGCTAGTTTTCCACAATTTTCGTATGAGCGGATGTCGTACTGCTCCACTGCTACACGTGCAATGCTGCAGGATTGGACCGGGAAAATGGATCCGTACATCAAGGTTCGCTTGGGTGGTCGGGAGTTCCGCACCCAAGTGATGACCAATGCGGGCAAGAAGGCGAAGTTTCACTGGACGCAGATAGTTGACTGGCGAGGTGAGCCGGACATCCACTTTCTTGCCATGGACAGCAACATGCTGGTTGCCGATGGGCTTATAGGAGAAGCCGTATACAGAGGGCTTCCGCTGCATTCCGACTTTGAAGGACCGACCACCCAACGGATGTAGAGTAGCTCCCGCATCATCGCCGAAGTGAGTCTTCTCTGATATGACTAGCACAGGGTCAAACCTCCACACCCTACAGGAAGCAATGCCGATTTCGAAGAAACATCTTCGTCCGCTTCACATGACTGTTCGGAAAGAAGTGCCAGACACAAGGGTGTGGAAACTGATGGGAACCACGAGCCCGAATGCTCCGCCAGAATTCTCCGCTCGCCAGCGCATGCGGACTCGTGCCAATGCTTGCGAATGCTGCGGATCCATTTCGAGCCAACTGCTGAACCCACAGGCCTTCATAAATCTTCATAAACGAGAACCCTTCTGCTACATCTTCGGGAACGAGGAGACGCAAAGGAGAATGTAAGCAAAACGCTGTACGAAGGAGTCAAGATACACCAGGGTTTATGAAGGAAAATGCCGTGAAACTGCCTAGGCAAGACTGAATTGCCGCAGCAGGCAAGGATTCTTACGCGTTTGTCGCGCTCACGGGGAACGGCATGTGGCAGTACTCGTAGCTTCTCGTTCTGCTTTGCCGACACCTGCAAGGAACCTTGGAGCTAATGCGACCCCACGCTTTTGGTGGCAGCAAGAAGGCAGGGAAGCTGAAGATCGAAATCACCTGGCGAGGCCGATCGATTCCATGGAGACTAGTGACTTGTGGTTTCGACATTAGAGCATTTTGTGTCGGCTCCCTGAGGAAGGCCTGGAGCTCACGGCTGTGGCGGTTACGGACCCAGCGCCATGCCTGGGCCTGGGCCTCCCTACGGCGTCCCTGGCCATGGTGGGCCGCATGGCATGCCGTACGCGCCTCACGGACATCACGGCTACGGACCTCCCCACGCAGCCGCAGGCAGGCTTTTGTCTTTCTCCGATCATTTCGATCCTCGGTCCACAGCTGCAGGGGCCGGAATCAGTGCCGCAGCTGCCGGGCACATGCTTTTCCAAGAGGCGTTTGGCTTTGGCGGCTTTAAGGCAAAGTGTGTTCGTCGCTTGAGTTTACCATGCTAATTATTATAAGATGTTATAAGGAAATCACCGGGGACTACTCGTGCCGGTTCCTCTTTGCCATGGCCGCACTGTAGCTGAATTGCACCGAGGAAAGAAGATGAAAAAACACAAAAAGGAAAAGAAAGATAAAAAGGACTGTGCCGCCGACTCACTGACCCACATTATGTCATCTGCGCCATGATGCAGAATCGCAGTGATTGTCAAAGCCCATTTGCGCGAGGAGAAAAAGTTCAAGGTCAAGAAGATGAAGAAGTCTGCCCACCTGTTGTTGAAGCAAAGCTGTGGGTACTTCTGCTTGTTGTGGCCTCGGACTGAAAGTCTGTGCCCTGCACGTGAACTGTGGCCAGGCACAGTTCCAGCTCATCCTCCAGCTCCAGCAGCTCATGAGATGTCGCTTTCTGACGAACAGACGCTCCAGCTGAGCAAGCACAGCTTTCGGGATGCGGCGTGGTAGGCATCGCGGCTTATCGGCCCTGACCGAAGAAGACGGCACTAGCACTTCACCGTGACAAAAGCCGACGTGTTTGCCAGCCAGATCGCAGAAATCGCGAGATGCAAAGGTGATGTAATTAGAGAGATACGAGTAACATGAAGGGCGAGAAGATGAAAGGAAGCAAGGGCATTTGGCAGTGTCGGGCTTCAGGTACGGCCTCCCGTTCGATGAAGTTTGGGCCTCAGGGGATGCAGAGCCGAGGACGGTTTCGTTTCCGGATCCCTAGGCGGCCTTGGAGGATCTGGCACAGCGCACAAGTCTCGTTCTGCAGCCTTGTCAGAAGGCTGCGTGTGTGTTTAGTTGCTCGCAGAGGTCTCGGCCTTTCTCAGAAGGAGGAGGACAGCGGCAGACTCCTGAGACTCCAAACTTATGGGCGTCAGCAAACAGAATTAGGCAAAGTGTCAGTCTTCGTCACTGCATGTGAGTGCAGCCGTGACAGCCAGCAGGCACATGTAGTGAGAAAAGTCATTCTTTTGTCATGGCCCTGGCAGACACACTCTCTGACATCAGCACTCCCGCTCCCACGCGAAGAACCCCGACATACTAGTCCTTCCAACGCTTCTCCAGCATGGGCCAAGCCACCTTCTGTTGTGAGCTGACTTTCGGCAAGACCGATGCGACACCGTCGCCCGCTCTTTGGGAGAAGTTGGAGTCCAGGCTTCGGGCAGCCGGTTTGAGCTGGTCAGACCTCGATGCAGTGGAGCCGGCTGAACTGGCAGAGCTGCTGCGCGAGATGGACCTGGGCCTGACAGAACGGGAGCAGCTCCTCCAAGGCCTGCGTGCACGCTTTAAGAGCTTACCAAAAAGCTCCGCCGTTCTCTCGCCGTCTGAGAGCAAGCTACACAAACCCATCCGCCAGCCAAGTGCAAGCACACAGGGGGCGGTGAAGAGTACATGTATGGACACCAACGGTTCCCGAGGGCAGCCGGAAAGCACTGCGGCTGTGGATGAAGGTGCAGATCATAAACAATGGCAGACTATGCCAGCCAAGCTTGTTCAATTTGGAGAAGACGCGATCACAGAGGAGGTGTCGACCGGAGCCAGCTCTGCCAGAGAGTGCCGGGAAGTCTCCGGCGCCGCCTCCACACCTGCAGCGAAGTTCTCTACTGAGCCGCTTGCTGGGAATCCGAACCAGAAGACGTTGAAGCAGACTCATCAAGGTATGAAGTTCAGACCGTGGAAGCCACCGAGCATCGTGCTGCCCGATGACCTATGAGGCTTTGGCCTAGCCTCGGTCTATGACGTCTACAGACTAAACTGGAGTTGCGCAACGTACTTGCAAAGATCTCCAACGGTAACTTTCTGGCTCTTGAAAAGAGTGGGTCTGCTTAGCCGCTGGCTGAAGAACTGCCTCGACCCGAAATTGAGGGACAGGAGCTGTTTTCGCAAGCGCTCGCCCGTCCAGAAAGCGTAGAACCTACAACAGCAGCTTGGGATTCACTGGGGATTGCTCTGCACCAGACAGCTGGCATTCGAGAACGTTGAAGAACCTCGGCCAATGCTCCGCCCTGGACATTTTTCCCAGGGCAGTTGTGCAGGGCACGTCCCGGCCGTATGGTGCCTGGTGAACCTCAAGATGCTCTCAGCAGCCTGCGGGCTGCAGTTTTCGATGGTTTTCGTATCAACCTGGTACCGCTCGCAACTTTTTCGCAAATCCTGGAAAGGCATTATATTCTGCAGCTATCCCGCTGGAGTTGCCTTCTATGACATGCCTCCTCGCCGACAAGTTGCGTTAGCGTCCATCTGCAAAACAGTTTGTAGGACGCATAGGCCACATAGGTGGGTGTGTGTGTGTTAACATGCCATGTTTAGGTTTTTTTTTATCTTTTAGGGCTTCAAGCGTCTTCTGAAGCTGCTTGCATTGCAGATGCTTCCTGCTAAGATGCCTGACTGGTGGTACTGTCTCAGTCTCAAGCTATCTCAAGCTGAAGGTGACCTTCTTGACGACAGTGGTAGTGTCGGCAGGAGTGCCAGCGCCAGTGGCAGCCCCAGCTGGCATCTCGCACTTTCAAAGACTTCCCTGTCCCGTTCTCAAGCGAGGTGGCGGCATGCTGAGCTTGGGTGGAGGCAGATGCCCCAACATTCGGAATCCGCTTGGGGTTGCGCAGCAGCAGCCTCTTGAGGTGACCTTGAAAAAAAGAAGAAGAAAAAGGAACGTCGGCCCCGCATTTGCGCCTTGCTTGAGCGGAAGTTCTGGCAGGAGAAAAAGGAGAAAAAGTCGAAGAAAGAGAAACCCGAAGACAAGGAAGATGAGGTAAGACTTGAGGCCCTTCAGCCGCATCCCACCACTGTATTGCGAATTGGGACGCTTGCGCACCTGAGGCGCCAAGGACTTTAGCACCTCTTAGTGCACGAGGTGTCGGCGCCGGACTTCGCGACAGCTGCAGCCCAAGAAGCCCAGTAGGTTTGTTCTTACTTTCCGAGTCGCCATGACCAGGGCCGCATGAAGGTCAAATGGAGGCAGTGGCTCTTTTGCAAAGGAACAGACGGAGTCTGCAGACTCTGACTAGGAAACCGCGCCATCCACCGGCTCCTCCAGGCCATGATTCTTCGCAGGCTCCAGGCCAGCATGTCTGTTTTCGAATATTTTCGGCCAGGGCACCGTCCCTTTCTCTGAGTGAGGAGGCCAGTCCAAGACCTCCTTTAGCGCAGAGTTTGACGTACCGCGATCCCGGAAGGACAGGCGAGAGAGGCCGGAGGAACTCAAGGCACGACGGACAAGGTCGTTTTTGCAGAGTGGATGCCCCGCTTGGCCAGATGTTGCAGGGTTCCAAAGCTCTTGATGGGCCGTTACTTCCTCAGCACATCCACAGCATTCCACGTATCCTTTCCTCACCTCGCAGACTCGCAGAGGCCGCGGCCTGTGGCGGGAGCTCCACCACCTCCAAGCGGAGATCCGCCCCTCAGCTGCAGGGAGCTGAGGCGGCGAGATTTTTCGAGGGCATCTCAACACGTCAGGCCGGCTGTGAACTCGATGGCGGATCGAGCTCAGGCCTTGGGAGCTGCCACGCTGTCTGAGTTTCGCGAGAATTTGTGTGACAGGCAGTCACGGCAGTCGATGCCGGTTGGCTACCCAGCTCAGCATAGCGCAATTTTAGTACCCAGCTCATCCATAGAGGCCAAGAGCAGCTGGAACAAGAGAAAGCCAGGCCTTCCGACCTCCATTCCAAAACCAAAATCATCGGTGAGAGATGCATTGCCTGGCTCGTGGGAGGCTCGAAGAGCTTCATCAGAAGAACATTGCCGCCTTGCAGGCCTCTTGTGTCAGCTCTCCGGATGTCACAGGCATAGTTTACAGTTCAGAGATGCATGCAGGCAGAGCATAAAGCAAAGTTGGCAAAGCCTGGCTCCAAAGTGTTCTCAGAAGCATCTCCTCCCGTTGTGCTTTCTGACTTTGATTTGAGGCATCGACGAGAGCTGCAAGCAGAGTTCGAGCTGGTGCGCAACCTAGTCGATCCTTCGCAATGCCCATGGCTGAACTAGATGATGACCATGCACGGGCCCGCGCTGTCTAGGAACGAGATCGAACCTTCAGCGAACTGCAGGCCAAAGTAGAAGCGTCACCAAGATTCTTCAAGTCTGTGCATTTGCGCTTCGTCACCATGGACCATGGACCATGGGGTCCACGTGAGAATCTAGAGCGCTGATGTTCGCGGTTGAGCGGCTGGTACCATGGGGCCTTTCAGGAGAAGCACGAGAAGCAGGTGCGAGAAGAAAGGGTACCTTGGTTGCATGCAGGGTACTGCAGCTCCGCACACCTCCCGTTTCTGCACTTGTGAACGGACGCATTCTTGGCCAGGCTCGATTGCAGCAGGAGCGAGCTGACTTCCTTGGTTCTTGGGCGGTCTTGCTTGCTGACCCTGCATCCTGCACCCCTGAACAGAGGAGCTGGCCTCCAAAAAAGGGAAGATGAAGCAAGAGATCGAAGCACTGGCAAAGTCTGAGGAGACGGGTCGCTTGTAATTGCCAGCCCAATGTTCCGAGCATCTCACTGACAAGGAAGAGTTGCAGAAGAAGCTGAGCGAATCACAGGCTCAACTTTTTGCCGCCAGCACGTATGTATGCATGCATGGATGTATGTAAGTATATCTTGCTCTCTCTCTCTCTCTCTCACTCGCTCTCTCTCTCTCTCTGTTTTTTTGCTTTTGCACACCTATCTATCTATCTATCTATCTATCTATCTACCTATCCATCTGTCTGTTTGTCTGTCTGTCTGCCTGTCTGCCTGTCTATCTATCTATCTCTCTGTGTGTAGGTGTATGTGTATGTGTATGTGTATATGTATATGTATGTATGTATGTATGTATGCATGTATGTATGCATGCACATGCATGCAATTAGGAAGGTATTTCGTAAGCGATGGTGAATGCAAGCGGACGGGATATGGGAAAGCAACCTTGAAAGCTGCCTCAGTGTAGCTTCTTCATCGTCGTGCTTGCGCTCTTGCTTTGGGCTCTTGCTCCATGCTTCGGTGAATTCTAACTGCCCAAAGTTGATGACGCAGGCCGAAGCGACGCGCTTGCGATCTGAGGCGGCGAGTCTCGGAAGGAAGTGTTCTGCCGATGCCTTGTTTATACAACGACTTGTATTGATGATTATGCTGACAAGTTGATGAAAGATGAATCACGAGGCCTACGACGAGCGCGTGCGGAGGCTTGAGGAGGCAGGCTTCAATTCGTGAGCTGCGGAGCCTGCTTTGCGGCCTTTGCTATCAGTCTCTGCATCAGGACATGAAGGAATGTCGCAAAGAGGTCGATGCTCTTCTACTGCCGCCCATGACACTTTGTTGTGTCGCTCAAGCCTGGCGAGGCTTCACATGTGCGCACAAGCGCCAGTACTGATGCCAAAGAAGTTGCGAGCCTGAAGGCGTCAGAGAGCACGGGAGTGACTATTCCAATCAACAGCTGAAGACAAACCCCTTGAACATGCTTCTACCAGCGCTCCAGAAGCACCTGCGAGGCACAACTCGACAGCAAGAATGTGGAAATCGAGCAGATCAAGGCTGGCTTCGCTCTGTCTGCAGGATCCCCGTCCTTCATGGTACACAGGCTGGTGCCACATCAGCTTCCGAGCGACTGGCGAAGTGGGAAGAAGAGATGCCCGGAACTTAAGTCGCTGTGCTATGTCATGGGCCAAGGGCGGTTTAAGACATACCGAGCGTCATGCAATTTAGAACCATCGTGCCTGCGCCTACGTGTCGAGGGTGCTTCTGTGACAGGCAGCGTCTTCAAGACTTGGCTCAAGACAATGACGAGGCGAAGGCAGCTGCATAACGCTTCTGTCAACTTGTGTAGGAGTCGCCTCTTGGCAGAGACTTGCCCTTATCGATTGTGGTTCTGAATACAACAATTGTGAGTATGTTTTTTTGCTGCTCTTGTTACTATTATCATAGCTATATAGTGTTAGTCTTAGTTACTACGATGATTACTGTGAGCATACGAATACATTTTGATGACTACTACGGTTACTATTTTATTACAATACATATGACAGTCTCATCGAATGTTACCACTTAGTCCTTGCTCTTCAGGCACGGATCGAGCAGCTGATGCAAGATCTGGAGGCCAGAACTCAATCTTCGCTTGCACTTGGCACCCTGTTGTTGAGGGTTTAGGGTCCCAGCTGATCGGCACAGTCTGGGTTCAATAAGGGCTGAGATGAGGGAGTTTGGCAAATCAGGACCCCAAAGCACACTTTATATGATGGCATCCGAATTGCAATATCAAACTAATGAAGCTTCAACGCTCAGACACCCCCAATTGTAGTGTAGTAGTGCCAGGTCAAGGATACGCAGCGCGCTGCGTTGGAGCAACAGATCAAGGTGCTCCTTATGTGTGGCTCACTCTCGTTCTCTCTCTCTCTCTCCCTCTCCCTCCCTCCCTCCCTCCCTCCCTCCCTCCCTCCGTCATTATGTAAATACAAATATAGAGATATAGAATATGTAGTACAAACAAATAAATAAATAAACAAATATATATATATATATATATTATAAACCACATATTCATTCATTCCTGGATTTAGTTATTCTATATGTACATTTTTCCTCGGGCTGCCGGACTCTAGATCTGATGTTTGGCACAAAATTGAGCAGGACTTGAGTCAAAGCCAAGACACGGAGGCACTGGCCGCTTCGATTCGAGTGACATTCATTCCTTGGCTGCATTGGAGTGTATATCCGTGTAAAGTCGCACCTTAAACCCTACAACGCACAAACCCCAAACCCTAAAACCCTGAGCCCCAAAATCCTAAACCATTAAATCCTAAACCGTAAAGCAGCTCTGGATAGCTATGGGACGAAAGAGGGTTTTTTTTTTCAGACGGCAGCTGACCAGGAACTCTCGAAGCAGAAGGCAAAGGTCGCTTCTCTGGAGGCACTCTCGCGACCTTGCGCTACGCCTCGGTTTCAGTCTGAATCCCACGAGGATCTCTATAAGCGATATTAGTAGCTTCGGATGTTCACGGCATCTGCAGGCTTCTCTGATGAGCGAAGTAGAGGCGAGAGCCCCCTGCTTGTTTTGTGTATCCGGGAAGCTGCAAGCTGTCGAAGGCCAAGAGCAAGTTGCAAGCCAAGTTTTCCGAAGTTCAATCCGACCTGGCGAAGGCTTAGTCGGGAAGCCGTTGGGCCTTGGGATTTGCTGCTCAACACCGGAGGCATCAGGAAACCGCGCACAACTTGACGAGCTCCGCCGAGAACTGGATGCGAGGACTGTCTGTCTGTTCGATATGGCTCGGCCGGATCACGGCAGTCGCACGTCGGAAGATTCCGTCATCAGCCTTGTTGGAGGACTGCAGAGCTTGCAGAAGCACGCAAGGCAGAGGGTCCTACAGGTTGCAGCTGTGCAGCGGAGACATTTGTTACGCACAATGGTAGTCACTGCGGCTCCCGGCTTCCGAGTTTCTGTGTGCAAGCCTATCACCACAATCTTGCTCATCCCTAACCATACCCCCTCTAAAATGAAAAGAGCCCGAGGCCGCAAGTATCCCGCCAAAGAATTCCAGCAGCTTTATGAAGCGGGGAGAGCTACATACTTTCACATCTCTTGCCAACTGGCAGGAGTAGCAGCTCTAGCCGCAGTCATTTCGACACCCACGCCAAGAACCATGCAACTGAAACATCAGCCGATTGACCGACCGAGCGACCGACGATGACTGTCATCTGCCTGGAAGAGCATGCGCGACGGTGTGGCAGGATGTGTTTCCCATGATTCGCTTTTATGTTTTCTGGAGAAGTCAAACGCAATAAGCCCGTGCACCAAAAGCTTTGCAGGCGAAGTGCTTCTCCCTACACCCTGTTTTTCCACAGCACAATTCGCACGTCGCCGGATTGTGAACTGGGTCACGTTCCGCCTGTGTGTGCATTTCCGCTGCGCAGGCTCCTGTGACCGACTCGGAGCCTGCCTCTTAGAGATCTTTGGGTTCAGGGCTGTCGCAGTGTAGCTAGAACAGCGGAATCCTGACGGAGCAGCAAAGGTTGAAGCAGGCGAAAGATGCTCTCGAGGAGGAGAAGAGGCTGGGCAAAACCGGGCGTGCATGCGTGAAAGAGCTAAATCTTCCACTGCCCAGCAGCAGCAAATCGTTGCCGATGTGACAGTCTTCCAACAGGATATCGTCGCAAGCTTCGGCGGATGTTCTGCGCTTCAAGGAAGACCTCGCCAGCCTGAAGGCTGTTGGTTCATCAGTTTACCCTTTCCTCATTGACAGAGATCGATTCTATATGCCAGAGGCGGAATTGGCAGAAGAGCGTGGCCTGAATGGCACCAGCAAAGCCGAGGCGGCACAGAGAAACATAGGGCCTGCACGAGGGAGGTCAGACAAAGCACGTGAAGTGTGTTTGGCAAGGGACGGTTCGCCCATGTTGCGCTGAAGCAGGCAGCGTCGGCAAGCGGTGAAGCTGCTCGGCTTCAGGCTCCCCCTAGGTTTCTCGCGCCCTGCGTTTCAAGGCAGATCCCGAGTTTAGAGGCCGAGCTGGCTGCACAGTCAAAGGAGCTCCAACGGCTGCAGGCCAGCAGCGCAGAACTGAGGATGTTGTTCGTGCAGATTCGTGCATGGCAGACACATCAATGTATGCATGTCTGCATAGATACATATGTGTGCAAATATATATATATATATATATATATATGTGTGTGTGTGTGTGTGTGTATGTATGTATGTATGTAGGTATGTGTATGTATCTCTATACCTTCATACACACATGTGTATGATGTGTGTGTGTGTGTGTGACTCTGTCTCTCTGCCTGTCTGTGCTATTGTTCCACTGCGGGCTCAGTGGAGGAGCTGCTGGATCAGCAAGGTCTCCAGGGCCAAGAGGACAGGCCTGTGCTTCTCTCACAAGCGGAAGTGGAGCTTGGTGAGCGGATGGCGACAGACGTCAGTTGGTACTGAAAAAGCATTGGCTCAAGATCACCTTCCATGCCCACTAGAGTCCCTGGAGCCGAGCTCTGTTGAGAGATGCTTTGGCCTCACACCGCTTGGCTAGGCCTTAGCGTGCTGACACTCACTAGCCGATGTCGAGGTACCGGCGTGTGGCGACTCGGAGTCTTCTCCCGCTCTCAAGGTCGGCTTCTGGTCAGCTGTCAGTAAATGTCAAGTCGGGATGAGCAAGGTGAGCATGTGTGGGAAGCAGGTGCGCCTCCACTTTGACGCCACCCTTGCGAGAAGGCAGTGTGAGCACGAATGCCGGCAGCGATTCCTACCGTTGAGCTTCTAGTTTCCGATACACTGCCAGGTGCCTTCTACCACAAAGCATGGGCGGCTGCGGGCCTCCTGGGAGCTTCAGCTTTTTTCGTAGCGAACCAGGACAGACGCTGATCTGATCCGCCTATCGGTGGACATGTCAATGTGGTGATGTTAAGCTGGGAAGGATCGTCAGCCGCAGACCAGCCACTGCTTCTTTGGCGGCGCTGCCAAAGGCAATTTTAAGGCCACGACTCTGTTCTTGCGCTGTGTACCAGGATTTTGAGACGAGTTTTGGTCAAGCCAAGCTGCGCACGCTGACATGATTGTGATGCTTGGTGCTGCGGAAGGGAATATAATAGTAGTTATAGCTTTTCGGAGGTCTGCGTTTGTGGCGGCAGTGGCGGCATCGGTCAGCCGCTTTCGCTGCTGATGGCGCTGGATGACAACGTAGGCCGAGTGAAAGTGAAAATCGAGTCTCGATTTCAGATGGTGCGATGTTAATCCTGGATGCAGGTGAGTTGTCCGTGTACGTGCAATGCTGAGCAAGCAGACTGCACATGCACACCTCATGCACAGACTAGCCTCGCATGTTGTCTGCACTCGAAAGGATCTTGACTTCGCTATGGTCCCTCCGGGTGGTGCGCGAGCCTCGGAGCCGCTGACAGTGTCGCAAGCGACTTCAGCATCTGCAGAGCATGGCATGTCTCATCTTGTCCAGGTAGCTGCAGACTTGAACCACTTGGAGAAGAAGGTCAAGGTGCATGCGTCGAAGTCGTTTCCGCATGATACGTCCTTGCACTGCCATCGAAACTTGCGAGGTGAAAGGCTACGTCAAGAGCAAGGAGGAGAAGGCCGGGCAAGAAACTCTGGCATACTCTTGCTGCAGCAGTCAGAGTAGGATGCATTGACCGTGCATGTGAGTTGAGCTCCGTGAAGGCTATCGATGTTCTCGGAGATTGCCTCAAAGACTGCAACCTGGTTTTGGTGCCTGCAGGGCTGCCCAGGACCGAACTTTGAAATGCAATCATGACCATCAGGCACGTCGCTTCCCCAGTCGAGCAGACAAGTCTTTGGATGGCTTCCGAGCATACTGTAAACATCTTGGATCTGGTACTTCATGCCCCGGTCGCCAAAGTGCTAGATGCGGGCCACCAGGGTTGGTTTTGCAACGAGCCTAGCAATAGGCAGATGCGGTTGGTCGTGTGAGAAACGACAGGGCTTTCGTCATTAGCAAGGCTCCATCTCGCAACAAGTTGGTTGGATGAATCGCATGCATCCACTCGAGCAGGTTCGTTGAACTGAGGGGTGAGGCGATGTGAGGGAAGCGTCATTCCGGCTCATGTCTGCAGGAAGCCTGGTCAAACCCGCGATGACCTGTTCAAGATTAACGCGGGCATCGCCAAGGAGGCCGTGGACGTTACAGTGCCGTGACAGCGGCCGGGATCGTGCACGCCAGTGCATTTGCGGAAAGGTGGTGGAAGCCTGCGCCAAGTACTGTCCTAATGCGGCGGGGGCCTCCTGCTGTGTCAGGTTTGCTTCCAGGGCTGCTGCTTTCGACGCTTGAAGTTCGCATGGTGTCCTTTACACAGCAAGAAGTCAATCTGTGTGAAGCTGGATCTTGACCGAGCTTCTGAGGTGATCGCGCTGATCGTCAACCCCGTGAACTCAGCAGCTTGGCGATGAAGTACAGCGGATGAGCCACCGACCCTCACGCGACGGTCCCAAGGTGGTCCCAGCTATGGCGGAACTCTACAAGAAGAAAGGTTTGGATCCGAAGAAGATTGTTGGCGACCATTCCTCGGCTCTCTGAGACGTCGAGATGTCTTATAGGGCTTCCAGCACGCTTCTGACTTGCGCAGAGGTCACCACGCTAGACGGTGTGCGAGCGAACAAGTTTGTCGCAGAGATTACCGGTGAGAACCCCAACAACATCGAGGCCGGGCCGCCTTTCTTCAAGCGACTTTCGATGCTATGACACCATGCCCAGTCTAAGTGCAATCCTGGCCTTGGACCTCCATCAACATCATGTCTATGATCTCATAAGAGAATTACGTGTTCTATAGTGGCATTTGCTTCGACAGTGGCCACTGCACAGTCGACAATTGCAACCTTATTGCTGCTAAGTAGACGCATGTTGATGGTCATGCGTGTATGGGGCTAATGTTGCAGTCATACCATCATTGACACCGGGACTGTATTAATGCTGCTTGTTGCTGGTCTTCAGGTTGACAGTACATGGTGATGCTGTAAGCTGCCGCGACGACGATTACTGCTAGTGCCACTGCTACTGCTACTGCTACTGCTATGACGACGACGACTACCACAACAACAACACCTCCTACTCCTCCTGCAAGCACTCCCTCCCTACTACGGCTGCTGCTGCTACTACTACTCCTGCTGCTACTGCTACCGCTGTATGATGTCCAGAATTGAATTAAGCTAAGCATACATTATTCATGCATCTAGTTGATCTTAGTACCCCAGGCCCCAGGCCCCACGCCCAATTCTGACGAGGTACCGGTTATCGGAGGGCATGCAGGCGCACAGACCTCAAGGGATCTTCGAAGACTTCTGACTTGCTTTACATTGTTCTCGTGGTCTCCCAGGTCACCATCATGCCGGTGTTCTCGCAGGCGTGCTTTGATTCGTTTTCCGTAGAAATTGACGGATTTGTCATGAGCTGGCTGCCAACAAACGGACCGCCTTGGAAGATTCACACTCGTTCGGAGGACAAGCACGCAGCGAAAATCGCACAGTCCGAGATTCCGGCACTCGACAAGCATGTCCAGGACATCGTCTGACGTCAAGCAGTGCAGGGTCCACCTGGTTTGTTGTTTTGCCTGACGAGGATGCCGGAACGGATGTCGTGAATGCCAAGAATGGCAAGGGGAGTGCCACGCTCTCGATGGCCTATGCCGGAGCCAGGCCGGCTCCGCGAGTCCGGAGTTCCCTCTGAGTTCCTCGCATAACCCTCTCAAGGCTTGGGAAAGCGGTGTTGGCTGGGCTCGCGGGCACTCCGACCACAGAATGTGCTTACGCGTCGTGTCTGCAGGTGCGTCCTGGTTTAGGGCAATGAACATTTCCGTGGCGCAGAGGTCATGTCTGACGTGGAGCCGGACTGTCCGTATTTCACTAGCAAGGCACAGCAGCATCTCATGTGTCATGCGGCCCGAAGCAGGCTGCCATCGTTCACATGCCGACTAGCCACCATGCAACTGGCATCGTCATTCATCACCTGGATGTGCACAGTACGGCAACAGCTTCGTTTCGTTTCACATGGAAAGAGCTTCCTGACAGGTCACGTTCGGCAAGTCGGGAGTGGAGAAGGTCTCCGGGCATGCTATAGCCGACAGCAGTCCCAGCAAAGAATTGCATGTTTTCCCCATGAGGTGCATCCTATTGGCAAGCTGAACAAGTATGAGGAAGCGCCGGCTGTGTCCATGTCATGTTTCAGACAGCTTCGCCTGTGTCTGCACGGGCATGCTGGCAAAAGGATGTTTAACCATGTTTACCCCCAATAGTCTATATAGTAAGATCAAGTAGTATCATGTACTATATCGGCATCAGTAGAGTTACAAAAAGTGCCAAGGAGCAACGGCTTGCGGAAGCCAAGGCTGCCTTGAAGAAGGTTCGGACATCTGGCCTCCGGTGAGAGTCGGCTCTTCAGATCCCAGCCTTCGGACAGGAGATTCAGTCTGGGATCGACTACGCAGCCACGACCAGCCTTGCATGATATTGCAAGCTTCAGGCCCGGCAATGTCAGATTAGCCGGGAGAGAAGTCATCTTTAGTGGCCTGGACCTTTCTGTCAACACACAGCAACTTTGTGGCTCCCAGGTGTTGTGCGAAGCCCGTGCGGCGGCAACTATTCTTATGTGCCAGCATGGCCTCAGAGCTCTGCTCATGCCTAAGTGTGTTGAGATGTGCTGAGTGAGCCCTCGAAAACCGGCAGTCCAGCTGTTTCAAGCGCTGGATTGTTTGCTTTATAGATTTGCTTTTCCTACATCGCTGAAATGAACGCTCTCAGCCACCAAGATGTTGAGAGGATGCTTGCGGCAAAACGTTCCACAGTGCTCGAAGCGTGTCGTGAGACGTTCACAACCTTTTTAAGTCCTTTAGCAGGAGCAAGCCCGGTTGATGCGACGAGCAAACGACGAGAAGGAGCTACGTACCCAAGCCCAGGCCGGGCGCTCGGCCTCGTCATGCTGAATCCGATACACTACAAGTTTACAAGGAAGAGGCGATAGATTGCAGGCAGAACTTGCCAGTGCACAACAAGAACTCGCGATCTCGAAGGTGCTGGTGGGTGCAACTTGTGAATCATGCGCCGCCGTTTTCTTCTTTTTGAGAGTTGACTGGAGCACCTTTGAAGACGCATGTCAGGGAACTCTCTCTGCGCGGGAAGGCGAGTGCAAGCGCCTTCAGGCGGCGCTGACTGGGTGGAGTCGGCAGCATGACGCTTCGCTCGCCTGCAGCGCAGAGCCTTGAACTGTGGCAGTGGCCCTCGCCGGGAGGACAAGATCGGAGATGCTGTCGGTCAGCACGAGGAACTCAGGACACCTGCACATGTAATTTTGGCTGTGTGTATGCAGAAGTACGCCCCACGGAGAAGTACGCTGCCTCAGACTTGACCATCAAGATGCAAGGAGACTGCAGACAAGCCTTGAGCAGGCCTGGACCGGCTTCGGCTTTGCAGCCAACGCAGCGGCTGCGTGTTCTTTGCAGCCTCCAGCCGGTGATTTTCAGCATACGACTGTAGATTTGAACAGTGCTAGTGACTGCTGGTCATATATGATGCAATAAGGAACCTTCGAGGGTGTGCACCCGACTAGATACAAGACTTGCAAAAGAGTCATGCGAGCTGACAGCTGAAGCCAATGTGAATTTGTGACAAAACTATGAGACCGAGTGGATCCTTTGTCGGTAGTGGCAGTTGCCAGCTGTTGGAGGCAACCTCACGTGCGACGAATCTCAGGAGCGAATTGGATGCAAGGACTGTGCGAATTTGTAACATAGACTGGTCCATGGCACAGCATGACCTCTGACTTGCTGGGGGGTTGGTTGGGGGGCGGGGTGGCGGGGGGGTGCCTGCCTGTTTGTCCACCTACTTACCTACTTATCTACTGCTCTGTTAAGTTTCGGGGTGCCTTTCTTGCGCTGACCTCGGGTTGTGGGGTGGGGCTGCTGGGCGGGGGGCCTGTTGCTGGGGTGCGGGGCTTGTTGTGGGGTTGCCGGGCGGGGTGGGTGGGGAGTTGCTGGCTGGTTTCTCGCTCGGGGCTAGTGGGGCGGGGGGGTTGGCTGCTGGGTGCCGCTGCTTGGTTGTCCTGTTGCCGTGTGGACCGGACCTTACCTGCTCTCTTGCTTGGCTACCCACCTGTCTGCTTTCGCAGGTACCTTTAGCTACCTACATTCGCAGCCGCTTACCTGCCTGCCTGCTACCTACCTGCCTACTCACATACCTACCTATCTACCTACCTACCTACTTACCTTGCGCACCGTGTTTTGACTGCAGCTCTGTCAAGTTTCGGCGAGTGCTGAACTTGCGCTGACCTCTTTGGAGAGCGGCGCAGGACTGCACCCCGGCACTCTCTGACAGAAGCAGTCAAAACCGATGCAAGGTGCCCCTTCTTACCTGGTTACCTATCTATTTACCTCCTTACTTATCTGCTTGTTTGGAAAAGAGTTTGTTCTTGCTGACTTACTGATGACAATCGAAGCTTCACGCCACCGTCAGCAGGACCGCAGATTGTGTCCAGCTTCGTACGGAGGCAGAGTCAGCAGTTCAAGATGACAGATGGCACAGTCAGTGTGCAAAACTCCGGTTGCTGAAAGGTGCAGCAGCAAGAGCGCCAAGCCGCCCTCAGATCTATGGAGGAGGTGCGCACACCACCGTCACGTGGTAACCCGTAGCCACGCATCTCGATCAATTTTGAGAAGGGCGCGAGATGGAACAGCTGTTTGTTTGTCCGTCTGCCTGTCGGTCTGTCGGTTGAGGGAATTCGAGGCATCGGGTGACATTCTCCTGAGCCGGCCTGGTTTAGATTATGGCTGGACAGACATGACGATCATCACCTTGAACATCGCTCAGCAGCTGTAGTCTTATTATGGGCACTGTGTAGGACATGGGCACTGTGAGAGGGCCCATGTCTAGGACACGAGAGAGGGCCCCTCGGTTTCATTCCGGGGACATCCGATAAAGTTGGAACGATCGGCTAGAAATAGGCACTGTGAGAGGGCCCCAGGACATGGGCACTGTGAGAGGAACCCATGTCTACGACACTGTTTGTGTTTGTGTGTGGCTGTGGGCGTGGGTGATGTTTTGGGTATGTTCACGGAGTTGTGGCATGGTTGGGGGGATGTTTGGAGGGATGTTTCAGGGGATGTTCATGGGGAGGATCGTCCCCATGTTGCATCGATCGCCGAATGTGTGGCTTAGGCAGCGACGTGACCACCCTTAGTTTAGACTCTATACATTAATATGGACCTTACAGCTCAATTTGAGTCATCTTGAGGTTTGCCCTTCCCCCCTCACACGCGGGCACAGTGATTACCTTCCGCAAGCTGGATGGTGCAAATCGCACATGGCAGAAACGATGGAGCTTCTCCAGTATCCGGAAGAAGCGTGCGCTAGACTGCGAGATTTGGCGACCTGTGGGCTGTGCACGGTTGCCTGCCGCGTTAGGGAGCATCACAGTCTCGACGCTTATAGCGCGCAAACGTGTGACCAAACAATTCTTGTCTGGCTTCGCAGCTGGTCAACAGCAGATCCCTGCCCAGGTTGCAAGTCAGTTCCTCTTTAGTAACAGGCCACTGTAGCTAGTGTAATGAGTGTCATGCCTCGATAGAAAGTCTTGGCACTCATAAACTTTCGACAGGGGTGAGTTTCGCTGGAGTCCTTTTGAGAAAGGTGGTTCTGAGGTATTCACCGGCGGCTCGTGGGTTCACAGGCGACAATACTTTTCAATGCGGCTCAAGCTACTGAGCGAGATGCGTTTTGAACCAGGGAGTCAAAGTAGGGAGCAGCTTCTGACTGAGCCTCGGTTACAGGATGTAGACACGTTTGGATGTTCCCAACAAACACCCAGATCTCCCGTGCAAATGTTCGACGCCGATGGCTCATCCTGCGCGGCTTTCAGTCTGGCATTGATCATGACCCACCAGCTGCTTGCCAGGCATGTGCGTCATTGAAGCATGCGGCCTTCATCCCCACTGGGAGAGAGCACACCGAGCAGAAATTCTGCTGACGTCTAAATGCAGGCTGCTCAACCGTGTACGAGCGGTGTGGTGCAGGTGGTTCTGCAAGACGAAACATGCTTGCAGTTGCCACGCGAGCTGGCGCATGCCTCGAGAATGCTTTCTTCCGTCGACGGCTTGTTCACAGAATCCCACGACGGTCGTGACGAAGATGACGCTGATCCTCTGTACCTTCCCAGTTCTGCTGGTCTGACGGCCGCAGGAATTGGGCGCTTGTGCCATTTTGTTCTCCTCAAGGAGCTGCCAGAACAGTGGCCTTCTCAGGAAGCTTCTGAGTTTGTGCGGGCGGCCTGCTTTCTGGATGTTCCACCCGCCATTGAAGCAGCCACGCTCGCTCTTGCTAGAGAATTGCTGGAATGCAACCGCCCCTCTGATGTTTATAAGCTTGCCCGCGTGCCGGAGTCCAGTGGTCCAGCTTTCACCGACGAGGAGCGACAAGATGTGCAGGCATTGGCGGTTCTCGGTCCGACACTTGGACTCATCGGCGAGGTTTTTGTGCAGCTCACCTGGGCAAGTCGTGGCTTGCTGCAGAATCTCTCTACTGACTTCTTGCGTGGTGTAGTGCTTGCCGCCGAAGGGCACGCGATTCAGTCTCCGGAGATGCAAGATTTGGAACGGAGCCGCAGACCTGGGCGAGGTTCGACCAAGAGGAAGCGCACGGCTTTGCGTGCGGTGGCCAAAGAACGTTATCGTGGAAGCTTGACGATCGCCCTCGAAGTCCTTGCATACTTGGGGGATGACGAGCCTGATGTGCGAACGGTCTCCCTCCAGGTCTTGTCACAAGTTGTCCCAAGAGAGCACGAGATGCTTGCTTTTGATGTTGATCCTTTCGTGGAAGCAGCGATAGGTGCTTTGGCAGACTCGTCATCACTTGTGCGGCAAAGTGCAGCAGAGACGTTGGCGTATTGGTCACCTTTGGCACGCGGATTTGTCCAGCGGCTTGAAGGCATGGTTCTGAAGCACAGCGGCCGAGTGAAGGCCACTGCTCTACGAGCCTTGGCGACTGCTCAAGTCGTGGCGACGGCAAAGACGGTCCAGTTGGCGCTATCCTGCTTGGAAGATACTGACACCCATGTGCAACTGGCTGCTGCCGATGCTTTGGGTTCCTTCATCCTTTCAAACAAGGAAGAGTCCTGGAGCATTTTTGGCAGAATACGGCAAAAGCTGCGAGCAAGACGCGCTTCCGTGAAGTGCGCAGCTGCCGGGGCCCTGCGTCGTGCCATGCCTGTTCTGGGAGCCGAGTATCCCGAGTATTCAGAAACCATTGCCGACTTGATCGGAGCGTTGCTGTCCGACCCGTCTTCAGAGGTACGTTGTGCCTCTGTTGGCACCCTAATGGCTGTGGATGGTGACATGGCCATTAACGAAGCTTTCATTCAGGCGCTTCAAGACCCACACGACACTGTGTGCAAGGCTGCGTGTGATGGACTGGTTGCATCAGCAGATCCAACCCAGTGGCTAAGCCTTGCAGTGATGCTGGCTCCACTTCTCTGCAGCCCGGTGGCACGAAATCGGTGTGTTGCACTGGAAGCCCTGCACGAACTTCTGAACAAATACGCGCTTCAGCTGGGTGATGGAGGTTATGTCACCCGGGAAAGCGACTGCGATGCTTATGACAGCCCGGTGATGGCATCGTTGGTACCTCGACTCCTCGATACTGATGGCTATGTGCGCATTGCAGCTGTAAAGACCTTCGGCTGCCTTGCCAGACTTTACGGTCCGCGCAAGGACTATGCTGACCAGCTTGCATGCGTCGCGGCCACGGATGACGACGACGACGTGAAATCCATGGCTTTACAGGCCCTGTCCGTTGCTGCACCCCGGGGAGATCCCGATGCGGCAGCCACGGCGGCGGACGCTTCACGAAGCCCCTCGCCGCAGCTGCGCCGGAGCGCCTTGCTTGTGCTTAGGCATATGATGTCTTTCAACAAAGATGTGCTTGCTGCAGTCTGTGAACGGATTTCGGACGTCGACGACGGTGTGCGTCGTTTGGCCATGGACTGTCTGCCGGACATCTTACAGGGTGAGGACTCAGCTGGGGTCATGGCCGCACGCACGCTTGGGCTGGTTGCCCGAAGTCAGTCGTCATCAGACCAGACCGTGGTATGTGCGCTGGAAGCACTTGCACGCATTGCACAGGCAGGAGGGCCAAATACCCGCGCAAGTGTCATGTCTCCAGTACTCGCATGTTTAAAAGACGACAACTGGATTGTGAGAGAGGCTGCAGAAAATGCAGCGTGCGCAATGAACATGACAGTTCCTGCGGCGAGAGCCCCCAGAGGGCGTAGCAATTCGTCCAGTAGCTCCGGATCGACGCAATGCAACGCCGAGCGTGGCGACGTTTCACCGCTCCGAAGTCGGAGCAGGTCTCGAGAAGCACTTGTAAGGCTTGGGAGATCCAGAAAGGCGAGACTCAGACTCTAAGCGGCGGTGCACGAGAGTGTGCGCGATGGCGCGTGGTAGCTTCTATGAGCACCCGCAGGCCTCCCTCAAGGCCGAGTTGGGCACATGGCGTGCAGAATGCGACCGCTGGCAGAGCGAGGCTGCTTCATGCATGGATCCGCGTGAATCACGGTCTTCCTTTTGCAGGCAACTCAGTCCGACGTGCCGAAGATGAAGGCCTTGCTCGAGGAGATCTTCTAATGCCATGACTGCGCAAAATCACATCGCACTTTCCTTGCATGCATATGTGAGAGGAGAGGACATAGGTCTGCTCGTTCGAGGTATTTCGCAGATTTTCGCATGTAAGTCCAGTGTTCCGCCCGGTGGTGAGCAGGAGGAGAAAGCCAGCCTGAGCAGCATGAAGGCCGAGGCACTGCATCGGATTTGGGGCCTTTCATCTTGGCGATCAGTTGAAGTAAGCGTGCTACCTCGAGATGTTTACTACGCGGATAGTCATTGTGATGTTTGAGCAGAGAAGGCTGCGGAGACAATGGCGCAATGCAAGGCTCAGGCGAACTTGCACTTCCGCTGTGAAGAGTACCCTCGTTGGCGCACGGAGCGTGCGAGGCTGCAGCAGCTGCGGCAGAGCTGGAAGCGCGATCGAAGGAGTTCGGTGCTGAGACTGTCAGCTCAAGTCGGTCAGATGCAACAACTGCGAAGTGCAGAGAGATTTGTCCAGGTGCGGGCGGCTGCGAGCAGAGCTCCGGGCATGCAGGAAGGGGTGGCTTGCGGCGCGACTCAGCTTTCCCAAAGCTGCTGCGCTGCAGGCCGAGTGGTGCCCTCCCGCAGGACGAGGCCGCAACCCGTCAATGCAATGGGGCTGCATGGAATTATCACAATTGCCGAGAGGTTCGTGAGCTCGTCTCGCTCCGCGCAAGGGTCCTGGACCTGGAAGCCGAGGCGCGAGTCTCGGCGAGCTGAGACCTGCTTCCAAGCTGAGCCGCGGTGAGCCTTGAGGTGGAAGCGATGCACCAGGCGGCTTGCAAGCTCAGCGGGCCCCAGTGGCTGTCGGCCTCTGACTCTGAGGCTCAAAAGCCGGCTGCCGACCTCGAAGAGTCCAAGACGCTGCGCTCCATGGTGAAGGACTGGCGGCCATGCGAGCCTTCGTTGCTAACGAAGCCGTGGAGACTGTATGTGGTCCTTCGATCTTTGGTCACAGCCGTGTCGGCTGCACGAAGGACCGCGACGATACCGTCTCGCGACTGAGGGCAGCTTCGAGCCCAGTATTGCACACGACACGATTCTTGATGTCTCAGTCGAAGGAGTGTTTCTGCATACCTTTGATCGATGCATCAGGTGCATACGCACGCACTAATTATGCGACAGTAGCTGCATGTCCGAGGTATGTATTTTGGCCCGATTTTCGTTTCTGCATCCCATTACAGTGAGCATCAGTGAGCACAGCCTAATCGCAGTCGATGCCGTTGCAGGCATTGCTAAAAGAATGCTCTTGCACAGCTATATCGCAGAGCCTTCAAGTCTGAAGAGGCAACACTAGTGCGAGCATTCGCTCTCATCTTAGCTTGTCGAATGTTCGATTTCGGCGATTTGAGCGATGCCGAGAGCGTGGATGATTGTGAAACAGGAGCGTGCCCGGAAGAAGTCCAGCAGCAAAGACAGCCAGATCCCAACGGCACATTTGCGCAAGGAGATGTCGTGAAAGCTCGTTTCCAGCAGGGATGCTGGTACTTGGCAGCTGTGATTGGGCAAAATCATGATGGCTCTTACACCATTGCTTGGAAAGATGGGGATGACAGTGACAGGGTAAAGAACAGTGGCGAGATGGTGTACATCAGGCCAGGAGACACCAAGTCCGCGCGATGGATCCAACACTACCCGCAGCACAGGCCCAACTCGAGGCAGGCAGCGCAGGCACCGCAGGCAAGGGCCAATCCCAGGTCCCACACGACGGAGGACGCGGGCTACACTTCCAGAAGGCACGAATCGGACCAAGCAGAGACCGAGGAGCCTGGAGATGCAGAAAAGAGAAAATGGAGGGACTGGGAAGCACAGCAGCAACGCTTCAGGGACGAACTGCTAAAGCGAGAAGATCAAGAAGATGATCGATGGCTCGCAAACAGAATGGCAAAGTTGCAACAGGAGCTGCGGGAGATAGACCAGTTAGCCCCTTCCGCTCGCAAGGGACGGCTACGTAAGCTACAGCTTGAACTGCATCCAGATAAGCAGCCCGAGCGACTACGTGCGAAGTGCCAGAAGCTCTTCTTGATAGTGCAAGGCAGGTGGGAGGCACACGAGGCAACTCTCCAACGTGAGACCAATCAGAGGAACCAGGACGAAGAGTGTGCTCGCGCGGTGCGAGAGGAGCGGCAGAGGCGCCAGCGCAGCCAGGAGGAGCGGCAGCGCAAGCATCGTGAAGAGCAAGAGAAGGCGGAACGTGAACGGGCCGAACGGGAGGCAAGGAAGAGGCAAGAAAAAGAAGAAGAGGACAAAAGGAGGAGAAATGCTGAAAGCCGTGCGCGGCAGGCAGAAGACGAGCTGAGGCGATTTAAAGAGAATGCGGCCAAGCAGCGGAGCAAGCAGCGCACCAGCGACACAAGTGATTGCCCTGAGCAGCCAGCGGGTCCGACGGACAGGGCCAAGGCACAAGCAAAACAAGACTCGGAACGAGACGATCACTACACCAAGGCAGGTTTGTACCGCCAGAGGTGCGAGGAGGCAACCCATGATGATGCGCCTTTCATTTCTCCGTCAGAGCAGAGCCAGCAGAGCCATGCCAAAACTGCTTCTCCTGGCAGGTCGCGCAAGCAAGGGACGCCTAAACCTTCGGAGTTGCATATCCGGGTTCGTCTGAATGGTAGTGTGCAGCAGGAGAAATTCTGCGTTCCAGCTTCAGCGACCGTTGGCGACATCAAGAAAAGGTTGGATGAAAGAGGAGTCGTCACATCTGCTCAGAAGATTTTCTGCGGTGACAGGGAGCTCTTCGATTTCGAAACGCTTAGCACTTTGCTTTCGACGGGCAACTCCTTAGATTTGGACGTGGTGCAAAGGTTCCCAAAAGGTCTTGGTTTTGCAGAGCAGGTCCGCAAGAATTGGCGGATGCTGCAGCATGCACCATCGGAGCTCCGATCCGACAGACAGCTCGTCTCGGAGGCCGTTGGCCAGAGCTGGGAGGCTCTAAAATTCGCTTCGGACAGCCTCAGGGGCGACAAAAATCTCGTTCTGTCTGCAGTGGAGCAGGATGGCTTGGCGGTGGAGTATGCAGCTCCCTGCATGCAGAAAGACCGCGACGTCATGTTGGCTGCTGTAAAGAAGACTTGGAAGGCTCTTCGATATGCGCAGCCCAGCTGTATTGACTATGACATCGCAGTAGCTGCCGTTCAGCAGAACTGGCGGGCCCTGCAACACCTGGGAGCCCAGCTTCGGGACAAGAGGGAGCTGATGGAGATGGCCGTGCAGCAATCGGGCCTCGCCTTGAAGTACGCCTCGTCTCGCCTGCAGCGGGATAACGAACTCGTCCTCCAAGCAGTTCGCCAAAACGGCGCTGCTTTCGAGTTTGCGGCCCCAGAACTGCGCTGCGACCGACAGTTTGTCCTCGCCGCAGTGTGGCGCAATGGAGATGCTTTCCGCTTTGCCGATCCCGATTTGAGGGCCGATAAGGAGATTGCCTTGGCGGTGGTGGATGGGACTTAGAGATCTGGCTCGGGACATGCGGTCACCGCGTTCCATGGAACAGCCCGAAACCGTAGGACAAGGGCAGGGAGATGGTTTGCAGCCAGCTCGTGGACGAGAATGTGCCATTTGGCAGCTTGTGAGCTCCGGAGGAAGCTGTCCCGGAAACTTCCAAAAGCTCTAAAGCCGTTTATGTGCAAGGACTTTCCGGCACTTCTCCTGTGTGTGACCCTTATGGACACAATCTGCTCCTGCACCCCGCTCGGCGGAGCACAACAGAATCTGGCCAACGATTCCTTGCCTGCGCATGGGCCGTGAAAAAAGCGTGTGCCCGAACACTGGACGCTAGCTTTGTTGTGTCCTTCTACTGCAGCCACAGGTAGCTTTCGTCTTGCCCAGGACATGGCGCATGCTTCTGCCCGACACTGCAAAGAAGTGGAGGCCGAGAGCTCTTGGTGGCTCTTGGCCCGAACACCCGCGATCTGTCGCGTGAAGGAGCTCCAGGCCAAAGTGAATGAAGCTCGCTTGGAAGAGAGGCCAGGAAGCCGAAGCTCTCAACTCCATCATCAGAGTGATACGGTTGAGGATATAAATCCTGCACTACCCCAAACAAGGAATATATACCATAATTCCCGTAGTTTTGAGCCCTTAAAGTAATGCAGGATTTTTGTTATCAACAGTAGTGTTGTGGACATCCGGGGTTGCCCGAACAAACGGCAAGTCACTTATGGGGGCAGTGCTTCACATGTTCTGTATGACGGGTGAGCAACAGCTGCACCATCCTGCGGAACGATATAACGGGCCCGTAGTATGCTTGGCCATCAGGCAACTTCGGCACGACGACACTGGCTTCGTCGTTTCCGATCTGAAGGACGAGAGCTTGAAGACGACACTCGTACCGCGCACAAACTTTCTCGGAGGCGCAGCTTCGCGCAAGGGCATCCGAAGTGGAGCAGCTGCACTCCGAGGCCAGAGGTGGCATGCGACGAGCACTGCTCATGTGCATGTCGGATTGCAGGGCAGGCATCGTGAGATATCGCGAGGTCAGAGCCAGCATGAGCGAGCTCGAGCGCACTCGAGCAGAGGCTCGTCATGCCGAGGCCACTGGGTCAAGACTTACTGCATCTGCAATTGCTGTTTCTTTGATTGGGGCTTTCTCAGGCCAGAGCAGCTGCGCGAGAGATCTCCAGTGTGGAAGCAGCCAAGGTATCAGCCTTTTTTCCTGACCATTTCCATTACATTTCGCTTGTAGAAGGAATTCCCTTTGTCTTGAGGTGATGGTCACCGACGACTGGAAGCGCGAAGTGGACCGCTTGCAGGCAGGAGCTGAAACAGCATCACATCGTCTAAGCATCCAGCCAAGAGTCTAATGAAGCCGTCCTGAATCTCCTGGAACCGTCAACAGTAGTTTGTTCCCCTCCGTGAGTTGCAAGACGGGCAGTGGCTTCAGCATCGATTGTGTTGCTGTTTATAGCACACAGCATATATCTCAGCCCATGTGTGTCAATGAAAGGTGGAGCTACAAAAGAGCGCCGCCGATATCGCTGCGGCCAAAGAAAAGGCCCGCCTCCCCACACCGGTGATCAGCAGCTCTCGCGTGCCGGCGAGCCATTCCAAACACGGATGGGTGTGAAGGCTGAAAGGGCCAACCGAGAGGCAGGTGACCATCAGTCGTTGAGTCGTTGCTGTGCACCATCCGTGTATGGAATGGTCCCTTGCAGCACGAAGCTACCCGAAACTCTGTAGGTTCGCCGCCTGCAGCAAGAGGAGAGCAGAGTAGCGAAGAGCCAGGAGGCCAGATTGGGTCGGATACTTTGCGTGCCTAAGCTTCGCAAACGGCCTGTTTTGACTACAACAGGCGTTGCGAGGAGAACTGGAGCAGGCTCACCAAAGCATGGCAGCAGATATGGTGTGCCATTAGTGCACTGCGGTGGTCATTGAACTGTGCCACACGAGAGCCCCGCACACTGTGAGGCACAAGACAACAACAGAGTCATACGGGAGGAGATGGCTGACGCCGAACATCGTTGCGAGGAGTCCTATCGGTTGCAAGCTCTGCGTTCGCTAGGGGAACGCCAAGCCAGCTGGTCCATGATTCGTGCAGGATGCGCGCTCCATGGTGCGAGCAGAACGCACCAGCCGCACCCACGCCGAAACGCAGGCAGTTGACTGGGCTGCAGAAGTTGCCGAGGTTGTGCCAGACAACACGTGCCCCTGACCTGCAGGTGCGAGAATACCAACGAGAAGCAAGAGCCAGGGCCCAGGGTCCCACCATGGCTTGCTTCAGATTGCAAGCTGGGCGCACCTAACTTGCAGAGTAGCCACACTCGAGGCACTCAAGGCTCAGCTGCAGGAGAGGGCTCGACACTCAAAGGTTGCCATGCGGTGCCATCCTAATCTGGTAATATCTCGTAATACTCCGGCAAGCCGGCGCCTTCTCAAGTCGAGGCTGCCGAAGCCGAGAAGTTCCGAAGTGAGGCAGAAGCTCTTCACTTTTGCTCATGGCTCCAGGAGTTGTAGCACTGTAGCACTTGGCCAGGCAAGGAACAAAAGTTACCAGCTTGAAGATAAGGAGCTGGAAGTTTCCCACTTGCAGGAGCACACTGCCGATGTGCCCGACCAAGCTGGCCATGTGAAACTCTCGCTGCAGGACCAAATCCAGTTCCTGGAAGACCAATTGCGAGCACGCCGCCGGGATCTGGCAGAGAAGGAAAGACTTTGGCAAGTTTAAGTGCAATCGGACCTATACTGTCAGGGCTGCGTTGCTGGTGTGTGCTGAGCGTAATAGTACCGTCTCGCAGGAGGACTGGGAGACTCAGACGATTCAGAAAGCGGCGGACCGAAATGTTTCGTGTTGTCGAACTGGGTTCAACTGGCGCACCGAAACACCTTGCAGTTTGGTGTTTGCTAAGGACGGACCCCTGGACATCACAGGTCCCTGCCACCGCAAAGCCGAGTGTCAATGATGGGCATAAGAGGGACGAGTCTTTGCGCACAGGAAAACTGTCAGTTGTTATCAAACTTTTGCATGGGTGTGAATGCATGTCGCGCCCTTAGCCCCCAAACCCTAGAACCTAAAGCGGGCCTGTTCCAGCTGTTGTATTGGCTGCTGCATGGTGCAGGCTTAAAAACCGCGGTTGAGCTGTCACAGCTATCCCAAGCTCAGGCGGGGTGTACGGGACTTCCAGCAACTAGCCAGTGGGCTCGCTCCGATGTTGCAGGGGATGGGCGATCTTGAAGTGGAAGAACAAGATGCAACGCTGTCACCTTGTGATGTCACCGGCTCGGTCGCAACAAAGTTACTCGGGATGCCGATGCCATTGCGTTGCAAAGAGTTTCGAATCAAGGCAGGGGTTCCCACCGACGGCTGGCGCCTTGGGCGCGCTTCTTTGGTGCTTTGGTTTGTTCTTTGCGTGGAAGGAAGCGCGCCGCCAAACTCTCCCATGCAGGCCAGCTGCTCGGCATAGCTCAGCCTGCAGCATTGCTCGAGTGTCTTCTTGGGTCGGGGATTGAGCTGTCCCAGCTCAGAAGGGTCTACTCCTGCTTCAAAGCTGGAGGAGAGAGAAGACATGTCGCCACCGGCTGCATGGTGGACACCTCAGAATCCTTTCGGCGAACGCATGTCCACGTCACAAATCACATGTCTTGCAACATCTTGCAAACACGAACCCCACGAGCACATGAAGACTGCAAACCTAGCACTGTGTTGCACTCCAGCCCGCAAGCTGAGAAGCGGACGGGTGTCCACAAGCAAGGGTGTAGAAAGCATCACGTTGTGACCGTTAGCCTCACCTCAACCTGCTTCTGCCTTCTTTACTTGGTAATACTTGGTAGGACATCTTTGGATATCTACTCTATTCTTGCATCGCCCTCGGTGTACACATTTGGAACTGTTCCTCTAAGCCGCAGTCCCCAGTCAAATGAACAAATCAGTCCACAGGCTGATGCCCGGGTGAATGTTCCACTCGCAGCTGCACAAAAGCACTCATGATGGGAACATGCTGTGCACTGCTGATATGACGTTGGGGTCGTAATGTGGCGATCTGCAGTTCCGTGGAATGGACGACGAAGCGCCCTATGACTACAGTTCAAGAGCGGCCAGTGCATAAGCAGCCGCTGCAGCCCTCTGCAGGCAAGATAGAGCAGAAGAAGAGGTTCCGCTCTTTCTCTTGTCTCGATGTCTCCATTCCTTAGTTGGGCATGCGAAGGCTCGTGCGGCAAGCCCACGGTCACCAGGCAGCTATCGTCGATCGCAAAGAGATGCGCATGCTTGGTCCTGAAGGGATCAACGATGCACAGATTCAGTCCCCGTGCAGGGGCTGAAGCTGCGGCAGGATGCGTCCCGGATCAGGATGGATGGGTGATGCTCTGTCTGCTTTGCTGGTGCACTTGCCTCTTTTGGTTCTCCGTTCCAGGCTTTGCGTGGGGCTTTACTCTCATGATCCGAGCAGGCTGCGGCTTACTTGCAAGCCAAGCGCAGAGAGCCAGCAGCTGAGAATCCAAGCCAACGGGATTCTAAAGTATTGCCGCTGAGGCTGCAGAAGTTGAAGTCTTGGGAACGGTTACTTAGGCTCCAAACGGAACACGTGACAGTTGAGAGGCGCATGTCGGCCGCATTCCTCTTTCCTATGCCGAAGACCCCGCGACCGTCAGGTTGAGGCATCAGTGGAAGCAAGACGCGTGCTGCGGGCTTTCTTGGACGTTGCTGCATGCTTTTTCAATCCTGAACTTCTGAACTCCACAGCTTACATCGTGGCCCTGTGCGAGATCACTTGACTTGTGCCAGGGACCGGCTTCGCTCTGTCAGTGGCATGGCACGGGAGCAGGCCTTGCCCAGCACGGCTCAGACGTGAGATGTTCAAAGAGAGCCTTCGGCATCGCAGGTCCTGCTCCAGGAAGCTTGCGCTGCCCTAGACGACCGGGCTGCTGCGCTCCAAAGGCGGCAGAAGCTCAAAATTGGCTTTCAGGGAGCTAGCACCTTCTCTACTGTGAGAGGTTCACTGTAGCGCATCCCGCATCCCGATTTACTTTCCCCATGTTGCTTGTCCTTGCAGGGCCATGGCAGAGCACAATGCTTTGGAGCAAGCTCTGCATGCAGGCCAGGACGTGATCATTTGGACGGTCTGAGCGACCTCGGCTGCCAGGTACTCCGGAAGGAGATTACATGGCCTTTCCAAGAACATCACCCCCTGCCCCACCCTCGGCTAGTCTTGTGCATACGGCCCCTACTTACACTGATTCGCCGCAGGTGTTGGGTATCACTGGCAATCCTACGAATGTCCTGAAGGCAAGCTCTGCAGAGAGGTTCTTTTTGGTGTTGTCATGTCATCCCCTCATTCCTTTGACACGTTTTCGTTGGCCAGCACGAACTATGCCGGCTTTTGCCTGGAACGCTTCCTCCTTTGAGTAGACACCACTGCTCCGATTCAAGCCAAACACGTTCCCAAAAATCCACCTGAAATCATCCCCGCCGTTTAGAGCGATCCTGTTTTCGATTTGGGGAGGCTCCGGGCTCAGAAAGACCCTGGAGCAAAGCAAACCCTGGGAACCCTCCCTCGCTCCCCGGCCCCCCTGTCCTGTTGCATTAGTGAGCCCACCTCTGCCGAGTCTACCTCAGCTTCGACAGTTTAGGGTATAGGGTTTAGGGGTTTTGTTGGCGGACGACCTCTTGAGATCTCTTCATGCATGATCGTAGCAGACCTCCGCCTCCGTCCATGGACTCTGTTTTGTGGACGAGGCGCGCAGCGACTCCGGTGATACGCCCAGGTCGACAGCCCAGCTATTGCTGTATGCAGGCCTTCCCATAGTCGCACCCCCGAAGAGCCATCTCGAAGCCTGCCGAAGATCTCCGATTCTTTGGGGCACCCGACCCCTGGAGAGTGAGGGCAAGAAGGGTGTCGTGTCAGTGTCTACTTGATGAGTCTCACGTCATCCCATCGTTTTGCTTCCGCACTGCTAGGTCTTCGACAGGAGGACGACCTGGGCATAGCTCATCTGGACTCGACTCTCAGACAGAAGTGCCGCCAGGACACCGGCAAGACCGGGACAGATACCCCACGACGGCTGCCGAGGTCTCCGCCGTATGTCATGAGCATATCAGTGGGCATCTGTCTGGTGGTTTCGGAGGACTTGAGCATGCTGCGGCGCTGGCTCTTGGGCTGGACTTTGCAGCTGTGTGGCGTCGGCGCGAGTCACAAGCACAAGAATGACTCAGAATGACTGTCATCCGAGGCAGCATCTGCTGGGTCAAGATGTTCTTGGTACGGGCTACAGAAGGCCGCCCGAAGTGAAGTCGTACAGAGAAGAATCAAGGAGAGTGATACGGAGAGGGAGAGAAGGTGCGCGGGGGACCTCTTCACATTGACATTGACATCCTTTCGAAGAAGAGGAAAGAAGAGATCCGCTCTCGTAAACCCAGGCAGCATCTCACGCACTTTAAGAAGAGAGCTAAGCGAGCCTCAGGAAGAAGCAAAACCGAGAATAAGGGAGGGGTCGGACATTGACAGCGCAACAAAGCACCAGCGGCCCACGCCAGCTCCCGTCCGGCTTGAGAGCTGAACTCAGCTAATCTTCACTCTGACAATGTGCATTTTCTGGCTCTCTGTCTCTCTCTCTCTCTCTGTCTCTCTCCATCTTTCTGTCTCAAGAGGACTAAAGCAGCTCCGGGCCCCCGATGCTTTTACCAACGCGGTATCCACGCGCACACACACACAAAAGAAGGTCCACATGGCCAATTCGGGGATCGAGACCCAAGCATTCTGATCTATCATACAAGTTGTATGTTTCCACAGGTCGTAGTCATGACATCGATTTTTCTCGAAACGTCTACCTAGAAGCGTCAGAGTGTTGACCATCATGTCACTGGCCTGGAGACTGTAGACGCGACATGGCTTTGGCATTGGATAGAAGATACACAGAGACCTTGGCACCGTATGCTGCTCTGGACATCTCGGGAGCTGTTAGAGGCTACAAAGACTCGGGGCTTTGTCTGCTGTTAGTGTCAGCCGCACAAGTTGAAGGTGTGTAAGCCTCTGGAAAGCCGTGAAGTGACGGTGAACAGGAGACATGTTTCATCGAAGTGCTGTATCGATAAAAAGACGTTAACACCGCAAACACACCTGCCGTGGTGAGGCTTCCCTTGACGGCCCGATCCACCTCGCGAGGCGCGGGCGAGCTCTGAGTTAGCCAAAGAAGGGCCCAGGACCTTCAATCTGTTTCTCAACTCACTGCAGCACTGTTACTGTTGGCAGGGGCAGTCAGCGCGAGATCCACCTCGCCGCTCCGCAAGTTTGACAGTCGCGGGCTTGACCGTCGCCAAATGTCGGCTTCGCCAGGGCTGTTGCTTTCGCTCTGCAGAGGCCGGCGGAGCCGAGTCTCCAGGGAGGCAGGCTTCAATCTTCTAGGGATTTCGCGTGAGCACCCTGGCTGCAGCCGCGAGGTCGTGGACCGCAATCTGAATCAGCTGTGCAACTTCTTAGATGTTGCAAGAGCTCGTCCTTTGTCAGCCAGGGCTGGCCGAGCACGCTACTGCTAAGCTGTTACCTCCTGCAACACACCCGGGTTCATCAAACAGACAAGATTCTGTCTTCGCACAGAATGTAATTATGCTACTTACGTTTACATACTAGACATTCGTTTGCCACCAGCTAGCTGCCTCGCAGCCTCGCGGCCTCATTCATTGCAGACCCAATTCATTCTCCGTGCTTCAGCCGAAGGAGACAGAGGGCGTGAGTCGATTCTTATCACGAACTTACGAAGGCTCTCAACTTCTTCGCTGTCCTGCATCACCGACACAAGCACTCCGTGTCTGCCAAGTTAGTTCCTTGGCTGGGGCACCAAAGCCGCGCTTGTGTACCAGAATTTGCCATGCCTTCCGAGAAGGGTAAACAAGCCTGACAGCGTTTCGCGCGCTGAGCAGCACATAGCAGCACCACATGTAATCTGCCGCACCAGCTGCAATCATTCTTCTCACTGTCATCCGCCGCTGTGCAACTTCTTGCAGGTGAGAGGAGCAAACAGATCAACTAGAGAACACTAGCAATAGATGCATCAACATACCGGCACAACTGTACCTGTTGGAAGCATGAAGCTTCTGCAGACACCGTCCTTCAGCAAAACAGTGCATTGCCATAGTTTCAGTCGCTTCAACACGAGCACAGCTGCATTTTAGCTCCTTGCCGCCGGACAGATGTCGCTTCCCTTTGGACAAGAGGACAGTTCATCCGACTTACCTTCGGAACCTCCTGGACTTAAGACGTGGCAGACAGTTCACATACGCAACACGTTTATAGAGGTGGACGAAAGCACGGAGCCCCGTGCTGATCCAGCTGTTACTAGTTCAAGCACCGGAAGCACACTCGGGCGCACTTGGCGCCGGGGTCACTTGAGATGTGCTTCCGAGCCTATGTCATCCTTTTTTGCTAGATCTCCTTGGGAACCAATGAGTCTTGCGACTTCACCTCTTGACGCACTGCCAGGTGCAGCATTGCAAGCAGATGCTCTCGGCACGGTGCTGGACCTGGGCCCCAGCCGACATGCGCCATCGAACCCCGAGCGCGGCCGAGTCAGCACAAGCCTTGGTGCGACGTTGATGCGTTCACCTCGTGCTCAGTCGTACGTCTCTCCCATACGAGAGTCAGACGAGTATGAGGCCTTAAGGCGCATCCACTTTCCAAAGTATATAGACATCAACACAGACTTTATGGGCCAGAGCCCTTGGCACGAGCCGATGATGGTTGACGTGGATACTCAAGAGCGGAAGGATCCGTATCATCGTCACACATTGGCTGTTCCTGTGCGCGGCTACCGTCATGCGAGGCAGCGCTCGCGAACTATTCAGGAAGACAAAGAGCTGGTTGATTCTCAAGCCTACGACCTTGCTGAGGAAGCACAGCCTTTAGCATCTCAGTCCTCCTGGGATAATGTTGGGAACGTGAACTTTCGTGTCAGAAACACGTTTATTGAAGTGGACGAGACTGGATCGGAGAGTTGTGCGGATCTCCTCAGCCCACCCCACATGCGATGGCGACCCAGCCATTTACGCTGCGCTTCGGAGCCAGTGCCAGTTCAGTCATTCGAAGGTTTCCGCAGTGCAGTGCACAGTGGAAGCGGGTTCCATTCCAGGACCAGCAGCTACCAAGCCGAGGAGCCCCTGGAACACATGCTTCAAGCGCCGGCTCGGGAGCACGAAGCCAAAGCATCACCCGAAAGACAGGAGAGGCCGGAGCTCCGGGATGCGAAGAGCAAAGATGCCTTCAAGGATTCACCCTCGAGAGAGTGCACCGGCGCTGCGGTGAAGACCCAGTGCAAGTGGCACCTCCGTGGGACGTGCAAATACGGAGCCGCCTGTCGTTTCTCCCACGACCGGTCACAGAAGCCGAGCGCCAGCAGCGAGCTTCAGAAACCCACTGGACCTCTCCCAGCAGGCCGAGTCATGTTGGGCCAGTGAGAGTCGAGGTCTCGTTGCTTATCAGGCCTGGTCCCGGGTCCGCTGCCCGTTGGCCCTCACGTTCCGGAGGCGAGGTTCTTTTCCCCTCTCCGCCCTCTCCCTCTGTCAGAGCCTCTGAATCCAAGTTGTATCTTACAGGCCAAGCCACAGACACCAGGTCCACTTCCGAGGCGCGGCCTGCGTTCGCGGTCCGCGTCATCACTTTAGCTTGTGATGGCTCAACTTTGAGGGCTTCTGAAGAATCAAATGTTGAGTCAATCGTGGAAGCGCAGGCCAAGCGAGCACACTGCAAGCAGATGCCGCAGCGTGCGGCCCTGAAAGAGTGTGCAAGCTTCACTCGAGAAGCCCGTGGTTTGGTACAAGCGTGCCTGTTAAGAATGGTGTTCTGTACAGGGCATTCTGAGGTACCGAGAGAAGGACCAAGAAAACAAAGCCAAAATGGTAGGTGATCCTGCGCTTGAGTTTCTGGGCCAACAGACTAAGCCATGCGGTAATGAAGGTAGGGCCGGGCAGGGAAGTCCGAGATCAGTGGAGGACGGGACCGAAACAGAGCGACGACGCTCCGAATAGCTCGCGACAACAGTGAATGCCTTCTGCACCTGAGGAGGGTTTGGCGGCTAACGTATCGAATCCAGAGTCTCTGGCACATCGCCCCGACGGACCTGAGAAGAACTATGCACGAAAGAACGTCAAATGTGGAAAGGTGGCTTTGTTCGGTTGCGAGGCATCCTCAACTCTTTGTAGTATGCATTTTTGCCGCGCTCACACCCCGACGGCTGAGTGCTGGACTGGTACAACAGCGAACGAAGCCAGCCCAGCTCGAATGTGCTGCAAGAATGTGCCGCAAGCAAACTGCCCAGCCTCTCACTCCCCTCAGAGGGGGCTTCCAAGTCCCGCTGTCATCATGCCGTCATGCCGACAGTATTGTGAAGTCTCCAGGCCAGTCCTGTCAGCACGACAGCTGGCAGCAGCGCCGGCGAGGAGCCTGGCGCCGCGGGGTCCTCGGATCCTGCACCCGCAGCACAGTGTGGTGACGTGGTGCTGTGCCAGGGCCAACGTTCCAGCCAGTCTGAGAAGCCTCATCAGGTCCGGGTCTCTAGCAGAAGGTGCATCAGCTGACATGCAGTGCGTTTCAGTGCCACGATTTCAGGTCTTCTGGTGTGACGCCCGTGCCTTCAAGCAAGAGTTCCAAGGGCAGGGGCCATGGTGACACATGATGACCTGATCATGCAACAATCACATACTGCATAAAAGGGCACGGTCCTCAACCGTCGGTGGAGGTTGCGGGAGCAACTCGAAACGTCCATTGGCATGGCAGCAAAGGCTCGTTACAGCTGTCATCAGTTACTGTGCCACTCGTATCACTCCTGGCAGTCGCACAAGACCGCCGAGAAGTGCATGAGGTTGCCTAGCCCTTAGCGTTTCAGATCATTCTTCACTGGCACCAGCTTTGCACCACTGAAGTTCATGTCGCGCTGGAGGCTGAAGAAGAAGCAACGGGTTCGCGCGGAGCGCGGGCGCGGTGTTCAGAAGGCTGGGATCACTGGGCAGAGGCATGAGCGAGTGCTCTGTGTGTCACCTCGAGGCCAGACCTTTGGTTTTCCTGGTGTCCTGGGCAAATGCACAGGAGCTGGCCCCTTGACCTGAAATTAGACACTTTAGACACTTTTAGACTCTAGATGTTACTTTTGTGGAGTGGGTTGGCTTCGGGCCCTTCCCGGCCCCATCATGAGGTTGGCTTCCTTCAAGAGGCCGCCCACATGCCACCTCTGAAGGTGGAGAGGGGGAAGCCGATGTCAGTACACACCACATTGACATGACGAAACGACCCTCAGCTTGCAGAGGTCGTGGTCTTGTGCGACACGAACGGAGCTCGGACAAGAGCTGCAGCCGAGAGGAGCGCTCCGAAGAGTTGAGCGCGTACTGTAGCGCTCCAGCGTTGCATGGACTTGTGCGTGGCTTGTGCTTGGTCGAAGTCCCACTTCCGCAGGTGGTCCAAGGACATTTCCCTGATCGAGCACGTGGCTGCAACTTGGCCCGAGGCAGGGCGCTTGGGCTCTTCTCTCCATCGTGTGAAATGGAATGCCCCCGCAGTCACAGGCCGTCCAAGTGGTCTCGGACCTGCTTTCGAAGTCCATCTCAACCGCTTAGTGGCTCCGACTCAGCACTGTGCGAATGTGTATACACACTGGGCCTTTGTTGCACCGCCACTTGGCAGGAAAGTTTTGCATTCTACATGCGAGCTTTTGCGGCACAGCTGGTGCCTTCAAAGTGTACATACTGTAGGAAATGGAACTATGCAAAGCTTGCCATTCAGATGGCAAGCCGTTTTGCCCAAACATAGCTTACTCGAAGAAAAAGTCGCGGCATGAAGTCTATAATCCACCTTGACAAGTCGAAGCCCCATCGGTGCTCTCATGAAAGCTGTCTGCCAACGCGGGCTCGGTCTGAATATTGTGACCTGAAGCTATACGAGGCAGGGTGCAGTGCCCGAGACGAGAAGACAACTCCTTGCCGTTCATCCAGAACCAGCACTACTCAGTGCCTCACGGTGGAGGACTCCACCTATGCGGCCCAACCCTGCTAGGTAAAGAAGCATCTGGCTGCGATTCTGTTGGGACTGAGGAAAACAGGCCGTGAATCGATCCCTGACAGTTCACCCTTTAAGCCTTTGGACCTCAACGGAACGGGAATGGCGGAGAGTATTGAGCAAATCCCAGCTGGTGAACATGTCCGTATGGCCTGCTTGCAAGGCCACTTCACAAATGCATGCCTGCAGCGACCTCAAAGCTTTTGTAGTTTCGCACATGGGCTGCGTGAAGCGCCTTTAACCGTTACAGAGCTTGAGGTTGACTGCTGTTGAAGCTGGTCATTCCAAAACATGCAACCTAGGTATTGCATACCTCTACAGTCACAATGATAGTTTTTTGATGGAAGCTGCAGCACTTGTTGTATCTTCGATCCAACATGCAGCATGAAGGTATGTCACATGAGGGGTGCTCTGGCAACGCAATGAAGACGGCGTGTGAATAGGCACAATGTTTGGCCTTCGTGCTAAGACGCTACCGTAGCGTTTAGCTGCCATGTGGACACTCCTTTGGCCGCAAGAGCCTTCTTGCGTCGTGAACGGCTCTCGCACTTCGCCGGAAGCAGCAGCTGTGGAAGCGATGCAGGTCACTGCACGAGTGCTCCCAGAGGGTTTCGCGGCTGAGTTGACGTCGATCTGTTCTGTCCACGACAGGGTGACATGAGGCTGCTGCTCAACCAGGCGGGCATTCGGAGCGAACTTTGAACACCGGGTGAGAATCTTTTCTAATTTGCACGAGCTAGCGGCCTTCCGCCAAGAGTTGCTGAAGGATGTCAAGCAGCTGTTGGTGGACACCCTCTGCCAGCCGAAGGCTCCGTTTACGTGTTCATACGTGTTCACGTCAGGTTTCTCTTGTGCGGTGGGGGGCTGGAGGACGAAGGCTGCACAGCTAGTGTCAGCAATTGGCACTGACACCACATGGGATTCATCATCCCACCACACCCGGGTGAATCTCGCATGTAGGCTCAGGCGAACAATTCCGTGCCATCTGAATCTTGTGATCCTGAGCTCGTCCAGGAAAATAGCTGAACATACTCGGAGCATCTTGGGACCCCCCAAGGTCTACAAACTTGCGGGCAGAAATTACCGGGGGGGCCAGGGATGCCAAACGGAACGAAGCACGTGCACCACGCATCTCCGTGCAGCTTGGGAAGGTCGGAAGGTCCACACTTCCGAGCCCACATCAGCACGGCCAGCCAGACACACACAGCCTGCATTCGGCTGCCTCTTGCAATAAATCAGTCAATGGTAGTTGCACGCCGGACCCGGCATGAAATCAACAACGCAGCATTAACAAACCTGAAAGCCAATGTCAGTTTGTCTCTTATTATTCTAGATCGCCCGCCNNCCCCCCCCCCCCCCCCCCCCCACTGTTGTTATGTTTCGGGCTGCTGCCATCTCACACTCCTCTCGGAGCTTCCCTGTCTACGTTTTTGCGAATCACTGCAGTTGTCATACTTTGTTGCTGGCTATCAAGTCGCAAATCCGTCCCCAAAGCTTCGAAAAATTAATTAAATCTGGATGATTTTTCCACAGTCATTTCGGCTGGTCCAGGAATCTTTTTTTGGTCCGATTTGTGCACTTGTTCCCGCCGTTAGCTTGCTTTCAGGGACAAGCAACGGAGGATGCCCAGCATGAGTTCCAGGAGCTGCATGGGGGAGTCAGTGAAGAAAACCGGTTGAAAATCACCAAAGCAAGGAGGCCTTGGCTACGACAGCACTTGGACTCAATTACTGCACTGCCGCAACAAACTCAGGAGCAGCTGCAAATGATTTTTATGCCGGGAGTCGCTTCCGACGATCTTTGTCCTACGTCATGAACGCATCTATTAAGCTTTTGGTCTTGTCCGTCAGGCTCAGCATCACGTGTCCAACGAACGTAGCCGCTGCATCATGTATGCGACGTACTCCTCGTATTCCTCGTATCAGGATGCACCCATTTGTCTGCATGACATGCTCCGGAAGATGGGGTTCCAACGTGATTCATGACTTCCGGGCCGTGCCGGGAAACTGTATCTGGGCGCAGCGCGAAGCGACAGCACGTCTTCGACAGGAAGATGCGTGCAAATCTCCATGCAGTTCCTCAGCTCTCAAGAAGCACCACTCCTGCGTCCTACAAGCCCCTGATGCAAACTCTTCCGCGTTACGAGCGGCTCGGCGCATGGCTGCCATTTTTCAGCTGTCGCACTTTCCGCCTGCGCGCACTCCCGCGGTGTGGTGACACTGGCTTCTTTTGCTCTGAACTGCATGTGCAGCACCCGTCTGGGCGAAGCCACCTAGTTCAAAAGGCGCCTTGACACTCCAACCAGCACGGACGCATGCTATGAATGCCGGCGCCACCCGCCGAACCGAAAAACAACAGACCTGCGACAACCATTCGAAACTGACTCAACCAGGCACCTAACCAGCACTCCCACGTTTGTTGCGCGAAATAAATCAAGCGCAACAACTTTGCCGAACGCATCCCCGCCTCGAACACGTCTTCGGGCCGTGCAACCAGTGAAAGCCTTCTGAAGTCTTCTAAAGCTTCGAGGGTCCAAGTTACTGGCTTGCTATGTTTGATGTTTGGCTATTCCGCAGATTGTGCATGCTTGCAAGCTTGCTGGGGCGATCACGAGCGAAACTCCATGTCTGTTCGCACCTTGGCACACGTGCCCCACACCCAAAACCGCACAACACGCTGTGATGCGCCGTGGCCTCGGCCCAGTCGGTCTAGTCGGCCCAGCTTGCTTCGAACTGGTCTTCTAGCGAGAGTGGCATGCTGGTGCTCGATGCCTGTGCAGGCAATCCGCAACCAAACGACAGGACATTCGTGGCTGTGGATTTCGTGCCTCTGAAAGCTGGGTGCTGGATGCTGGAGGAGACGCCTCAAAACATCATGTGTCGCCACACTCTTGCGGTCCTCTTCAGCGAGGCAACCCTGATGAATGTAGATAGTACACAAGCGTAGAATTTGATTTCTGTGCGCCATCGCCTGTACGTCGTGAGCATCTGTCTGTGACAGCAACACCCGGCACACAAGAGCCTCCTCGTCATCCACATCCATCCTGTACTTGTGTATGACCTGCTATCGCGCTACCGAGATGCCCCTGACCGTGCTTCACGGGCAACAGTTACATCTGTCTGCCTGGCGCCTTCGTCGCTGCTGCCGCGTCGCAAAGCCTCAGTTCAAAACGCCCGTTGTAAGGGCAACTGCGCCCTCTGTCCGTCACGGTTGATGCGTGACAACTAACTTCCAAATCAATCTTGAGACGATGACTGGTCCGGCAGCTGCTGCCTGCAAAACTGGCATCAATCCACATCAAATGCTAGGAACCTTCGCTTGGCTGCAGGCGAAGAGGGAACCACGGAAGTCGGCATAGATGAAGTGCAAGCATGTGTAAGCTTCACTGTGCCAAGGGTTATGCGATACGGAGTCGCTGCCTTGCGGCTTAATAATAACCGTGCCTGACCGAGACCCCAGGCATGTAGCCCGCCGCCCCCAACCCGGCCCCTTTACCCGCTCTGGAAGTCTCTGAGCTCACCAGCCCACCAACAGGCGTTCATGTTGACCACAACAAGCGCTGATGCTCAACGCAACTACGTTTACCCCGGCACCTTCTACGAGGTGAGGGGCTCTGGGACGGAAAATACTATCAATGTCAGACTCTTAGGGCGGCCTCTTTCTGCACGCTGGAAGACTCCATCTCGGCGGCCTGTGCCCAGTCAAAGCACCGAACAAATCTGTGCGCTAACCATTCTGCAGCCTTGGCCGTACCGCCGTCGCGTTGTTTAGATCGCAGCAGCCAGCACGGCTACATAGTACGCAAATCGGGTCCAAAAAACGCTCCTGGACCCGCCGAAATTACTACAGAAAAATCAAGCAAAATTTAGTTGATTTTCGGATGAGTTTAGGGACTGATCTGCGAACAAGTATCAGAAAATGCGCCTGCACAAAAATCATCCAAATTTAGCTGATTTTTCGATCGAATTATTGGGACCGAATTGCGGCTTGAAAACCAGCCAATGGCAGGACCAAGTAAGTGCACAAATCGGGTCCAAAGAACGCTCCTCAAAATGCCGCAGAAAGATCAGCCAAAGTTTAACTGCATTTTCGGACGAGTTTTGAGGAGATCACGATGAGACAGTGGGGGAAGGCCGCTTACTGGCTTGACGCTTTGCAAGTGAATGAGAGGGTGATTTGAGTGAGTGGAGTCAGTAGGTGGGGTGACTGACAGATTGAGTGCGTGGAGGAGCGGAAGGGGGCCGAGCTTGCGAGCCAAACAGGCGTCAAAACAGTGAACCGCCCACGCTCCCCCTCTCCTCCTCTGCTTCTCCGTGCCCCTCCGTTCTCTTGAGTTTGGTACTGGAAGCAGTTTTTTCGTGTCCAACGAATACAACCGCCACTCCTCCGTTCGCATTCCGAATCGATTCGGGGTACATCCAGCTGCCTATACAGTGAAGCTGCAAGTCATGCCATGCCTGCCGCACCTCCCAGGTTGCGGCGTCTGCTGAAATGCGCCCAGTACATGCAAGGGCCGCATGCTTGGTAAAAAGTTGGCGATGCATCGATTCGTTGTTGGTTGGATGCTTCTCTTCAACTGTTTCAGACAGTCGTTTCTTTGCATTTAGAATATGATCATATGATCCGTGGTTCACGGTAATGGGCTCATCGTGGGTTTCATCCATTCTCTGGCCGTCGTCGCAAGGCTGCACCATCCTATGTTCAGACTAGCCACATGTCGTCTCGAGATTTCTGAACGATTTCTTCCTTGCTAATTGGTGTCATGTGTGCGTTGACACTGTAAGCCTGCTTCACGGCAGGCATTAATCATTAAGAGTTTGCATCTTTCGCTACAGCCCTGGTCTTCAAGGGTTGACATATGTTGCCGTGAGATTACTCGCGAGATTTTTTCGCTGGTGTCCGCATGACGGTGGAACTCGAGGTGAGATTGGCCTGGTTGTGCTGTTGTTTGCCAAAGTAGAGGAAGGTGTGTTCGTAGGTTCGTAGACATACTTGTATTTGTGCGTGCGAGTGGCCTATGTAGGTATGTCATAATATGGCATGTATCGTCATGCTGGGTCGATAGTTCGATGCACTACGAACAGCGTACTTCCCACTCCTATCGCTGTAGACTTGAAGGTCAGGTCACATGGTCAGGTAAGATTAGAACCGGGCCCAGCTAGTTGAGCTTTGTGCAGGTGATTGCGTTCGAACCGCTTCGGAAAGCAATGTTGCTTTGCACCAAGCAGCAGTGCAAGAATCTGCAAGATGCCGTGTCTGTCGCGTGTGGATTGTAGCCGATTGTTTTGAGGTTGCACGTACTGACACTCATGACTGGCCCGGCCCAAGGATTCAATGCTGTTCCAAGCCCTACCTACCGGGGCGCTCGTTTATACTAGTAGAGCAGCGTCCTGTGCACCGGAGTCGACCCGCTTTCGGCTATGATCCTTTGAGATGCCGACGGCGCAGCAACAACGCAGCAGGCCTTGGATCTGTGCTTTAAGCTGTTGATGACGGAGGTTTGTGAATACCTATATAAGAAGACTGAGGAGTTGCGTTCACACTTTGTAAAGTCATGTTGATAGCCTACCACTACCCGTGGGTGGCTCTCCGGCTCTAGCGACTCTAGCTGATTAGAGGGAATCATACTGTCAGTTCCGTTGAGAAGGGATGCAGTTTTCTCTTGCAGGCTTCGTGGTTCGATGGTTGATTCGATCGTCGACGTTGTGTCTCGATGTGTTCCGACTAGCTGGCGGCTGGCATCAGTCAGTGCATCCATGCATATTGGGGCGTGCCTGTGCTTATTGCGATCGGTGGATCCCTCGCATGGAGAGTCCGGACAGGCAAAGCAAGGAGCAGCGCCAGTCTGTCAAGACATGCGAGGCCTGCACATGTGACTGTGCATTCTGTTGAGGTCACTTGGCTCGCGGCAGTTGTCTGACAAATACTCAAACCACCAACCTGCAGCTTCCATCCCCCCATCGACCCCCCCCCCGTTTCCAGCACAGATCCTTGAAGCTTGTTTGTAGCATAGCGACATGAATTCTGCATCAAGCACGTCCCCAACACCACAACTTGGTGGGCGGACACGGCAGACCGAGGCCTGCTGATTCCAGATCACTACAGTACGAAATAACATTCATCATTAGTAACTTTTCCTGCGGGGGCAGATGTTGGTGATCACGGATAGTCATTGTTGCAGGTTGCAGGCTACCGTGCCAGCTTTACATCGAAGCTAAGCCTGCCAGGTATCCGATGCTCAAGCTGCTGAGAAATCAGAGACGAGATGTGATCTTAAGCTGAACGACGACTTTCTTACGTGGCTTCGTCCCTTATCTGAGGTCTTGGAACAACAACTGAGACGGCATGTCAACGCCACGCTAGACTTGTTCTCGTTGCTCCCGCGTGGGTCGGAGAGAGACAGCGGAGCCGACCGGACAAGGCAGGTTTGGAAATTCAGGGATTTTTCGAGCATTGCAGTTGAAATCACCTGGTCTGGATCGAAACCGTGGAAACGAGTCGCTGCAATTGAAGTACACTGCAAGTGTGACGTCGTCGCAGACAAGCGGCCCCAGCCGGAAGCTGTGGATCTGCAAGCTGGTTCATCATTCAAGGATGCAAAGATCTTCTGGCGGCAGCGCTTCCTGCTAGGGTTTGCAGAGGCGCGGCAGAAGTTGAAGAACACCGACCAGGGCAATGGCTTCATCTGGGCCAAGTACGGAGAAAAGGCGATGCTAAACTTGTTGACTGATCTTATCCTGGAAAGTATTCTGGTGGATTTGGGCGAGCAAGACCTTTCCTCTTGCTTGGGCGGGGTTGGACCGGGACTGTCGCAGTTATCACAGTCTGAGCCCAACACATCCATCATACCGGCATACCCCGTTCTGAACGATAATTTTTACGTCCCCTTGCAGCAGCAAATGAGTCCACCGGAATTTCTCAAACTGGCCGTCATCCTTTGGAAGGCTGCCGCTCAAAGCCCGGAAGCCTTGCAGAAGGCTCTCGAAGATCTCCAGGGCTGCCAGGCAGCTTCCAATGTTCCGGTCCTCACGGTCGCTCTGAACACACCTGTTGCATACAGATCGGCCACCAAAAACAAGCTTATGATGGGGCCGTTACTCATGTTCATGCTCGATGGCTGTGGACATGATCGGGAAAGTACTTGCATGAACAGTATGGTGGAGTCGCTGGTGGCGCATGGTGCCGAGGTCAACGCGACTTACGACATGTACCCGATTGGTGCACAGCATGGCTTTGGCCAATTCCCACTCTTGTGTTTGGCAGGGGATGACAATGCAATGACCAAGTGCCTGCTTAGCTGTCGCGCTCAGCCGGATCGTGCAAGCAGCTTGAATTTTTTCCCATCCTCAACGCCGCTTTGGACTGCCGTTTGGCGTCGAAAGGAGTTTTTGATCAATACATTGCTGGACCATGGTGCTGATGTAGATGTCAACAACTTCGGCTGGTACCCTGATTATCCGCCCCTTGTTTTGAGTCAGGAAGCTGCTGGCTGCAGTGTTCTGGGATTGGCTGCTACCGCATTGGGTAGAGATGTCGTCTGCAGCCTGCTGAAGCATGGTGCGGAGCTGGGAGACTGCACATACGAGTTAGCCAATTGCTTGCTGGAGAATGTGAAGCCTCTGGCATTGCATGTCGCAAAGGCACAGCCAGACAAGATGGCCAATGGAAAGCTTCTGAAGCAGATCAGTCGCATGAGAGCCGAACTCATCCTACATGAGGTGCTTCGAGACACAGAAGCCAGGTCGAAGTTCATGAAATCGATCGAGAAGGTTTGTCGAAGCTTGGACTCCGAGGACTACCGCGGCTTCATGGACATGCTCCTCGACTTGATCCACAAAGCACCCTCAGGAGCCGCAAAGCTCTGCGACATGGGGCTCGCCGTACCCTCCCGAAAAGACCCGCGCCGGTGTGCCCTGCCAACCTGCAGCCTTTTTCTAAAACATGAGCCGCAGAATGTCGTATACGTCTACGGCACGGAGTGGAGCTCTGATGCACACTTTGCGGAGCAGCTTGCACCTCCTGTTGACACCCGCGACTATTTGCAGGAATTAATGTCAGAGAACCTCTTCGGGCTTCAAGTTCCATGGATTTTGCTTGGTGTGTTGAGGGACCTTTTTCTGCCTGATCGGCACGATGCTTTGTTCTGCAGCATTTTCGTCCTGCGGATCCCTAACATCATCAACATCAAGGTGTTGCGTGCTATGCGGCGATTGCCAACCGAGCAGCTGGTAAGACTGTTCAAAGACAGCATCGTCTTCCGCGCCATCGCGATGCATGTCTGGGCATTGCTGCACAGAATGCTTCTCAGCCCGACTTCCGCCAGTAATTTGCAGCATCTCGCATGATACGGGCTCCTGTTACAGGTTTTTTGTCGTTGTTGAGCCGAGGTTTGTTATGGATGTGGTGGCGACACTGTTGCAATTTCTGAGTCTCCTTCTCTGGTGGCAGCGCCATGGCTGCAAATTCACTTCAGCTCACATGCCACGCAGAAACCGCGGCCCTGCCCCCTGAGGAACTCTGAAGTTCAAGCTTTGGTCCGGGTTCTGTGGATCTTGTTTACTTCGGTTGTCCTACTGGATGCATCCACCTGGCTCTTGATGGCATGCCAGTTTCAAACGCCATCTCTGAAGCTTACCATGCAGGCAGGATGCACGTGACAGGGCCTCAAGTCAATCGTCACAGACCCTTCAACCTTTCGGCAGCGACATTCGTATCTTTTCCTGTCGGACAGGTCGGCTTTGGTTTCTGGATGTCGTTTCAGAGTTGGGGTGCGAGCACGGTGGATCGGTCAGCAATGGCGTGCAACCTGGGGCTCTGCCTCATTGGCATTATCTACGAGCTGCGGCTCTACCACCCGCTGGGCCTGCCATTGGGCCGAAATTTGTTGCCTATCCTGAATGCAGCCCGGACGAAGGAGTTCACAGCCATGCTGATGCTGATCGTCACTGTCCTGACGGTTCCGGGCTTCCAACTAAGCAGTCTATACTCCTTAATTTGGTCTACATACTACAGTCCTTCTTTCGGCGTTTTGGGAGCTTGTTTCCGTGACCGACTCTTGACTTAATTCCATAGTGTGACGATCCAGGCTACATTTCTTGCGGCGAGTGTGGAGTTCAGCGAGTATGGTGGGGAGCTATTGCCAGTTGCAGTTAGAACATGGCAAACCCTGATCGTGGGAGAGTCATCGCTTTTTGACGTGGACGAGTATTCTCATCATGCACTTCGATACTTCCTGGTCTCTTCTGCATTCTTTGCCTGCAACATAGTGCTCATGAACATCTTCATTAACGTAACTGGTGCGGGGTACGATGACGAGCGCAGAAACATTGTGGGGACATTCTTGGTTGAAAGGTTTCATGCTTGCATGGAAAGCGTGGAAGTCGCAGGATGGTCGAGGCGTCTAGTCCTCTCTCTTTTCAGTGTAGCTCTCTGCGTTCGTATGCTCATCAGCTTGGGTTTCGGAGATGTGCTGGCAGCTGTCTGGGAGGCTTGCATTCTGCTGTGCTGGTTGTTGCTGTACTTGCTTCAGTGGCGCTTGTGTCGTGAAGCGTGCCAACTGCGTGAAAGTGTGGAGGCAGTGCAACCTGCAGTTGCCTGGCATTTGTGGGTTTGCCTGCCGTCAGAATGGGAGAATGAGACCGCCACAGAAGCAAGCTGTGATCAACAGAGTGGTCTCCGCGATCTGGGCAAAGCACTGGGTAGTTTGATGAAACAGATGGCAGAGCTGCTTCAAAACGCGGAAAAGCTGCTTCAACGACAGCAACGCCTGCGCACCACCAGCTCCAAGCGATCCGGCAAGAAGGGCGGGTTCGATGCACTATGCGACAGCAACCCGAAAGGCATTTCGTCGGATTTCTCGTGGCTCGAAGACCTGCTCGTTGCAGCAGAGCTCAGAAGGCACATCGACCCCGCAACAAGATGGGCCGAGGAGAGGGACATTGTCCAAAGTGATTTCCTCGGTGGGAATGAAGTCTCTGCGGCCTCCAGGGAGGAGGCATTCACACACATGGATGATTTGTCGAAGCACCTAAAGTTGAGTGCGGCCGCTACGCAGCGGTTGTACAAACAACTGCAGAACAGGTGGATTACACCGAAGCTTGCCGCTGCCCAGGACTAGTGCTCTCGGCCTGAGCAATTGCATCAGGCTAGAGTGTGACTTTCGTCACCCATGGTTCCGTTTGGACCAAAAGCGGAGCTGCATGGTTCGCAGGCAGAAATTAATATATGCATGGTTATATGGGGCTTAGCGGAAAGCTAAGTTGTTTAGTTCGCTGCGTACAACCAATGCCGCTACTTATTGCGCACAATATGTCGCTAGCGTGAACACTGACCAGCTCCACTGCATCAATAAGTTCTGTGATGTTGCGCTCAGCAATCTTGCGCCCAAGTCACGTGGCAGTTCAGATGAGCATGACCAGGTCAATGTAATCTACAGCGAGGACAACAACCGAGAACAGCTCAATATTCTTCAATTCTTCCGCAGCCCAAAACCCCGCCTTTTTGCAAAAGGGTAATCGATCCAGTTAGTCGCCTCACCTTGAATGCGAAGTGAATGAATGATGCAGTTATTATTGCAGATATTGCCAGTCTGCTTGCGGCTGATAGCGTGATTAGATAGACTGGAATCTTGCAGGTTCGAAGTGCAAGACTAATCGGTCCTGTGGCGACTTCGTTGGTATTGTCAATGTTATCTATCATCTATCCTGAATTCCGGTGGATTAGGGTGGATAGTCGGCTGCACCTGAAAATGTGCTTGCGGCTCGAAGCGGTTTCAAGCTGAGCTGTTTTGGCAGTTTTGGTCGCTAGGTGTTGGCGTCTTTGGTCCTTTGGGTTGGTAGGCGTCAGATGTTAAGCTAGCGGGCTTCCGGGGGCTGAAGCCTCGAGCAGGAAGGGAGTACATGGTTACCTTGTGCCTTGACAAAATACAACAACGCTTAGCAATTGCAGAATTCTGCGGCATGCACCTTCACGCAGGCAGGGTGGCTCAGCTGGCCTCACATTTTCCAGAATGGCCTCAGGCGTTTGCAGTGCAGCGTTTCCGTGCAGGTGACTAGACTCGTGATGCAAAGTGCAAAGGCGCTCATGCCCACAGTCCCAGGCTTATCTTCTTCGGAGTGCGTGCCGTTCTCTAAGCCATGAGAGTCTTGTCATCAGACGTCAACAGCACTCGAGCTAGCTCCACTCGAGCTGGTGCCTAACGGAGACGCGTTCTTGAGAATGCTCTGACCCGACAAGATTCAAGGTACTAGACACTCGAAATTATCGGCAAATTGTTAAGTGAGGCGCTGTCGAGGAGCGGTGGAACACCACCGCACAGCGCTTCAGATAAAGCCACTTCAGACTTCCCGCTTCAGGCCGGGAGCATGTCTCTGCTGTGATCCAGCGGAGTTTGTCATTGGCCACTGCAGGTGGAGATTCACGTGAAAGAGTTGTTTGACGGCAGCAAGCTCGGTGTGCGCTTGCCCCAGAACTCCCTCATCATCAGCAGCTTCGATGCCGAGTATCCCGAGGCAGCCAGTTCTAAGCGATTTATCGGTTTGCTCGACTGGCCCACCCCAATGTCGGTCTCGCATCTACAGGCGGAGCAAGTTGGGTGGCAGATCGGAGATGAAATCGTATCTGTGAATGGCCACAGCATTTGGACTCGAGAGGTCAGTGATGAGCAATGAAGCTGAACATTTCAGCGATTGCATGCTGTTTCCATGTCTCGAGGACTTCAAATCTGCTCTGGTAAGGGAACGTGGAAAGCTACCTATGATCGTGGTCGTGCCGCTTTGCTCGAGAATTGGAGCCCAGGGCACGGGCAGACTTTGGGGTTCCCTTGAATTCTTGAGAGGCTCTTGAGGCGGAAGAAGTGTTGCATTCTCTTCAGCTTCTTGCATGGCTTTTGCTCTGGCAGTATATTCATAAGGAAGCGCCACGGCAAGAAGGCTCTGCCGAGATTGGAAACATCTCACGATGTCGCGAGCTTTGGTTTGCTTTGCCGGACGTTGCGTGTACAGATGGGTGCGGTCATGACGACATGTCAACGGGACTTTTTGAAGGGTAAGCAAGATGTGGGCAGGTCGCGGCAAGGAATCCTTCGATGGAAATCGCAAGTGGAGCCGCCTCGGCGAAAGCCTCCTGCTCGGCGTTGAATGCGTTGACATGCGCGGTGAGCAAGAATCAGATGCAGCTGCACAAGTATTGACTTCGAGGCCGCAGGGCCGATGCCAAGTCCAGGCCAGGTCGGACATTGCGTGCGAAGCGCTGTCTCGTAGATTGCACTGTCTTTGATGGAAGGAGGCGTTAACATGCTTGTTCATGTGTCTGCTGGATTCGAGACCCGTTTCGAGTCTGTCCTGCTCAAAATTGCACACTTCGTTCCGGTGTTTGTTTGGATTTCGTGTTTCTCTGGCTACCGACCGAATGTTTTGCACATTTCCGTCGGAGCTCAACGGCTACCGAAATGTCTGTTCCTTTGCGGGGATCTGGGGTTGAATCAAGCCTCGGTCTGGCCGGCTGCAGGACTGCGCCGCCCCCGGCATTCCAAGAACTCAGTTCATCCCGGAATGGCTACGGAGCCCATGTCCTCGTCAGCACAAGCCACAGCAATCCTGCAGTGATTCGTTTCGAGGAATTCGGCTACACACCGTAACCTATGTGCTCTCTGGCATGTTTAGACACTGCGAACTTGTAGAAATTATATTCTGAGTTCTTGCCAGCACATGACGTTTAAGCACCTGCTGGAACAGCGGCTGTCAGCTAATGCAGCGCTGCTTTTGGCCTCTTTCCTCGATACCTATTGATCTAGGTCGTCTCCTTCCCACCTGTCTCGACAACACTGGTTGCTAGCTAGTTGCCCGTTCTGCGATGGCATTCCACCAGCGAATGCATTGTGTAGCTTAACGATGTAATGGTGCTTGGTCCATCGATACCGTTGACATTCCTCAATTATTGAGCAATGGAATATCCGCGAAAGAAGAGAGATGAACCTCATCGCATCCCATCAACCATACATGTTGATCGAAAACTGAGCGACGACAGAACAACGTGTTAGACTCCACCCCTTCTTCATGTCCTACGGCGGGTCCTACGGGACGCATTCACCCGTTTTGCTTTTTGCGAAAATCGTACTGATGGACATGCAGCCTTTCAAGTCCAGCGTGGACAAGAGTACCGCGCACCGAATATGCAATGGTTCCCTAAGCCAGGATTGGTTTGCCGCTTCGACCGGACAGGGGCCGGCAACAGCATCGTTAAAGAGTAGTATGAAGTTGCTGCTGAACTCTTGACTTGCACTTCTCGACAGCATCACATCTTCAAACTGCTCGGCGTTTACTCGGCACTCGAATCCTTTCTCATGATTAATTAAAGTCTCTCAACTTCGGATACGAAGACAGCGTCAGACATTGTCACACACGCTGTCATGTCCAGTCCTGTTGATACGTGAGGGATTCTGTCTAGATCACTGCGCCACCAGTCAGGCATGGACAAAGCTGGCAAAACGGAGTTTCCGAATGGCCCGACGAAAGAAGATGTCGCCGCTGTCCAGGCCTTTTTGACGCAGGCGGCCTTGCCATGGTCGTGTGCCTTAGGTGACAATTGCGCATGAACAAACTACATGGGACATCTTGAGGAGAGCAGATGAAACCCGTTGATTTTTCGAGAAAGCAGCTTTGTTCGCGAGCCAGCGTCTGTGCTAAACGAGCGCTCTCGTGACAGGGGGCTGCACACACATCGCCAAGTGTCACTCCGCAAGCTCCGGAAGTCTGCTCAATCCCTTAAACACCTCCGAGGCGGATGTGCTAATTCGGGCTCGCTTGGCACGTTTTGCATCGACTTCGGCACAAACCTGCGCCGAGCCTCTGCCGGTGCATCGGCTGCGGCGCGTGCGCACTGTTGCACATGGAATCTCTCGTAATATGAGGAGAGAACCCCAGCCTTCCTGCGCCCGGCCTTCAGGGCTCCTGCAAATGATTCTCGCCAAGTGCTCACCGGTTTGTCACAGCTCGAGTCGATTGCCAGAGGGTAGCTGAGAACAGCAACAAGCTCGTGGGACACCACGTTACATGATGACATGTAGATGGACGACATGTTGCTGCAATATGCAATACCCTGGTTGCGTCCTTCAGCGAGGTGGTGGCGGAGAAGCAGCGGACGATCACGCAGAACTGGGCTCAGCGCCAGCAGACATCCAAACCTGATTCTGCTGTGGGCGCCCACATGGCCATGCAGAATTTGGATGAGCATCAGCAGAGTCCCAAAGCCGGTTCTGCGACGGATGCTACCAGTGTCACGCAAAGCTGGGACGAGCGCCCGCGGACTTCCAAAGTCGAGTCTCTCGAAGGCGCCAGTCCGAACATCCAGGCGGGACAACGGTAGGGTGCACCCGGGAAACAAGCTTGATATGCCTGTATTCTATCGTTGCAAGGTATCTGTAAGTACCTTCGCGCTTTCGCTGGCAATGCATCTGCTTGAGAGACTATGGACCGGCGTGTTTCTGCTCAGGTGCAAGAAAGCGAAGAGCTACAACATATGATGTCGAAGCAAGCGGAACAGAAGGAAAAGGACGATCAAAAGCATTCTGTAGCAGCGCTGCAGGGCCAGTTCGACTCGCTTTCCAAGGAAGTAAAAGATCTGAAGACAGTAAGCACTATTGAGGCCGGAGACGGCATGTTGCAAGCCATCTGATTGATTGCAGAGTTGTCATGTTCTGGGTCAGAGCGTGCGCACTTTGACAGCGTCCCTTCGTTTTACGTTGAATTTCATTTTTACAGAAGAACAGAAAGAGCCGTTGTCGTCAACTTAAGATGGTTTGGACAAAGTGTCTTAATCTTAATCGGCCAGTGATGGCCGACGGTAATGGTACATGTGCACAATATGCCACAATCACGATGTTGTGAAGCTGTGCAAGTTCACGAATTCGAGTGCTTCCTGGCACCTATGTCTTGGCAACAGTACAGCAGCAGCGGCAGAAACGTGTGAAAAGTGCGTAGGCAACTTGAAGCGCTTTGCAGCCGGCTCAGGCGACAAACCAGAGGAAGGGCATGGAAGCTCTCACAGATCAGATGCAACAGCTGTCGAAGCTGCTCGTGGACACATCTTCCGCGATGCAGCGCGACCAAGACGAGCGACAAATTGTCATGCCGAGCTCAGACGAACAAAAGCAAAGGGAGGAGCACAAGGAGGCCATGGCAGAACTACGGGAGGAATGTGCGTTGCTCTCCAAGGAGGTTCACGCTTTGAAGAATGTCAGACAGCCTCCTGAGGCCGGCCCGCATGGCACGAATTAGCACCGGGTTCATTCCATGCTATGCCTGTGCAGCCGAAAGTAGGAACTCTACCGTCGAATGAAGCTTGGAAGGGGAACCATGCGATGCAAACTCGCAGGTGAGAGCTGCAGATCCAAGAGACAAGTCGCCGTCAAAGCAGGCCTGGGAATCTGAAGAAGCCTCCTTGCCCCGAGCGTCTTGCTTGTAAGTCTCGCAAATGGCTCTTTCATCTCCATGTCATGCATTTTGGTGCATGTCATATTAGTGGCAGGTTGATGGTGTGAAAGTGCCTCATCCGCTAGACAAAGTTCGAAAGAGCCTTTACGATGCTGCTGAAAGCGCAACGAGGAGGTGCGGTGGGAAGCATTTCGAAGCTACTGCTACTCCTGGTGCTCCTTCTGAAGCAAGGCTGTTGAAGTTGCGTGCCGAGATTGAAGACGAGGCGAGCAAGGATGCTTCGACGGCGAATGTCAAGGAAAGGGGTTCCGACAGAGAACAGATGTTTACAAGAAGCATGCCACCGGCACCACTGCAACCTGCTTCTGCTTGTATCAAGAGAGTGCCGGTATATAAGTATATTATATAGATATCTCATGTCATTTGTACTCGGCGTGCTCATCCCACCACCGATGCCACAGAAGATAAGGAAACAACCGTGCCCGATGTCCGCACAGGACCGAGGTGGTTGAGCAAACTCGATGCTTTTCAACGGAAACACACAAAGTGAAAGCGCGCATTTCTATTTGTGTTCGCAAAAGTACGATCAGTCATCATTGTTACCAAAGCAGGACTCGTACAAGAAGTGCTCTACTAGATTGCGCTTAAGCGCCTCTTGGTCGTTGGCTGACGTGCATCATCGCAGAAGCGCAGATGCAACTTCGCAGGCAGGAGCTGTTGAAGCTCCGACAGAGAAGTCGCAATCAAGCCAGGCCTGGGAAATCGTTCTTCCTCCACCCAGCATGCTCACTCCAAGAGGCTGTCTGTGTCCAGCTGTCAGAAGCACGCAGACTCTGAGCAGGCAACGGTATCCAGGTCATCATTCAGCTCTCAAAGTGAATTGTCTTCGACCAGCACGCCGCAGCTTGACAAGGCGGCAAGTGATCATGTCCTTCCCACGACACGAGACACCTGCAGGGCATGTCACGTCACCGTCTGTTTTGGTCCAGCTGTGAGGCTGCACAGAGCTTGGCTGGGAAGGGCGCAGATGGCAGTCACTTTATTGATATGCCGAGCTTGTTGACCATGCTGCCTCAAATTGCAGCGCAGAATTCTGAGATTCTGCAGTTGCTGGCGACAGGCCAGATGCAATGCCGGGTCCAGGTTAGATGCCCTGACTCCATCGACTGTGTCGAGACGTCGACTGCGCAAGAACCTCTCCCGGCATGCGGTGCAATCAGTGAGACGGAAGTTCCGGGGGTCGAGCAGTCAGCAGACCCGAGGAGCATCCTGCAACAGGAGCTGCAGACGGCTTTGCAGGAAGCGCGGCCCCTCCGACGGCGCTTGGTCCTGAGAGCCTTGAATAGCTCGACCTGCGAGGATCTGGTGCATGAGGAGATTGCTGTCGTGGGGCGGCCTAAGATGGTGCTACTGGGCCATGCATGGTCACAGGCTAGGGAGCTCCATGAAGAGCTGGACATGGTGGTCATCACATCCCTTCTGCGAGCCAAAGCCGATCCCAACCGGACCGTCAGCACAGCCCATGGAGCTGAAGGTCCTCCTATTGGCACGCTTCTCTTCTGCGAGGAACTACTCTGGGCTCATGCCAGCATGCGGCCCATTGAGGATGTTCTGGTCGCAGCGCTCAGCACCTCGGGAGTCGACTGGTCAAGAATTTGTTCTTGCCCGAGTTTGAATTCCGGACCCTCACCATGGATGCTGGCACTTCAAGCTCCGCTGGAACTCCGGGCGGTGGAGTTACAAACTCTCAAGGAGCTCAAAGCCGACGTGGACCAGCCAATTCAACTGGGTGGAGTCACTGCGAGTGGTCTCGGACATTCTATTCTCGCACAGGATGTGGCCAGCTGCAGCCTGCTCCTTGAGTTGAGCGCATGTCCAGACAGCAAAGTTCAAGCAGAGGCCGGGTGCACCAAGCAGAAGCTTCTTCAGGTAGCAGTCAACCTGCAGGATGTAGAGATGGCCGCATCAATTGTGGATCTTCTGCTCAAGCACCATGCATTTCCCGGAATTGATGTTCATCTGGACAGTTCAGCGACGCCTTTGCCGTTCAAAGACGCAGTCAAAAGGCTTGCAGCAAGCTATGAATCGTGGAAGCAAGTGCAGCTGGACCATGAGCTGGATTCAGACTCAGACAGCGACGAGGAAGCAGGCAGCGAATCGTCGGAAGAGGAGGACACGGAGGACGACGACGAAGATGAGGATGAAGAGGCAGAGGAAACAAAGGGACCGGAGGAGTCCACAGAACCGGAGGATCAGGAAACAGCAGGCGGTCAGCTGCAGCGGGCATTTCGGGAAGATGACAAAGTCGTCCTCCGCTGCCCGGCAAATCATGAACTGATTGACGACCAACAGGTCTATGTCGTGACCCGGGCACAGGCAGAGGACGACACTATTCGCATCAAGTTGCTGGAAGGCTGTGGTGTCCGAGAGCCAAAGGTCACTGAGGTAATTTCCCTGGTTCCACCCACCATGGATGATACGGGCTTTGCCAGCGATGCTGACTACAGTTTTTGGGACCTGCGCCGAGGCAAGCAGCCGCCCAATCTTGAAGTTGTCGGTCGCCCTGTGATCATCACATCCCATCGCAGTCAGCGGGCTATTGAGGTGCCCAAGAATTCCCACTTGTTGGCTAAGCTTCCGGCTGGTAAACATTCGGGATACACCATCCTATTGGAGTTTCGCCTCAGGCCTTTCCATGGAGCGGTGGCCCTTCTACACACGGCTGCGCAGTTGGGAACTGCGGAGATTGTCGTGGAAGCTTCTGAGGGATCCGAGGAGCCATCAAGGCCAGTCTTGGTCCTTCGCAGCGGCGCATCAAAGGTGGCGCATCCTTTCAAAATGTCATGGAACCAGTGGAATTGCTTGGTCGTCACACAGGCGCCTCAAGGCTCGGCGACCGTTCTCCTGAATGGACGAGCTATGGAAAGCGCACGAGGTCATGACGACGATGAGGAGGTGGGCGGGTTGGGGTTTGTGCGCTGTTCACTTGAGCCAACAGGTCAACGCCAAGTTTTCAGATTCGGCCAACGCTCCAGTCTGTTCTTTAGCCGACAAGCCTGCGCCCGTGCAAGGCTCCACCCGAACTTCGTCTGCCAGACATCTCTGATGGATTTCGGCTTTTTGGATCCCGATCACCAAACGAAGGTTCAAAAGATTGCTCCTTGCGTCTACTTGTATTTTGCAGCCAGTGGCTGGGCCCAAGGCCCTTGCAGGTTTTCCTCAGTCAGAGAAAACGATGGGCGAGGCCGGTTCAGCCGAAACCGCTGCTGCTGCAAAGGCTGAAACTGCTCCCGAAGCGGGCGCACCCGATCTTCTTGGATGCTTGCTTTCTGGGATGCTTCTGTGATGCCTTTGTCCCCACGGGTGGCGAACTCGGACCTGGGCAACTAAAGCTCGGATACAAGGTTTTTCTGGCAACCCTCGAGGCAACTCGTGCGAGCACAGGAGATCCCAAAGCTTCTTCACAGGACACAGAGTATTTGAAAGGACTTGGGCTGCTTCAACACGTCTCTCAAAGCTTCGTTCTGTCGGACAAACTCTTCGTCGAATTCGACAAGCTTTGGACTGCAAGCGACCCTGATCCAGAAGCATCGGCTGCACGCGCGGTTTCGTTCCTCAAAGTCCTGAACCCGATGCGAAAGCAGCTGGCCCTGGCTGGAACTGATTCGAGGCCCTTGGTCATCCCTTTTGGCTTAGTAGAGATCATGAACGACGAGCCGGTGAAGCAGTTTGCGCTCTTGATCCTGGAAAAGCCGTACGCATCGTCAGACCTTTACAGGCTCACATTGGTAAACGCAGGGCATGGCAAAGAGTTCCACAAAAGCTCAGTGCGTGCCCACCCTAAAGTCAAATATCAGACCGCGATGGTTTTTGACAACATCTCCGCAGACAAAGCAGAGGACGACGCTTGGTGGCTGGCCGTTTTCGCCACAGTGCCCGTAGTCTCGAGACAATCGTGCTTCTCGTTGTTTTACGACATCTTTTTGCCGTTTCTCCTGGGCCCCAATGGGGAGACGAGAATGCTAGAGGATGCACTGGTCGAATCAGAAGACACGGACTGGCGAAGCCCCCAGCACTCCGGGGCCTACTGGAAGGCAACTGGTGCGTTCTAAGACGCATATGTGTGTGTGTGTGTCTCTGTGTCTCTTTGTCTGTCTGTCTGGCTGTCTGTCTGCGTGTGTTGATTCAGCACAGGTTGGCTGAAAAGCACCCACGAACGTTTCTAGCCGACTCTAGCCTTGTTGCAGGTGCTCATGCATGGGCTGCGGCAGCTACTGCGCTTTGCCGGTGCCTCCGTGCCCGTCTGCAAGCTGTTGCAGTGGAACTTGCGACGCCAGATGCTCCAGTTTGCGCTGGAGGACTCTCCGCTGCTAGCTCGATTCGGCTGCAGCTTTGCTTAGATTTGCTTCGCAGGACGTAGACGCCTCTTTGAGTCTCCGGACCAGCGAGCGCCAGTGCCTGCGCATTGCGGCAGCCCAGTTGGGCATTTCTGCCGTGAAGAGCGATGTTCTCTGTTCGGCTCAGCCTGAGCTCCAACTGCCTTCTCGGCTTCGGGAGGCAAAGCAGATGATACAGAGCTTGGAAGAAGCGACCAACGCAAAGCCACCGTCAGGTGCAATGCCGCTGCCTGACCTTCCCCTAGAAAAACTTGGACAAGTAGAGTCACAGGACGTATCACATCCGAATTGGGATTTGTTCTTGCAGAAGAGACCAAGACCGAGCCAGGCATTACAGATCCCACCGCAAGTACCTTTAAACTTGCTAGATTTGCGTGACTATGCCGAAAGCATCGAGCAGGTCGTTCAGGTGATTTATCGAGCAGACGAGATTTGCCGAACTCTGTCGGGGCTTCGACAGGCTGGCCGCTGCAAGTTTGGCCATCTTTTCATCGTGAACGTGCTGCAGCAGCTCTTCACGGAGATCATCCCGGCGCCCTTGGGGCCAAGGTCGCTTGCAGACGATGCTAAAACAGATGAGATTTGGTCACACTGCTCCAGCTTCCAGGATCCACACAAGACTCTGACCAGAGGCATGGTCGCAGATTTGCAGCAAACTCTCCGGCGTCTCTGTTCGCATTTTGCTGCAGCTGCCTTCAGCATTGTGACGCAGCGGAAGGATTCAGCTGCTCGGGATGCTCAAGAAACACGAGCAGATCTGGCGCGTGGTTTTGATGCCACAATCATTTGTGTTTTTGGTGCCATCGCTGTGCTGTCGGATCGCCTTATGCGAATTATACCATGCGACCACGCTGGTGACGACAGCAGGGCGGTGCTGCCGGTACCGCTGAGCAAGCTTGTCGAAATCGTTGGTGGTTTTGGCAGTGGTAGCGGCGCAGGCTATGGAATCCTAATCTCCAGCTTCATTAGGCAGTCCGACACCATCGAGGTTGCTATTCCTGCTTTGCACGCGAGCCGCTCGGCCACCGCCAACTATTTCTTAGAGGTGGCAGAACACCTTCGCTTGGACGGCAGTGCCGAAGTTGCAAGCGGTGCCGAGTCTCCCCGGCACACCCAGGGTCTTTCCTGTAGTGCACGCTCAGGCACTCGGGAACGCATCCTTTTCGACTGGGACGACGGAGGCTGGCAGATGCAGGCAAGTCAGTGAGAGTCCTTGATTGCTGCTTGTCAATTTCCTGTAGCAGCTGGCTGGCAGGCACAGCGTCACTACGGCTCCTTGAATCTGTGCCAGCAGTTGTCGGAGCACTACTTGCAACTTGACTTGTTCAAAGCATAGACATCGACATACCCATGTTTCGGGTCTGCGAACTGGGGCCACCTAAACGCTGTGAAGAGTCTCGGTCAGAAGGTATGCAGGCTAATGGAGGGTTCAGCCGATGTGTCAAGATTTACGGCATTCATCAAGAACGCACTTGCAAGCATTCATTGGCATTCTGATTTGCACTCGAGGCATAGATCTCAGCCGGCAAAGCTCTTGACCGGGGAGGATCCCTACATAGTTTGTGAGTTCCCGGAGTTTGCAGCTTACCGAGACATCGTCTTCTGGTGGAAATATTCCTTGTGCACTGATCTAACAGTATTCCCCATCGGCGACTTTTCGGAAGCTGATGGAAGGTTACAATGGGGTTTGGACGACAAAGGAAGGTATGTGGTTGGAGGTCTTCGCAAAGAAAAATTGCTCGCGAGCAAGAAGTCGCAGGACGGAAGTCCAGTACCTTCTCCCGATGGCTCGCGTTGGCCCAGCAGTGCAAAGGCATCCAACCACACACAATGTCCCGTGAGCTGTGAGGACGACCTTCTCTACATTCGAAACTTGCCGAGCTTCGATCACATGCTCATGAGCAGTGACGTTGAGTTGATGCTGAGCTACCTCACCGTGCCTTATCTACGCCAGCCGTTGCTTCTCAGGTTCTTCTGCCGCCACGACCGGCTTATGGCGCTGCGCAACTCCCAGCTCCAGGCTATGCTCCAGGCAGCGATCCTTGAGCCCGGTCGCCTGGTCCTGACTGCCGACATGTCAACTGCCCCGAAAGACGTGCCAGCCAGCGGGAAAGAGACAGCGCTTTTGGGCTCCCCAGCTGGCCAACTACTTCTGGAGCTGACTCGCTCGCCCAAACCACTATTGGACGCTTTAGTCGAGTGCCTGGGTCTTTCCATTGATGTTGCAACTTCCTCCACCTCAAACACTGTAGACATTGTTCTCTTCTTTGCACGTCTCTATGCCCGAGTCATGAGTGCCGTGACATTTTTGTGGCAGAACCTGATGGGATCGCATCGGGCCAAGCAGAAGAACTGGCAGTTCGGCTTCCCGAAGGACGGAAGTCAGAAGAGGGAGGAGATCCGGGAACATCTCGAGGCAGCCATGCGAGGTCATCAAGAACGAATGCTTCTGGACGGGGGTATCCTCAGCTGCCTGCAAGCTTGGATCAGAGAGTTGGAGGAGAGCAGCCAGCAGAATCCACACCTGATCGACAAGAACACTGAGCGAATGTGCGACATCCACGCCCACATTCTCCTGTTGCTGCGCAGCTTACCCTTGGAAGCGACCCCAAAGCAAAAGGTACAGCGGGCTTCCGGGGAAATGGTGAACACCATCTTGGGTTCCTTGGCATGCCTGATGGCTCGCCATAGTTGGAACTGTGGCTTCCTCCAGATGCCGGAACCAGAACTTATGGAAGTCATGCAGACCCATCGCCGATTCCTTGTTGACTGGCTTGACACATGTCCCGATGATGAACGCGGTGCCCGTGAGTTTCAGCAGGCCTTGAACCAGATCTTCGACAACTTTGCTGCTCTAGATGAGGAGAATGACGGCAGAGAGGACCCATCTACGAGGGCCTGGGCAAGAATTAACGATGACATCATGGAGTCCATGGGGTGCTATGCGCTGGATGAAGCAGGGAGAACGGATACCATCAGGTCGCTGAACAGAAAGGAGATTTACTGGTTGGAAGTCAATGTTCAGCTGCTGCAGGTGTCCATGCGAGGAATGTCTGTACAAGCGCTGGAACAAGGCATCATGACGAGTCGGGACTTGCAGTATGTCCTGTACAAAGAGGGCCATGAAATCAGGACATTACAAGGCAGTTCCACCTTGGAATCTGACAGCGTTTCTGTCATCGAGCTTATGTCCCACAGCTTGATGGTCTTGAAATGGTCCTCCATCAGCCCGGGTCAGGAAGGCTTCTTGCCGGTCTGCTCACTCGACGACGAAGCTTCTCTTGAAGTGTGGATAGGCTGGATATTCAGTTCCAAAGAGTGTTCGTTTGAGAGTGTTCGCCTTGGCAGCAATAGGAAGTCTAAGGAGTACGACCCCGAAGATCTGCCTGTGGGTTCAGAGTGGGCCAGTGAGCTCCTCGACCCGATCCAGCAGCGGTTTTTCGTGCCACCAGCACTGGGGCTTCCACCGGGCAAGCCTGCGAAGCTGTTCCTGAGCCTCTCCTGCAACATGATGCACTGAGGCAGGGAAGGTAATGTCTGTCTGCTTATGCATGGACGGGTGCATGGATGTACATGTATGTCTGCTTGTCTGTCTGTATGTATGCATGTATCTGTGTGTGTGTGTATGTATGTATGTGCGTATGTATGTATGTATGTATGTATGTATGTACGTATGTATGTATGTACGTATGTATATTTCTGTGAAAGTATGATTATGTACTGAATATGTACGTCTTTATGTGTTTATGTATGTAGGTATGTATGTATGTATGTATGTATGTATGTATGTATGTATGCGTGTGTATGTAAGCATGTGTGTGTGAGAGAGACCTGCGTGAGACAAAGTATGTGTATGTCTGTGCGGACGTAGGCAGGCACGTCTGGATGAGTGAAGTTTGTGACGTATAGTGTAAAGCATGAACGCACTCACCTGAATGACAGCCGGCTTGGGCCCGAAGAAAAGGAGTACTTCCAAGTAGATGAATGCATGCAGATATAGGTGTGGACAAGTAGGAATTTGTGTATGTCCGTAGGTGTATAGATGCACTGGTATGCAGGCATGCAAGTAGTATGCAAGTAAACACGTCGGCAGGCAGGTAGGCAGTGGCTTTGTTGGTTGCGACCCCGCGCCCGCTATCTCAAGCCGACCCATGCGGTCACTTGAGGTCTGGCTTCGCGTGCGCCAGCTATTTGGGAAGGTTTGGGGCCGTTGCTGCTCCTGAGGGAGAGATGCCTCAGGTGATTGCGGTGTTGAGACCCGCCAATTCGACCGAGACCAGCGATTAAATAGAAAACGAAAACGTAAGCAAATGCATCGGGCGCGAGTTTCGCTGCAATCCACCTGCTGTGGGCGAGTAGGTGGTCGGAGTCATATGAAGGCTGGGGTTAGCTGCTTTTGCTGGGAGCCCTTATCCCAAACACACACACAGGAATGGGTGGGGGAAGTTGGCAGTTGGCGAAAGGCAGGCCCGGTAGGTACTCCTGGCCCGGACTCGGCGTTTGATGCCTTGCTGTTGTTGCCTGCCGCCATCATGCTATCCGGAATCGAGTGCTTGTTTCTTTCCTGCTGTCAGGTGCGGGGGGGGGGGGGCGGGGGGGGGGGGNNGGGGTTCGGATGGTCGGTGTGCTGAGTGGGGTGGTACGGTGACTGTGCTGCGGCACTTTGTCGCTGAAGCAGATGTCTCACGTGTTCTGCAAGCTATATCGAAATACACTGTGGACTCACGTTGCACATGCGTAGCCAGAACAACTTATGCCAGCGGGGCAGTGCACCCAGCTCACCATGCAGAGGCGTGCCTGGTTAATTTGAGCCGTTTTCGCTCTGCCGTCTTCGTATTTTGTATCTTCTATGTTACAGAATGCTGCCTGCGAAATGGAAAACGGCACAGTTGCTTTGGAAGACTGGACGCTACTGCAGAACCATCACCATGAACGCACTTTACCCTGAAGCTGTGAAGCCCACCGCTCCTGTGCAAGGGCCCATCCCAGTGGCATAGTTTAATTAGAACAAGAAGCCAAATCAAGACCAAAGTTTTTGACTTGTGTCCATAGCCTGCCAGGTGTTCTGCTGAGATTGCAGGAAACGTTTTTGTTGTTGGCGAACGGCCAGAATACTGTGAACATGTTGTTCTGAGCTGGCTGTCGGCAGCGCAAAGCACGGCACAGCACAGTCAGCAAAATGGTCGTGTTGCCACACTTCGAGAAAGTATGAAGTGTGTATAGTTGCACCCGCGCCAGGGCCGGGAGTTGTTGCCCAGAAAATAGCCCAACATCACCTCACATAGTTGCATCGCTTCGAGAGATTCCCCCCGGCCAACGTCATGACGAGGCGACGCTGCAAGTTGAATTGGTGAGTGTAAGGCAAGGCTATGTGCGGTGAGCATGGGGTCTAGTCAAGCCCTTGAGCGTGGGCTGCCTTGCTGTTGTTGTTTCCAAGTTCCAATCATGTTCCCAGCGCATCCGCGCCCAAAGCATCCCGGGTGCAGCCATGACGACGCCGAATGCGCTGCGGCGCAATACCTCTGAAGTTTCAGTGTTTGGTGGTTCTAAAATGATGCAAGGTACACATGTGCGCGTTGCGGATTCCAGAGGATGATCAGGGGGATGCGCCAACCAAGTGGTGTAGGGCAGGATTCATCGCTGAAACAATTTCCTAAGTTTCATCCACACTGCAGCCCTCATACCAAAGCTTGAATTGCGCAAGGGATGGGCGGGATTCAGCACAATGGCAATGGCAGTCCAAATAGTGAGTCGGTGGTATAGTCTGCATGTATTCGTGCACGAAGACAGGTGGTATGTATCTTCTGCGATCATAATGCGTTTCGTCTTTTGTATCATCCGAGCTGAGGAACACTGAGGCTTCGGCTTCGGCTGCTGTTCTTCATGTGGCTGTCTGCCATCCGCAACTTCCGAGACGAACCTGGAAGGAGCCTATCAGGGCTTGCAGCACACGGTTCTGGTCGGCATGTGTCGGCATTGGACTTTGAAGAAAGCCACGGTCGGGTTGTTTAGCCTGGCAAGGTTGCAGCACTGTTGCGGCCAGCCCAGGCAATGCTCATTTGTGGTGCAATTCTTCGTACGTCACATGCTTTCCATACTGCAGGGGAAGACGAGAATGTAGTTAGTTTCGACTTCGTATATGCGCTTCGTATGTACGTATTTATTTTTGCATCTGTGTGTGTGTATACATGTATAATTGGTTTGAGC